GGAGCAAGAAGCGGTGTGAGAGTCGTGTGGTCGCGGAAGAAGCACTGCGACGTGCCAGAGTCCAGCGTGAAGGACAACGACGCCTCAGTCGTAGGTGCACCTGGGCTAGTAGCTACACAAGCACCTAGTGCGGAAACACAAGCACCTAGACTGGAGAGACAAAGATCTACACTAGCAACCGGAAAATAACATAAACTACGAACACGCGAGCAGACAGATCCAGCATCACTATAATCAACATCAGCATACATCACAGAAACAAAGTCTAAAGCATCAACTAACTCTGCCGCAGACAAGTCTCACAAAGCAAGTCCACGAGAGCGAGCAAGCGGGGCCCAGTCCGGAGCGGGGCCAAGGCCGAACTGTACGCGGACGCGGTCAGTAAGCTGTGCAAAGCACTGACCCGGAGCGTGGAAACGGCCACAGCGAAAACCCGCACGACCGCCTGACTGAACCACGTACGGGCAGGGAGGCGGAGTGACGCCACGCAACGCTGAGCTGTGCGGACCACCACCACGACCAGCGCTCCCTGGTCCACCAGGTCCCCACTGCTGAGGCTGCTGCTGCAGCTGCCGCTAACCTGCTGCCGCGGCTGTCCCTGCGGCTGTCCTGACTGTGGCTGCTGCTGCTGCTGGGACTGCTGCCGTCGCTGTGCCGTGTACCACGTGACCGCACCAGCTCCCCCTCCCGTCGGGCCCGCAGGCACAAGGCCACTCCCAGTGTCGCCTCCACCAGACGCACTAGTGTCAACAGAGCTTCCGCCATCCCCGCCACCACCACTAGCGCCACCACGCTTCCCCCCTCTCTTACCTCCCTTACCCCTGGACCGCCCACCCGCGGTAGACACGGCCACATAGTTTGACACTGCATTAGGTCCATACGGGGCTCATGAGATGCATGAATATCTTGAGCATGCGCACAGCTGCAGAAAGCTCTGTCATGAAATGCTCTGACCAACAGCACATAAAATGATGCTGTCAATAAAAACTATCAACGAATCATGATACGGATATTGGCAAAATGGCATGCCATCTATTTTAGCCACACACATCCGAATTCTAACACATCAATTCAGCTATCAAACCAGGGGAAACACGCCCAAAGCCGAATGGCTAACTAGCGTGGCCCAAGTTAAACATTCTTTTGTTCGCATGAAACTACCTAATTGCGGGAGATCCAAGACTCCCCGCGACGTCTGCCGAAGGGTTATCATTTGTCTAACTGCCAGGCGCCTTGGCCTTGTTCTTCTCCTCCCACTGCTTGCGGTGGCCGGGCGGAAGCACAGTTGCGCCAGTGCCCTTGCGGATCTGCCCGCGCACGGCCCCCGCGGGGAACGCCGGGGTCGACACGACCACGTAGAATTTCTCGGGGTTAACCATCACTTTCGCGAACGCCGTCGAAAGCGCTTCGCCAGACGCCGTTTTCATGTTCGCGACGTCTTCCCACACGCCGGTCGTCGCATAGCTGAGATAGTTCTCCGCGGGATTCGTGGAAGCCGCAGCGCTAATGCCCGTGGTGTTCACCCATTTCGCTCCCGCGAAGCTGATAACTGCCGGCCCCGTCGCGTCGCTGGCGGCCATGTTGATCGTCGCGCCAGTGGGCAGTCCCGCAACGGACAGCTTCCGCACAGCGACGATATACTTGATGTTCACCACCGGGCCGTTCTTATACACCGTCATGATCGCGTTGCCCGCCGCGTTCGCGTCGCCGGGCGCGGCGCCAACGACGGACGACCCGCGGAGAATGGTGCCCACCTGCATCACCTCGCGCCCCAGCGGCTTCCCCTTGTGCTCCGCCCCCCCGGGGACCGGCGCGGGGTGTGCCTTGGGCGCTCCGCCTGCTGCGCCCTGATTGGGCGCGCCAGGGCCCTGCTGCTTTCCGCCGGCGGGAGCGACCTTACCGCCGGGAGCCTTCCCCTTGGGGGTGGGAGCTACGGGACTGGCTGCTTTCGCGTTCGGTGCGACGGCGATGCTGGCGAGCTTGGGAGTTCCGGGGAGGGGGGTCGTTTCCACCGTCTGCGGCTCCACTGCGGGGTTCACTTCTTGGAGCTTTCGAGCGTCTGCCGCTAGGCCTGAAGGACAGAAAATAGGTGGAGAAGGAGGGAATAAGAGTCATACGGGAGTCAGATGGAATACCACAAACTCAATCAGTGTTTCAATGAGGCGAGAGAGGAACTTGAAAGTAGGAATGTTGGGAGAGAAGTCCTTACATGACAAGGCGAGAATCGCCAAGAGCGCGGAGAGGAAGCGAGTTGTCGACATTGCGTCGAGTGGTTGAGAAGGAGAATGGAACGCTTGTAACTGGAGAACTTCGAGCCAGCAGGTTGTAGAGTTGTGGAGTTGTAGAGAATGAAGGTGCGATGTGGATTGAAGTTGTCAGAAGCTGAATGAATGGTGAGTGAGAATGTTGAGGAAGTGTAGGGTTTTGTAGTTGGGTGTCTCAACCCGTGTCGCAATGTTGGGGAGGGAAAAGTCTTGAGCCAAACCGCGACATTGGAAGGTCGAGAAATGCGGCTCGACAGAGTCCACTCAAGAAAAGCAAATTCACCGATCTACGGACGAGAGAGCAGGTAACTGGGGTCGGTCTTCTGGCCTCCCGGCCCGAGCAGATATTTGTGCGCGAAGTTTTTCGTCACCGACTGAGAGCAAGATTCTGCAAGGTGATTGGTATCTCGTTTGACATATCTTTCGCACCATCCATTTTGCTGCTGAGCTATCTGTGACGACATCGACGGCGAACGCAAATCTGTTGGTACTTACGAGTAACCTGAACGGCTACACCATGGTCCAGCTGCACGGGGAAACATTTGATTGAACCTCCCTCCCACGGGTTTGTTCTGGAACATTTTCCGTTGGCTGGAAAACGTTGGCTGGAGGATTTGACTGCTATGGACCCGTTGGAGGGGGTCTGACGACAAAATTTCCGTCAATCTCCAGCTGCACACAGGCTGAGCTGAACATTTGCCCTTTTGCGTCCGAGTCAAACCAAGAGTGAGCGGGACTACAGAGAGTTTACATCAGCTTCTGACAACTTTGGAAGGGGGGAATTCCACAAGTGTTTACACCACCACGGTAACTCGTTTTTTGAAACTCGACCGCTCAATCACCGAATCCCGCTACATCTTCAACGAACCGCATATCCCAGAATTCAAATGTCGCGGTTCGTGAAAAACTCCTTTCCACACTTTCATTCACAAACCACAACACCAAACCACCAGCAGAGATTCGCATAAAAGCGCCCACCTTCTCACCCTTTCCCATCAGTTCACTCGTTCCTCTCTCCAATTCGCGGCCTTCAACACTTCATCGACATTCCTCGAAAAAGGTTCCTCGTCTCCAAGTACATTGAAGTAGAGTTCAGTCAAGCACTAGTGTTCGCAAACCACTTCCCGAAACAATGTCGGCCACTCGCTTCCTGACAACGCTTCTGGCGATTCTCGCCATCTCATGTAAGTCTTCACTACCTGTAAACATCCGAAGTCCTGTCACATTTCTGCCTCGTTCACTTCACAAAATCCAACTGCTCTGACAATTCTTTCAGTAGTATCCCGCTCCAAATTCGACGAGTATTTCCTTCCCTTGAGCTAATCTAACGCTTCTCCCCTTCCCTTTCTCCATCTTTCAGGCCTAGCGGCAGACGCCAGAAAGCTCCAAGAAGCGAACCCCGCAGACCCCGCGGTGGAGCCGCAGACGGTAGAGACCACCCCTCTCCCCGGAACTCCCAAGCTCGCCAGCATCGCCGTCGCACCGAACGCGAAAGCGAGCAGCCCCGTAGTGCCCACGACCACCGCGCCCACCCCCAAGGGGAAGGCCCCCGGCGGTAAGGTCGCTCCCGCCGGCGGAAAGCAGCAGGGCCCTGGCGCGCCCAAGCGGGGCGCAGCAGGAGGCGCAGGCGCACTCCGCGGAGCGCCCAAGACGCACCCCGCGCCGGTACCCGGGGGAGCGGAGCACAAGGGGAAGCCGCTGGGGCGCGAGGTGATGCAGGTGGGCACCGTTCTCCGCGGGTCGTCCGTCGTGGGCGCCGCGCCCGGCGACGCGAACGCGGCGGGCAACGCGATCATGACGGTGTATAAGAACGGCCCGGTGGTGAACATCAAGTATATCGTCGCCGTGCGGAAGCTGTCCGTTGCGGGACTGCCCACCGGCGCGACGATCAACATGGCCGCCAGCGACGCGACGGGGCCGGCGGTGATCAGCTTCGCGGGAGCGAAATGGGTGAACACCACGGGCATTAGCGCTGCGGCTTCCACGAACCCCGCAGAGAATTATCTCAGCTATGCGACGACCGGCGTGTGGGAAGACGTCGCGAACATGAAAACGGCGTCTGGCGAAGCGCTTTCGACGGCGTTCGCGAAAGTGATGGTTAACCCCGAGAAATTCTACGTGGTTGTGTCGACCCCGGCATACCCCGCGGGCGCCGTGCGCGGGCAGATCCGCAAGGGCACTGGCGCAACTGTGCTTCCGCCCGGCCACCGCAAGCAGTGGGAGGAGAAGAACAAGGCCAAGGCGCCTGGCAGTTAAAATTTGACACACAAGCGGACAGTGCATTAGTAGGGATTCGTTGTTGGCTAATGTAGCTGGCATGCCATTTTGCCGAAGCTATAACATGTTGAATGTAGTTAGTTCTAGTGACAATGAATGAATTGGATTCTTGAATTCTTACACATGAACCTGCCAACAGTTAGCTAATATTGTCTGGTTGGTACAAGTACCTACAGAACAGATAACAAAAAATTCTGAACCCTAAAAACTCTACAACAGCCAAGGCAACACTTAGCTGTTATACTTGTGCAGCCACACATACCATTCTAATGTATGCTGCTCAGCTCAACCATATCGCTCTTTTTGTAACTTGTTGCCCGCAGAAATCATGGTACTACAGTATGCCATGTGCAACCAGTACAGCATGTCACACATCACCCCCTCCTCCCTCCCCCCAAAACCACCACCAATAACTCGGGTGACCCGAATCGGGGAGTGCTACAGGGCTAAAAGCGGGGTTTATTGGGGGTTGAAGGCGCAGGCCTGCTCGAAGATGAGCTGGCGGATGCGGGGGATGTCATACTCCTCCTGCTCGAAGCTCAGGTCGTACTGGAAGGGGTTTGGGTGCGGCGGGTCCTGGTTGGCCTTGTGGTAGTGCGCCAGGTACGGGTGGGCCAATGCCTCGTCCACTGTGGGGAGGCACGGGCATACCGGGGGGAAATGGAGGAATGAGGGACAAAGAGGGTCTTGGCTGGCCTAGTGGTGGTGCGCCACCAGGTAGGGGTGGGCCAATGCCTCGTCCACTGCGGTTGGGGATGAGGCACGAGCGTACGGGGGGGGGGAAATGGGGGAATAGGAGATGAGAAAGGTTCGGGTTGGCCCTGTGGCCACACTGCGGGAGAGGAGGAGGGGAGCGAGCAAAGGCATGGGCAAACAGGAGTCCTGGTTGGGCGCCAGCACCGCGACGGGGCCGGTGGTGACAAGAGTCCTGGTTGGGTTTGTGTGGTAGAGTGTGCCAGGTGACTGTTGACTTCACTCTATAAACATGTGGAATGAAAAGGCATAAGATTACGTTGAAAGAAGGCCTCCTGCGTGATGGGCTTTCTTTGTTCCAATCAGTCAAGTACCGCTCACTGTGTCTGTAGAAACGCACACACCTGTGATTCGCTTTCTCGGGTCGAACACGAGCATGTGCTGCACCTAGTCCGCCCCGAGCTCAGAGTGCTTGGGAAACACCTCCCTGACACTGCCGGCGAAGTCTTGAAATCACTCTCGAGACACATGGTGAGGCATTCTAGGGATGGGTGAGCAGCGCACCTGTGATTCGAGGTTGCGCTGAACCAAATCCGCCCCGAGCTCTGAGAGCCGGGGGAACACCTCCCTGAGGTTTCTGGCAGGGAAGCCCTGCCTGACGCTGCTGGCGAAGTCTTGAAATCACTCTCGAGTCGAGACACACGGTGAGGCATTCTTGAGTTGGGAGAGCAGCGCACCTGTGATTCTCTTTCTCGGGTCGAACACGAGCATGCGCTGAACCAAGTCAGCCGCGGGTTTTGACAGCTTGGGGAACACGTCCCTGATGCTCCTGGCCGGAAAGCCCTGCAGCTCTGAGAGCAGGAAGGTACGAGCGGCCTCGTTGACTACGAAGGAGGCGTCTTCGGCAGAGGGGGATCCGATGAGCTGGTGGAAGGAGAAGAGACACAAAGGGGGGATTTGAACCACAGGAAAGCAGGAAGGCGCGGGCGGCCTTGTTGACTATGAAGGAGGCGTCCTCTGCAGAGGGGGATCCGATGAGCTGGTGTAGAAACAAGCGTGGGGAGATGGGGAAAGGGAAGCGCAAGAGGGGGGAAATAAGCACAAGGGGGAGACTGGAAGGGAAGAGCCGGAAGCTCTGAGAGCAGAAAGGTGCGAGCGGCCTCGTTGACTATGAAGGAGGCGTCTTCAGCAGAGGGAGATCCAATGAGCTGGAGTATGCGAAGGGGGGAATGAAGCACACGAAGGGGGGCGGCATGAAGAAGAATAGGGAAGAATGAGGCACAGGAGCGGGAAGCTCTGCAGCTCTGAGAGCAAGAAGGTGCGGGCGGCATCGTTGACTATGAAGGAGGCGTCTTCAGCCGAGGGGGACCCGATGAGCTGGTGTGCTGCAAGCGGGGGAGACGAAGAAAACGAGGGGAGAATGAGGCGCAATCATGAGGGAAGGGAAGCTGGGGCAGCTCAGAGAGCTTGAAGGTGCAGGCGGCATAGTTGATAATGAAGGAGGCGTCGTCAGCCGAGGGGGATCTGATGAGCTGGGGGGAGAAAAAGAGCGCGGGGACCGAGGAAGAGAGCACAAGGGTGGGGAATGGAGGAAATGCCCTCCAGCTCATTTCTTTGATTCGACTCAAAAACAGCTCGGAGAGCAGGAATGTGCGAGCGGCATCGTCTTCAGCAGAGGGGGAATCCAATGGCTGACGTAAAGACAAGTGTGGGGAGATGGGCAAAAAGAAGTAGAAGCAGGGAAACTGAAGCACACGAGGGGGTAGACTGGAGAGGGAAGCCTTGGAGCTCTGAGAGCAGGAAGGTGCGAGCGGCATCGTTGACTATGAAGGAGGCGTCTTCAGCCGAGGGGGACCCGATGAGCTGCCAGTTGAGAGTACCAGAAGGGGGAAATGGAGAACAATGGGGGGAGGAAACAAGAGCAAGAGGGGAGTATGAGGCACAAGAGGGGGGAAGGGAAGGGAGAAGAAGCCCTGAAGCTCGGAGAGGAGGAAGCCCCTTTGAGCACAATGTGCCCCAGCACGAGCTCCAAATAAACGAGCGCCACGGACCACACGTCGATGGACGAGCTGTACTGCTCAGAATGGCCGTGCTGTAGTAAATCTGGTTGTTCACCAGGAATTTAGCCCCCTCTCCCTCCCCTGCTCTCTCACTCCCCTGCACTGACTCTCCTACTCTCACTCTACCCTCCCTCCACTGCTCTCCCTCTCCTTCCCCCTTGCTACGGACGGGCGCACCTCACAAGTCTTGCGGAGCTGGTCCACGTAGTTATCCCCTTTCAGCACAATGTGCCCCAGCACGAGCTCCAAATAAATGAGCGCAACCGACCACACATCAATGGACATGCTGTACTGCTGGTTGTTCACCAGCAGCTCAGGAGCGCGGTAGTATCTGGTAACCACATATTTCGTCAGGTGGTCGGTGGTTTCCACACGGGTTCGCGCGAGGCCGAAATCGGTGATCTTGATGTTGCAGCGCCCGTCAATGAGAATGTTGGGGGGCTTTAAGTCACGGTGCAGGATGTTGGCTGAGTGGATGTACTTGACTCCCTTCAGTAACTGGAAAAGGATGCGCTGGGGAGAGAAGGCGGAGGGGGGAGAGATAGGGGTAGAAGCATGGCATTTTTGTGCTGGGAGATCGAAAAAGGGAAGGGAAAAGAGGGATGTTGGCCGAGTGGATGTACTTGACTCCCTTCAGTAACTGGAAAAGGATGCGCTGGGGAGAGAAGGGGGAGGGATAAGCGAGAGAGGGGCAGAAGAATGATGGTTTGCACAGGGGAAACGGGAAGGGGAATGGGAAAGAGGGATGCTGGCTGAGTGGGAACAGGATGCGCTGGGGGGGGAAGGGGGAGAGTTGAGGGGGAAAGGGAGGGGAGGGGGAAAGGGGAGGGGGCGAGGGGAGGGGGAGCGAACGCAGAAAAGAGGCTAAGCGTTGGACGAAGTGTAAGGGAAGGAGGGATGTTGGCTGAGTGGATGTTATTGGCGCCTCTGAGCAGCGGGAACAGGATGAGCTGGGGGGAGACAGGGGAGGGGGGAGCCAGGGGAGAGACAGGGTGAAGAGCCATACATGAGCAAAGCAGGGGAAGGAGAAGAGGGATGTTGGCGGAGTGGATGTACTTAGTGCCTCGAAGCAGCTGGAAGAGGATGAGCTGGGGAGAGGAGGGGAAGGAGGCACACACTGCCACACACACACGTTGCACTGCCACACAGACACCTTGCACTGCCACACACAAACCTTGAACTGCCTCCCACACACACACCGTGTAGTGCCGTTCATCCATGTCCTGCCCGGACCGAATGACCCCGTGCAGGTCCTCAGGCATGAGCTCGTACACGATATACACGTCCTGGAAGCTCTGAGGGTGAGGAGGGCGGATGACGTCCTTGATGGCGATCACCTGGGGGGGAAGGGGCGGTGAATGGGAGGGGAGTGGGATGGGCGTGGGAGGGCAACGCAGGCATGAGCTCTTACACAATTTACATGTTCTGTTGCGGAGGAGCACAGTCTGAGTTTCTGATAGTGTGAGAGTGCTCACCTAACCACAGCGTCTGCTCACATTGGGGTGGTTCATGTTGCGGAGGATTAGAATCTCGCGGAGAGTCCGCTTGGCATCTGTGCGGTCGTTAAACGCGTTGCCGATCTTCTTGATCGCCACCTCCTCCCCGGTCGTCTCGTCTCGTGCAGAGCTTATGGGAAAGAAAGAAAGAAAGAGAGAAAGAAGAAGAAGAAGAAGAAAAAAAAAAACGCAAAAACAACCATATTCATTATAGGTCGATCAATACTCAAGTCCGGCGAGCAAGGAGTGGTAACGAGTCAAGAATGTGATTCAAATGAAAGTTAGTGATGACGACTAGACTATCGCTTTCTTATAGCTCCCGGTGATTCTAGTCATACCGCTGACTCAACATTCCAATAGTTCGCATAGTCGCTGGCGTCACGCTTCTTTCTAATTCCTCACCAAACAACACCATAGGCTCCTCGGCCAAGGGGGAAGAGCGGGACGTAGCGCACGGGGACCTCGAAGTTGATTCCGGAGATGCTGTAGCGTCTGTAGCGGCCGTCGTACGTCAGCGTGCCCTCACTGACGATTTGCACGCCGTCTGGCGGCCCTTGCGACGCGTCTGATTGGTTCATTGTCGCGTCGCCCTGCCGCGAAATGGATGAGATCAGAAGGGATCAGAAGGAATTTGTGAGAATGGCATTTGAGACGCATCGGAGCTTGAACGCATTGTGATTCGTGTGGCGCGTCTTTCCCGGTGCATCGTCTCGTCTCCCTGCGGCGAGATGGACCGGAAAGGAAGGGTGTGGTGAGCATAAGACGTGTCTTAGACGTGTCAAGGCTTGCGAAGCGCTGCTATTGGAGCATTATCACGTATCCCTGCCGCAATATAAATCGTTTAGGAAGAGTAATGGTAAGATTGTTTGAAAACAAAATCATTAAATTGTATCAACATTGCGATTAGCCGGGAATGATTGTATCCATCCTGCTAGAATGACATCAATTTCTGAATACAGTTTGAATGCGTATTGTCACAACACAATACTGACCGGAAATTTCTACGAGTTGCGTGAACCATGACAGGATATTTTCCAAGCAAATCTTAATGCATATGAAATGCGAAAGAATAAATTTAGTAATATTATTGGGAAGAGCTAACCTGCGGCCGTAGGACTTCGGAAGCCATTATTGATATGCAGCGAGATGGCAGGACAATACACAACGCCGAGCCTCGTTCTCGTTCCCTAAGAAGTCACGAAATTCGGAATGCGAAACGCTGAAGTCTGTGCGGAAGCAAGGCGCGTGGATGCTGTGAATGAGAACACAGCGATCGTGCAATGGTGGCCATTTGTAGAGGTCGCTTCACGAGAACAAGCTACGCAGAGGAGCAAATAGCTTCTCACGAAATGTTAACTCGTACGAAACAGGGAAATGCTTCAAGCTGCAAGCTTCAAGTACAAAAGACGGGAGTCCAAAAAGTCTGGTTGTAGCGGATTTTCATGTGGGAAGCCTAAAACATTCGTACAGTTCATTCATCGTGGCGCAAAACGATTCCTCGTGGTGCACAGCGGTTATCAGGCTTTAAGTTTCAAACCTTGACGCAACGAGAGGAACCGCACTTCATGAAATGAAACGAACTGCAAACGAACGCGCTGACCTTGCCCTCGCCTCAAATCCCGAAGGGAAGTGGACTCAATAAATCTCATATGACCTTATTGAAACGCAGCGGAACTTATTGAACCACATTCAATCGTGCAATTACGACACGCCCCAAGTCAGGAACATCGACTTAGCCACATTGAAGTGAGTCATTGGCGTGTGTTTGCTTGAAGTGTTCCTTCCTCGTTGTTACTAAGGACGAAAGGGAGCTAAAAATGTTTTTATGCGCCTGTTAAGGAAACTTCCAACTTTCACACTGCGCCTATAATCGAAGAGCGGCAGTGCTCAAAGTACATGTTCCTAGCATGCAATGTCACGGAACAGCTCCAGTAAGAGTGTGCAGGTGGAGGTCGTTCGAAACGCAGCATCCCATGCCCGTCAACTGTGGTACCACGATGCATTCTTTGACAAAGGGTTTGCAAGAGTAATAATCTAATCGAGCTGCGTTTTAATCGGCATCAGCCGTGAGTCACACACACAGCGAACTATTCTTTCGCCTTTTACTAAAGAATACTGTGTGTGTTTCTCATCAAGCGGCATACAATAATTTTTGGAGTGCCTCTCCGGAGGCACCACAATTCAAATTTGAAACGGGATTTCGAATGGCATAACATACCAGAAATGGTGAAATCAGAGGGTGGCTTGATGCGCTTCCATGATGGTCAGTTCATTTAAAACCGGGGTGCACATTCAGCTGAATGTGCATCAAAGGTTATCCCTTGACTGAGTGGGTTACGAGGTGTGCTTTCAACCCCTTCAAGTCGAAATTCGTTTCCCCCCTCCCCCGCAATTTCGTTTCCCCCCTCCCCCGCAATTTCGTTTCCCCCCTCCCCCGCAATTTCGTTTCCCCCCTCCCCCGCAATTTCGTTTCCCCCCTCCCCCGCAATTTCGTTTCCCCCTCCCCGTCGAAATTCGTTTCCCCCCTCCCCCGCAATTTTGTTTCCCCCCTCCCCCGCAATTTCGTTTCCCCCCCCTCCCGCCAATCTGTTTCATCCCTCCCGCCATTCGGTTTCACCCACTCCCGCCATTTCACCCCCTCCCGCCACCTACGAAATGCCCGAAGCTCTAGCGGAATCATTTTTTTGTCGCCCCTCGTGAGCCAATCACTGTTTTTCTCCAAACCCCCTTCCCAACATCTCAAGCCGAACCGCGTTGAATGTGCACCCTGGTTTTAACCAGGCACACCATTACCCCTACTACTGACGACATCAATCCTTATTGTCCTTGATGCAACAAAGTACTGGATTCGTCTAAGGGTACATTCCTGTGGGGACACTTGTGTCTCAATCACTTTGTGACACCCAAAAACAACATAAACTGTGTTGTGTCCCAAATGCGAATCGGCTTTCGGCGGCTTGTACTGTATTTATTATTGGTCAGCGTGAAACGCGCTGACATCGCTGTCAAATTGTGAAACGACCCGTCATTGTTAAAGAATCGCACGCGACTCGAAATGCCCGACACGACCACATGCACCTGGACATCCGAAAATGCCAATTTTGCGAGGGAAAAGATCCCGCGCATCGAAACCACGCCCCTGCTCGGAGGTTGAAAATACGGGTGTACTGTCACCCAGTCAAATGCACACACCTGTACATCTCTTTTTGATCCCCGCCAGTGAAACGTGTCCAACTGAACCTGCCAATATGTCGCCCTACATCGCGGTACATTCGATGTTTGTGACACAACATTGGGAAAATTAACAGGCGCGACTCGGGAAAACGGGGATTGAGACACAAGTGTCCCCACAGGAATGTACCCTAAGATGCCTTGGATTTGAGCCAACCAACGATATCATCTCCATCTCGTGCCAGCCATGCTGCACGAGCCCTGATTGTCTCGAGTGTCCGATCCAGTTCCATCGCCGCAGCTGGGACCGGATGGGCGGCAAAGAAAGCCTCCGCATCACGGGCCTTGTCTTCGGTGGCAAAACCCTTGAGGGGCAGAGCTGGTATGCGCTGCAAGCAACAAATTCATGTGTTGACAAGATATAAAAAACAGAGTTGAGTATTGAAATAGCAACAACCTTGGCCACGTTGTGTGATGACCAGAATAAAAAACGTCGTCACAAGGTGACTATATAAGCTATCTTGCAAGGTATTGACCTGACCTTAAAATGCAACCACAAGACAATGAGATATTGACCAGACTGAAAAGACGACAACAGGAAACCTTACAAACGACGGGCCTCACCGCAAACAAGGCAGCAGCAGAGGCGAAGCGAGCATGAATGGCATCGAAATGCTCCTTAAAATACTCCCACGCGTACTCGCGGTTGTCAGCACTGCCAGCCATGGTCATGAAGACGATGCTGCGTGGGGTTGCATGGCATGGGGGAGCGGCCACGGAGGAAGCGGGGGAAGAGGAGGGGGGAGGGGGTGGGATGTATACAGACTTGGTTAACAGAGTGGCTCACCTTGAAAAGGGCAGCAGCAGAGGCGAAGCGAGCATGGATGGTGTCATAGTGCTCCTTGAAATACTCCCATGCAAACTCGCGATTGGCTGCATTGCCTGCCATAGTCATGAAGACGATGCTGCAGGGGGGTGGATAGGGAAGGTGGGGTAAAATTTATAGTTGACACAGAGGACAATGCTGTGGGGGAGCGTATGAGTTAGAAGAAAGATTGTTTACAACGCTTCTTGTGGTCTTTGCACAGGTGCTGTGTGGGCCGGATGGGGAAGTAGGAGAATGACTTAAGTCTGCATCAGGGGAAAGCCTGCCTTGGGTATGACCATGATGCTGTGTGGGCCGGATGGGGAAGTAGGAGAATGAATTTAGTCTGCATCAGGGGAAAGCCTGCCTTGGGTATGACCATGATGCTGTGTGGGCCGGATGGGGAAGTAGGAGAATGACTTAGTCTGCATCAGGGGAAAGCCTGCCTTGGGTATGACCATGATGCTGTGTGGGCCGGATGAGGAAGGGCGTTGTTCGAATCGACTCGGAAATTGACTGGCATGGTCACAAACACAATGATGAGTGACGGTTTGGAAGGGGGAACCTTGGGTGTAGACTGAAAGCGATGCCACTATGCGCCCTATGCACCCTAAAATCCCCCTAAAATCCCACGTATGTTCGCTTAGCAGATCATGGTACTTGAGATAGATTAGTCATTTGCCAGGAGTAGGATCCCAAAAAACGAGTGAAACTTACCATTGGTCCTGGGCCTTCACTTCAGTCTCGTCAAGTGCGAACGCGAGGAAATCCTTGTAGAGCTCATGACCCTTCACAGATGAGAGTGCTCTGAACGGTGCCTCTAAAGCTTGTGAGAGTCAAGAGAGAAACTTACTACTGGTCCTGAGCCTTCACTTCAGTCTCATCAAGTGCAAACGCCAGGAAATCCTTGTAGAGCTCACGGTCCTTCACAGAGGAGAGCGCTGCACGCATGTAAGGTGGGGTATTGGTGGAAAGGGAAACAGATTGGATGGGGGGGTTAAACGTAAGGCAAATTGAATATGGTATTTAGAAGGCCAGGAAATCCTTGTACAGCTCACGGTCCTTCGCGGAGGAGAGCGCTGCACGTGGTACAGGCATTGGTGGAAAGGGACGCAGATAGGATGGAGGTTGATCGTACGGAAAATAGTATCTGGAACAAGAAAGCGGGAGATAGCTTGTATAAAATCGCGTTGAAGGGGAGATTGGTGCAGGAAATATCAGCTTCATACCAACGAGGCAGTGAATCTTGAAGTCAGGCGTGGTTGCCTCCCTGTAGAGCTTCTTAGTGGCCTCCATCTCCTCCTTTCCTCCATACTTCACCGCCACAGACATCACCACCCGACGCAGGTCAGGGTTGACAGAGCTGAAGGGTGACAGGCAGGGGTGGGAAGGAAAGAGAAGTTACAGGTGACCAGCAGTCTGACTGGCCTCCATCTCCGTACTTCACAGCAGCAGACATCACCAGCTCGGTCAACCCTGACATGAGCAAGCTAGTGATGCCCGTGGCAGTGAAGCATGGAGGCGAGGAGATGGATGATTTTTTTAAGGCGCCTCAAAAATCGTCGCAGTGAAGCATGGAGGAGAGGAGCTGGAGGCCAGACCCCCATTCGCCCACGAGACATCACGAGTGAGCTGCTTAAAGAGCTCCTGGCACTTGGCGATGGTGGGGGTATTGAAGAGAGATCAACAAGAGGGATTTAGACATGCTCCCACAAATGAGGAAGAAAAATGCACTCCAACCATGAGCCTGAACAAGGCATGCATTTCATCCCTTTCACACCATTCACTCACGAGATATCAGCGGTGAGCTGCTTGAAGAGCTCCTGGCACTTGGCGATGGTGGGGGCGTGCTGGTAGCTGCCCAACTTGCCCAGGACCAAAGGCCGCAGCATGGAGTCCAGGTGAGACTCGCCCTGCCGTGAATAAGGGGTGGGACACAGGGTGGACATAAAGGAAGTGAGTGAACACTTGGCGATGGTGGGGGCGTGCTGGTAGCTGCCCAAAACCAGAGGCCTCAGCATGGCATCCACATGGGACTCGCCCTGCCTTAACAGCTCAAACACGTTACACCTAAAAAGCCCCAAAAAGCAGAGTTAAGTCTCTCTGCCAACTCACCGCTTTGGGCTCCCAGCCCAGCTTGTCAGCGATGGGCGTGAAGAGCTGCATGCCCACCGCCTCCAGAAGGGGCTTCTGCTGCAACGCGCCGATCAGGATCTCCAGCTCGCCGATGTCCCCTGCTATCTGCGCCCATACGGTGTACCTGGACGCATGGGGGAGGGCACATGGAAACATAGGACATGCGCTTTTATGAGGATGCCCTGTTCGAAGGAAGGACTCACTCCCCACTATCCCAGGCGAAAAGGCACGATAACACAAACAGAAAACTCACTCCGTCTCGTTCTTGAATGCCCACGCCAGCTGCAGCGCCTGGCTGGTCTTGATGATGCCCGCCTTGGCCAATGCAAAGGCGTCCATGACAGAACCTGTGGAAAGGTTAGAGACGAGGGAGGGGAGCGCAAGAGGAGGGAGGGGTGTGAGAGAAGAGGGAGGGGAGTGCGAGATGGCTGAGAAGTGGCAGTGCCTGGCTGGTTTTGAGGATGCCCCCCTTGGCCAGTGCAAAGGCGTCCATGACAGAGCCTGTGGAAAGGAAAGCACAGAGAGAGAGAGAGTAGGTGACAGTTATGACACTCCTCTGCCACCTGGTGGTGCCCGCCCTTGGCAACGCCCCTTGGCAGCGCAAAAACGGCCAATATGAGGCTCATGGAGTACAAGTCGATTGAGAAGATACTCAAGGGGCACAAGGGGTTTGAGTTTTGAGGATTTGGAGTTGTGCAGCTACAGCTTAAACTCTCACTTTCTCTCATTTATCAATCAATTTCGCTAATCGAGATATGTTTGGATGGGCGGCTAAAATAGACTATGAAGACCAGCCAATTCATCTAGGAAGCAGAAACACTGAAAAGGACCTCTGCAGTGTTTCTGCTTCCAAGATGAATTGGTTGGTCTACAGTTTATTTTAGCTGCCCATCCAAACATACCGACAATGGTACGTTTTTCCAAGATAAATTGGTTGGTCTTCATTGGTTGTAATTTCGAGCTTGAAGCTTGAAACCACTTTGAGAAAAAATAGTTGAGTGGCTTCAAGCTTCACATTCGAACCAACATTACACAAAGGAATTTGTCAACAAGGTCAGAATGGAATTTGTCAACAAGGTCAGAATTAACAAAAAACGTTGTTGACCCTATACTCTCCTCACCTGCTGCTGACGATGCATGGTGCTAGATAGACTGCATGCATGCAACACAATGTACATTCCAGCAACACACCCACTCACCCAGTCGGTCAATGGCTGTCAGATCCTCACAGAGTCACTCACCCAGTCGGTCAATGACAAGCAACCGCAGTGCCTCCACAGCAGCCAACATTTGAGGCGTCTCAACAATCCACTACACAGTTCCTGTCAACCCCTCACTTCCCCTCACACGTTCATACAACACCCACTCACCCAGTCGGTCGATGACAGGCAACTGTAGCGCCTCCACAGCAGCCGAAATCCCCTTCCACTGATCCTCCGTGTAATTCACCCGGAGAATCCCAGTCTGCCCCGCATTGACCCTCAGCCACCCCCCCTCCCCTTCCGGAACCACAAACCCCTCCGCCTCCCCTTCCTTTTCCGACAGAACAACCGTATCAAGCTTCTTCCCCTCCCCTCCGCCCACTCTCCCTGCCGTTGCAGTCACAGGCACCCACCACAGCTGCTTATCCTCTGCTTCGCTGGGAGGTCCCTTGGAGAGGAAACGGGTCTGTCTGAGACGGACACCCTGTTTGCCCGGGCTGGGAGGCAGGATGGAGATGAGCGGATAGCCCATCTGGGCCGTCCAACTGACCATCATCTCACGGACAGGCTTGCCCGAGGCCTCGGCAAGGGAGATCCAGAGGTCGTTGGTGACGGTGTTGGCATAGGCGTGCTTGGATAGGTACGAGTGTAGGCCCTGTGGAGGAAAGAGGAAAGGTGAAAGGTGAAAGGGCAGAAGGGAAAGTGGAAAGGCGGAGAGACACACAGAAAGAGGAAAGGGAAATGGGAGAGGCTCACTGTGAAACTCCCCCAGTGAAACTCCCCCTGTCAAACTCCCCCAGTGAAACTCCCCCAGTGAAACTCCCCCTGTGAAACTCCCCCAGTGAAACTCCCCCTGTGAAACTCCCCCAGTGAAACTCCCCCTGTGAAACTCCCCCAGTGAAACTCCCCCTGTGAAACTCCCCCTGTGAAACTCCCCCAGTGAAACTCCCCCAGTGAAACTCCCCCTGTGAAACTCCCCCAGTGAAACTCCCCCAGTGAACTCCCCCTGTGAAACTCCCCCAGTGAAACTCCCCCTGTGAAACTCCCCCTGTGAAACTCCCCCTGTGAAACTCCCCCTGTGAAACTCCCCCTGTGAAACTCCCCCTGTGAAACTCCCCTTGTGCGACCCCCCTGTGCAACTCCCCTGCAACCCCCCTTGCATTGCACGACCCCCCTGCACTTGACCCCCCACGCGAGACGCATTATGCGGGCACATACTGACCTTCTTGAAGGCGTCCGCCCCAATGGCGGCCTCCAGCTGCCGAATGACACACGCGCCCTTGGAGTAGCTCAGTGCGTCAAACACCTGGCGGGGTGGGTGTGTAGTACAGTGGGTGAAGGAGTATGAGAGAAGAGTTTGAGCACTTGACTGAGAGTGGTCAATCCCTTGAAACAGCCCAAGGTCGAATGCTGACAACCAGCGTGCAGTTGCAAGTGACACAGGCGCCCTTTGGAGTAGCTCAGCACGTGAAGCAGTTAAATCCTATCCCTACTTTCTAACTCACCCCTGTAACTGCCTGCAGCAGGAGCTTGTGCAGCAACACCCACAGAAGAGGTACATGAAGATAGAGAGCACATGAGGCGGCTGTATGGTCACCCCCTCCACTCCCTCACCCCCCCCCCCCCCCTCCCCGTCTAACCCCATCCCATCCAGGCCAATTTCACCGCATCCCACTGCTCCCAACCCCCGGGCTCACCTGCTCGATCTCCTTGGGGTCATTAATGGGCACTTCAACGGGGTGAGAGCCCAGCAGGGCGTCAGTGTGCAGGCACGTGTCCATGTCATTGCAGGCGAACTGCGTCCACACGTCCCACTCGGGGAAAATATAGTCCACTCCCAGCCACCCCACCCACGTGGCGAAGCCCTCGTTCAGCCACAGGTCGTTCCACCACTGCATGGTTACCAGGTTACCAAACCACTGCGGAATGGTGGGGGGTGGGGTTGGACAATCGGTTGGAGAAATGGGGAAGCAGAAGCACGGCGAAGAGGGGGGAAACAGAAGTGGGATCCGGTGAGGTTAGAAATAAGCAGGGGAGTGGCAAGGTTGGTATATGCAAGATATCACTCTTTCTCCCATGTTACATGAAACCCCTTATCAAGCCTCAACTGGTTTTGAGACGTCTCACCTGCTGCGCAAGCTGGTGCCAGATGACATAAGCCACCCACTTTGTGGCAAAACCATCAGCATACAAGACGCCCAGTCTTTACTCTTGAGACGCTCAGAATGATTACCTGGTGGGCCAGCTCGTGTGAGACGACATACGCCACGCGCTGCTTGGTGGCAGCAGGCGCGCTGTTCTCATCCACCAGCAGCGCCGTCGCTTGGTGCTCACCCGCAGTACCAGCACACAAGCAGCCCAGCCAGCCTCCCTATGTGAGTCTACTCAGAAGCCATACCTGGTGGGCCAGCTCGTGAGAGATGACGTACGCCACGCGCTGCTTGGTGGCAGCAGGCGCGCTGTTCTCATCCACCAGCAGAGCTGTCTCCCTGAAGGTGATGAGGCCCCAGTTCTCCATGGCTCCCATGGCAAAGTCCGGGATGGCTGCATGCATATGGGAGGGATGGAAGGGGACGTGCGTGCTGGAGGAATAACGGAGAAATGATAACGCTGCTGTATCACTGAACGTGATGAGGCCCCAGTTCTCCATGGCTCCCATGGCGAAGTTCAGGATTGGCTGCATGCACATGGCATGTGGCGTGAAGGGAGTCCAGTAAGGAAGGGTGTGGAGTCAGGGAGAAAACTCACCAATGAGATCGGCCTTGGGCAGGGGGTACTTGATTCCGAAGTAGTCCTAAAAAAAGGTCATCACCTTGCCTTGCACGCCACCGACCGCTCTTTGACGCGCCGCAACACTGGCTCACCAATTGGGTCTACCTTGGGCAGCAGTGGATTCTACTCGGTGCTGCAGGGTGCATTGGGGTAATCTTGAACGAACTCACCAATGAGGTCGGCCTTGGGCAGGGGGTACTTGATTCCGAAGTAATCCTCGAAGAACGTGATCACCTTGAATGCCACTGACAGCTCTTTGACTCACCAATGGAATGTGCCTTGGGGAGGAATTGGTGGTTCGTGTTGCAGGGTGCTTGTGAGTGTTCTCGGACTCACCAATGAGGTCGGCCTTGGGCAGGGGGTACTTGATTCCGAAGTAGTCCTCAAAGAAGGTGATCACCTTGCACGCCACTGACAGGGCGAACCTCCCTTGCTCCTTCCTCCCAGGCGTCGTATAAATGTTCACCTGAACACACAAAACATGACAGTAACAGTCCAGCATGAAGGTAAAAGCTTAGCTGCATGTACAAGCACATAATCCCTTGTCCACTTATATACAGTCACCACAATCCCACTGGTGACTAACTCATTCCTGATTCATGTTCCATTCGCATGTAAATACAAATCCCTTATCCCACTCTCACCAGAGTGCCGTTGCTGGTCTTGTCAGAAACACACTCCACCTCCCCCACCACGAACGCCAGCAGGTACGTGCTCATAACCGGGCTCTCCGCAAACCGAACCACCTCCGAGCCGTCCGCCTGCTTCTCCCGCCCAACCTCGTCCATGTTGGACAAGCCTTGCAACCCGGCCGGCACGCGCAGTGACACCTCGAACGTGGCTTTTGCTGCAGGTTCGTCCCAGCAGGGCAGGGATTGGCGCGCTCCTACTGGCTCAAACTGGGTCGTCACCATCCACTGCTTCTGGCCGTCACGGGTGTAGGATGCACCTGAAAGGGGGAAAAAAGGGACATGCGGGGCAGGGAGAGGTCTTTTCTTCAGCTTGTCCCGGCAACAAACGGATTGGGGCACGTTCCTACTGCCTCGGATTGAAAGGGCACCATCCACTGCTTCTGAATGCACCTCAACTAAACTTACGTTCCTACTTACTCAAATCACACTTACGGTAGAAGCCAACCATGTTGTCGTTGTGAATCCCAGTGTACTCAATCCTCAGCTTCGCAGGCCCGGTGCTCAACGTCTGCCCTTCCCCCAGCACCAACTTCCCTTCCTGCCTCTCCTTGTCCAGCTCCACTGCCGGCACTCCATCCGCTCCTGCTGTGAGCAGCTTGTCGCCTGTTGTCAGCTCCACCTGGATGGGATTGTGGTGAGCAGGCAGGTGGGAGAGTATCTCAGGACTGATGAACCTTCCTTCCTGCATCTGCAATTCCAATGTTTGACACCGCTGCATTCCATCGCTCCTGCTGTGAGAAGCTTCGAGTTGTCGGCTCCACCTGAAAGGAGTTCTGGTAAGAGAACATAGAAATGAAATTCTTCCGCTTGTCGCCTGTTGTCAGCTCCACCTGGATGGGATTGTGGTGAGCAGGCAGGTGGGAGAGTATCTCAGGACTGATGAACCTTCCTTCCTGCATCTGCAATTCCAATGTTTGACACCGCTGCATTCCATCGCTCCTGCTGTGAGAAGCTTCGAGTTGTCGGCTCCACCTGAAAGGAGTTCTGGTAAGAGAACATAGAAATGAAATTCTTCAAGAGATTGAAACGACTCAGTGGCATCCGCTTACCGTTTGTCTTATTTCCAAGGCAAAAAATAAATCCAGCAACAATTTGCTCACTGTATGCCTTATTTCTATAATATTGTCAGAGATTCAGTGACTAAGCGCTCGCCATGTCTTATTTCTGAGACATCGAAACAAAGTTAATTAACAATCGAATCACCGTATGTCTTCTTTCTGGGACATTGAAACAGATTCAGTGACAATCTGCTCACCGTACGTCATCTTACTGAGACATTGAAACAGATTCAGTGAAGATGTGCTCACCGTATGCCTTCTTTCTGAGACATTGAAACAAATTCAGTAACAAACCGCTCACCGTAGGTCTTCTCTCTGAGACATTGAAACAGAATCAGTGACAATCTCGGTCACCACGTCTTCTTTCTGGGACATTAGAACAGGTTCAGCGACAAACAGCTCACCGTATGTCTTCTTTCTGAGACTTTGAAACAAAATCAGTGACAATCCGGTCACGGTATGCCGTCTCTTTGAGACACTGAAACAGATTCAGTGACATTCCGCTCACCATATGCTTTTTTGAGACATTGAAACAAATTCGTTTTTTTTTTTTTTTTTTTTTTACAAATCCAATTTCATCTCAAGTCCCTACCACTAGATTACTTTCGTCTTTACTTCGACGACTTAAGGAAGAGAAGTCCGTGGCTATCCGCACCTTGCGCCTTCCCGTAAGGACATCGAAACCAGTACAGTTACTATTCGCCTACCTTATGCAACTCCAGCTCCTGCGCGTGGAATCGAATCTCATTCGTCGGCTCAACCACGTCCAAATCTATGGTCACGATGCCCTTGAACTTGAAGGTTTCCAGATTCGGCTCCAGATGGAGCACATACTTCTTGGGCTTCACGGACGTAGGCAGTAGCACAGAAGCCATCTTGACGCAAGGGCCCGAATAGCTCTGCGCAGTAAGGGCTAAGCACAGCAGAAGAGAGAAACGGATTCGGGATTCCGAAGGCGTCCTCGGTTACACGCGACGGTGAAGGGAAGTGTGAAGATGGCCGGAATGTATGGCAAGCAACCTTGAATCAGCCTCAGATCTGGAAACTGGAATTTCGGCCTACCATAAGTTTTCAGCGGAGTATCCTTCTGTGCACAGAAATGGCGAAAATTTCCGAAGCCTGTTGCTCTTCTCGGGCTTAACAGTCCAAAAATATTTTATTGGGCTTTTATTATACTACATCAGTATAAATAGTGTGTATAAACATTCTTGTTTGTTGGTAGCTCAGTACTAACTTTGGAGCAAATATTATCCCAGTTATTTGTGGCACAAGGTTATGAATGGCATAATATCCACAAATTTTACGACTTGGACAGCTTATGCTTCTATAATTCCAAACACAGATGATTTAAAACTACTATATTGAATTATGCTTGAAATCACAAAGGGGTATTCCATCATATTCCTCACCATCGCTACCCTCATCGGGTTGCTTCGACAAATTCCACATCCCAAAATTGCATGCTGGAATCAGGGTTTGATGACGTGCCCTGATGTGAATCTGCACCACGTGTTTTCTTGCCTCACCTCGTCATTTCGCACAAATATACCCTTTATGGAAAACGACCCAAACTTCCGTGTCACATTGCAAATAACGAACCACCAAGGAACACACAAGTACCGATTCCCTGAGACTTCAGCTTTCAAACATTAGTTTCCCAAAATCTTATTCTGTTTCTCTATATTTCTGTGTTATGAAGCCTTTCAGAATTGTATAAAAGCTCGAAATCATGTATGAGACTTCCACTAGAACAATCCACCACAATAGGCAAAATTCTAGCAAATAGAAAGAAATGTCCACTGAGTGAGTGAACAGACACCTTGGAGATGTGTACCTGGGCTCTACACATCAAGATCCATCAATTGTCAATCCCCAAATTCTCAAACAGCTCCTCTGCCACTCCTAGTGCTTACAGGCGCTTCCACCACGGCTGGATGAAATCAAACTCGCCCTTGGCGCAACCAGCAGGGTTCGTCGCGGTGTTGAAAATCGCGTAGTAGTTCTTAGGGTTCTGAATCATGGCGTCAACGGTATCCTTAAGCGGGCCAGCGGCGACGGTAACAGCGCTGGCCGGGGTCCACTTGCCCTTGAACCTGTACGAGTACGGAACGAACTTCTGCAGGAACTTGAACACGCGGAGCTCGTACGTGGTGTTCTTGTACGTCTGACCCGCGCCCAGGTCGATAACCAGGCTATTGTCGGCCGCGCTGTTGACTGTGAACGCGGTGGGCTCCCCAGGCTCCTTGGATTCGGCCTCCGCGCCGAATCGAATGTTGTAATCGTTGCCCTTCCTGGAAAATCATTGAAACACGATAGGGTGCGGATCAGTATCAAGAGAGCTTACACGATGCGCAATGTTTAAATGTTAGATAAAAAGAGCATCTGCGAAGGATTTCGTTTCTGTTTTTTTGTGCGATTGGGGTTGATTCTGCTGGATTCGATATAGCAGTCTTACTTGTAGATGGCCATGTAGGCATAGCCGTCGGACATCTTGTCGGCGCCGTCTACGTGATCCAGCTCAGCATAGAGCGACCCCTGGTACACTCCCATGAACACGTCATTCTTCTCTATCTTCTGAAGCCCGGCGCGAACGCTCGCCGGCGGACGCGCGAATCCTGCAAACACATTCACGAACGCATCAGCCTTTGCATTATGACAGTTTTCACAGCACCGCTTTCTGATGCATTCACAGTGCATCCACGTAAAAAATGTGTTTGCAGTCAGAAATCTTGCTCGATGACGTACCGACTGCGGCGAGGCATGCCAACGTGACGACGAAGATGGCGATTTTCTGAGCCATAGCGGCCTGTTTCTGGCTTCAGTAGAAAAGCTGAAGACTTGAGTGCGCTGGCGAATGGATTGATCGTGTGTTCGAGCTGCTCAGTGGTTGTGTGCTGCGGAATGTTTCTTTTGAGGCTGAAATGTCAAATTTATGCAAAATGTGGAATTCAAGGGCCCAGCGCCGCATTTCGAGCCGCGTCGGTTTGTGGAAACGCACGATGATGCCGCCGAACACACAAAGTGAAATGCCACAGGGCGCTTATCCTAGGCCGGTGAATTTTTTTTTCCATAGTGACGAGTATGTGACAGTATCAATTCCTCGGCCACTGGGGGGACTACTGCAGTTGTGCGTATTCTGCTCAACCAGCGCTTGTATCGATTGGAGGCTATGCCTAGCCCTCACCACAACCTAGAACATGATCACAGATGCGGCTGAGCACGTTCTGGAAGAACAGGCGGAATGATTCTGGACATCACCAAAGCACAAAACACATCACCGCAAAGTTCTCGTAGGTGTACAGTGAATAGATTACTCATACTGCCCAATAGTATAAGCTATATTTTTGCTAGTTGCTAACACTAATATACATATGGCGACAATGTGTCACAACGCGGACATCTAGTCCTTTGCCTCTAGAACTACATTCACTTTCACCTCCTGATCCCCCCTCAGTACTGTGACAGCAACCTGCACACAAGTGATAGAATCGCCTACTTCACTGAAAAATGCATGCGCGTAAAAATGCAACACATCAAATGTTGCACGTGAGCTTACCGTGTCTCCCACTTGGCAATCATCAAGTGCCCGATAAAGATCTGTTCCGCTTCGCACTTTATGGTTGTCAATAGCGGTTATAATGTCCCCCAATACCAGCCGGCCATAATTGTCCCTAGACGTTGGCCGGAGACCCTGATGGTGATAAAAATAATGTGGGGATAGAGAGGCAAACCAGGGAAACTTGCCAGTATGTGCAAGAGGGTGCTGGAAAGAATTAAGTCAACACAGCCGTATCTTATATGAACCAACCAGCTACAGTTCACCATGATACATATACACTCACGGCTTTGCCTGCGGGCCCCGAGGGCGGGGCGTCGAGCACGAGCACCCCATCGACGCCCAGCTTCTCCACTGCCTCCTCGGGAGCAAAGGATATGCCCAGCACAGGCCGCACCACCCTCCCATTCTCTATTATCTGCTCCACGATGCCGCTGATCTGAGACGTTAGGGTGAGGGTGGAGGGGGGGAGGAGGAGATACGGCAATGCTTTTCAACACGGAGGTGGCTTCTGAGTCGTAAAAAAATCACCAACAGCCAAAGTTGGATGAATATATCCGTGTTAAGTACAGCATTCTCGACAAGCACACCTCGCTATAAGCACCGTCAGCATGACTCACACTGTCGGCAGGAATGGCGAATCCAACACCGGAAGAAGCACCAGAGGGTGAATAGATAGCCGTGTTGATGCCGATCAGGCTGCCACTAGAGTCCAAAAGAGGCCCACCGCTGTTGCCCGGGTTTATAGCAGCATCCGTTTGTATCACGCCCTGTATTGGCCGCCCTGTTGCTGCTGACTGGATCTCTCTCCTCAAACCACTGGTGAGATGATGGAGAGTGAAGGAGATGGAGGAAAAGGAGGGGAGAATTGAAGTATGAGGTGGAAAAAGAAAAAAGTAGAGAAATTGATTCGAGGCTGAAAAGGAAGAAAATAGTTTGAAAATCTTTCTTCATCACTGATTGCTTAGTTCAGGGAGGCGGCACGGCAATAGTAGCACAGGGGATGAAGAGGTGAAACAAGTGACGTAGCGAATCACACCAGGCGTGTGTCCTCTGGTGTATACACCGACCTGATACTCATTGCACTAACCTGATGACGCCTGATGTCAGAGTGTGGTCGAGCCCAAACTGTGAGGAGCAAGACAGTAAGCAAGGGGCAAACACAAAAAAGGGGGACTCATGAAAAAGCATGGCCTTTGTTGGTCAAGTATAGAAGGAGCATGGAATTTCTTGGTAAAGTATAAAAGGTAAATGGGACCAGGGATAATGTGGAACACGGGAGGTGAAGGGGGGAGAGAGTAAGTAACTGAGAGTGTGTGAGAGAGTGTGACTCACAGGGTTACCGATGGCGAAGACCCGTTGCCCAACCATGAGATCCGAAGATGATCCGATGGTGACCGGGTGCAGGGACTCCTGAGGGGCATCGATTAGCAGCACTGCCACGTCCTTGTCCTCGTCGCATCCCACCACCACCGCTGCATGCACCGAGGAGTCTGAGAGCGTGACTCTGAGTGGGATTAGTTGGGGGATAGAGAGATGGGATCAAGGGAGAGAGGTTGGGAGGCAATCAGCAGCACTGCCACGTCCTTGTCCTCGTCGCACCCCACCCCACCACCACCGCTGCATGCACCAAGGAGTCCGAGAGGGGGACCCTGTGGGATCATATGGAAGGAAAAGAGATGATCAGCAGCACCGGTACTTCCTTATTTTCGTCGCACCCCACCGTCCCGTGGTAGTTGGTAACAATGTGCCCCAAATCGTCTCATATGAAACCGTTGCCCCACCCTTGCGGCACCGCCAGCACCGTGACAGTCACGCACGCTCACTGTTGCCAAGTCCATATTTTCACCGCATTCCACACATCCACTTACCTAGATCAGCGGCATTAGCAATCACGTGGTAGTTGGTCACAATATGTCCTATCTCGTCCCAGACGAACCCGCTGCCCGACCCTTGCGGCACTGCCAGCACCTCTACACACTGCTCCCAAGTCCTTATTCCACCGCATTCCACCCATCCACTCACCTGACATCAGCGGCATTGGCGATCACGTGGTAGTTGGTAACGATGTGCCCCACCTCGTCCCAGACAAACCCGCTCCCCGACCCTTGCGGCACCGCCAGCACGTCGAGCGTCAGCGCGTCGCGACCCACGCCGAGGTTCGTGATGTTCACGACGGACGGTGTCGTCTCCTTGAACAATCGGACGGTCGCAATTTCATCCTGGGAAAGCGTGCGCGGGGGCGCCGCCACGTAAGCGAGCGCGGGATTTGGGGAGGCGGAAAGGACGAGCATCGCGATCGACGCTGACGCGGCTAGTTTCCGCCAATCAAAAGCCGCCGACTTTCGGCAAACAGGAACCGTCGATACTAGGGATTGGGAAGAGAGACAAGAGGAGGAGGAGGAGGAGGAGGAGGAGGAGGAGGAGGAGGAGGAGGAGCATACGATGTCGCCATGCACCTTCTGCGAAAGTTCGTTCCGCCACTGCCCGAGAACTCGACGCACGGCTGTGGCTAAATCGGTTGCCCTGGTGTTCTGAGGTGATCCAATATCGGGTTCCAAGTTCGACTCGCTAACCTCCCGATCCCTGTTATAAGCAGCAACGCGCGACGAAACGACGCGCGATGACGGTGCACCGATATCCCCGCTATTAGCCTTTATAAGTACGAAGTTGGCATCAAAGGTAGCCGACTCTACTGATGCTGACTGCACTAACAGCTGCTTCTCCACTGATATTAAGGGACTGCGCGCTTCGGGAGCATCCCTGCCATTCGTTATCGGCAGCGAAACTCGCGCTACGGGTTCTGAAAATCCAGATGACGCCACGTGGAGGTTCTTGAGTGGTTGGGATGTTCGCAACGTGCAATGGCTGGGATCGGCGGATATTGCGATTAAAGGCTTTAATCGATGGGAGCGGGGCGGGAGAAACGGCCCATGCGACGCTTCGCGAAAGGAAGCTTCAGACAACGAGCTGGTTACCCTACTGCGCGAGGACGGCACGGACGATGCACCTCGTGCGCGAACGGCGTGCGACGCGGGAACTGCAGCCATGGCGGTGAGTTGACCAGGCTACACTAGCAATGCTGCTCGTACTCCCTTCAGAGCCCACGTTTCTGGAAGGAAGGGGGGAGGTTATCACTCTCGAATAGTCTTTTGAAAAAATTGTTTCATGTGTTCGTTGCACAGTTCATTCGCCGTCGCTGATACACTACTTGTCACTAATGGCTGTTGCTACTGTTGGTTGCTCGGTTTGTTGGTTGGTGGCTGGGGAGGCAGAATGTTTCGGGCAGGGCGGGAGCGGGGGCCATTGGATTGGCGCTGCTGTTGGTTCCGAATAGTTGACCCACTTAGGCGGACGGTTTCCGTCTGTTTCTCTTGTTTATCGCGCATTTTGCGCCCTGTTTGCGCCCCTTGCATTTTCTGGTATTTTGCGCCCCTGGCATCTTTGCGCCCCTGGCATTTTCTGGTATTTTGCGCCCCTGGCATCTTTGCGCCCCTTGCATTTTCGACCCCAGTTCTTCCTTCAATTTCCCCCACCCCCACCCTCGATTTTGCCGGCGATTCGCCCCTCAAGATTCCCGCTACTCCCCCTTCTCTGCAAAAGTGGGGTGAAGCGAAAGCGAGGAAAAAAAAAAAAACGCGCGACGCCGATTGACCCTCGTGCAATTCCACGTGTGTTCATACGACTACCAGCGAAAAACACCAACAGTGTCGCACAGATACTCCTCGTCACCAGAGACACGTAATCCGCCACACCCTCCCCCACCCATCCTCATGCTGATCGCCAACGCACAAAAACATTAGTCGGCGTACAAATCAACCAATGTGTGTTCAATGGCTTTTTTTCAACGATAGCTCGCGACTGAAATAGTGGCGGTGGTGGATTGGCTGATGTGGGCTTACGATGACGCTGACGGTCCACAACGACTTCCAGCTTGTCGCTCACTGAACAAAAGCGGTTCGCTAGCAGAGCGACGTAAGTACGTCGCCGAATGACCTGGCGCCTTACGGCGCGTGTGATTTTTTTTGGGGTTCGTATTTAAGGTCGAACTTTAGGTGTAACCAGTTTCGCCAATGTTCGCAGGAGATTTCGCCAATGGTGACTCCAATTTCAAGAGTACCAGGTGCGAACATACAAATGTGAACAAGATTCGAATATACGCACAAACTTTGTGTAGCACACTGAACCGAACGTGTGTGGTTTCAGGCACGTACAAGGAACCAGCGAAGCTCGCGACTCTTTCGTGCACCAATGGAGGCACTTACGACACCCGTAGCAGAGTCCCCCGCGCAAATCCCACCACGTGGCATGCGTCGTGGCACGATGACGGTTCGTGAGTGCGTATCATCCGGCGCAAGCGATTTGGCTGTGAAATTCCCGCCTACCAATCTTGAAACAGCCTCAACTATCAACACCCCCAACGTGAAGCCACTCCCACGGTTCAAAGTATGTGCACATTCCACCCTCTCGTAGTCCCGTATGCATTGCTTTTTTTCACAATGTCCGCGTCACAGGACGATGCCCATGGAACCACCGCACCTTGCGGTGCGTCGTCGTCGTGCAACGGTCGACAATACCACTGCTCGCCGCTTAGACGTGATAGATCTCGACCAAGTGATTGCCCGTGTTCCCGCACACAACACCCCGCTCAACGCCAACGACGACTCGCTGGCGTATTTTGACGCCGGAGAAGTTGACTGTGACGTAGAAGACACTGCCGACGAAGATACCGACCCTGCAATGGCGACAGACAGGTCCCGCTGGGAGGCGCACGAGGTTATGCAGCTGGCGTGGATTCGCCACGACTACGACGCGCAGTATCGCGGCCAGACCCGCCTGCAAGGGCAAAACCGGGACGTGATGTTATTCGAGAAGCTGCGGGAGCGCCACCCTGAATTCCGCCACAATCTGGCCGCCGTGAAGGCAAAGGTATTCCGCATGGAGGCGCAATATAGGCGTGTGGGGGATCTACTGCTCAATGCATCAGGCAAGGGCCGCCCCCCGAAGCTGCCCATCTTCTACGATATCTTCGACAGAATTTTGGGCGATCGCGCAAATGCTCGTCCGCCCGCGCTTGCCGGTAGCCTGCCTGGCGCTAATGTCGTGAACTTGCCGTCTACCAGCACCGTCGCAAGTAAGTATGAGTTTGCCGAATGTATGAATGTCAATAAAGTAGTTGCTGCTTAACAATCGTCAATTCACAGCAAAAAACTTTAACCCCTAACAACACTGTTGAGCCGCATTAACCCTTCCCGCTACACCCCCACCCCTTCACATTCGTCATAGATCGTGCCGTGCCTACTCAGCCGGCAACAGCGATTCAAGACGCTGCATCTGCAGCGCCAATTCGGCCGAGGGCAAGGCTTCGCACCCCTTTGCGCCAGCGCACGGCATCATCGCCGAGTGGATCCCCGTCGAACCCGCCGCTAACTCAGCCGCCAGCGTCCCGGGTGTCGGATGACGAGCCCACCGATGCCGCCACAACGGCCTCTCCCGTCCGCTCACACGTCCTCGGTGCGCGCACGGGAGCTTCGCTCCGTGGGCGTGGTGTCAACCGTCAGCCTGGGCCTGCGACTGGAAGCGAAGTCAACACAGGCAATGACCCGGGTGAACATGCCTTGGGAAATATGATGAATGCTAGTGATTCGACATTGTGCAGGGAAATAGCAGGAATAATTTCTCAATCAGTGACAGGTGCCATGCAGGAGCAATTTGCCGCATTCATGGATCGTACCCAAGAGTTGGTTGAGTCTGCTCAGGATGTCCGAGCCTCCAGGAAGCGTAGAGGCACGCCGCCATCCGAGCGCGACGACGTGTCGGAGTGAAGCCTTCGTCCCGCGGCGAGAAGTGCGGCATTTCGGCGGCGGGGCCGTGCTGCCACCAGGTGTTGCGCTCACGCGGAGGGAGAAGGCGAGGACGGGGGCCGAAAAGCAGGTCGATATTATGTAGAACGATGCAGGCAGAGACGTACTGCGGGGCGCGGAAAATGTCGCACTCCAAGCGCCCGTCCAGCATCCGCCAGCGCGTCTTCAGCCTCCCGTTAACCTGTTCGACAATCATCCTGGCGCAGGATTGCTGCAAGTTCCACACGCGCTGCTCGTCCGGGAGTCCGCGCCCTGGCAGCGCCCTGTAGGGGGTAAGGATGTAATCCCGTAGACCATAGGCCGCATCGGAGACGATGGCATAGTCGTAGATACCGCCCAGTTCAATCTTGTGTCTTGCCGGGCTGTGCTGGAAGACCCGAGCGTCGTTGACACTTCCCGGCCATCCGACGTAGAAGTCGTAGATGTAGCCACTGCAGTCACAGATGAGTTGTGCAATTATGCTGAATGCACCCTTCCTATTCCTAAAATCCTCGCAATGTGGCCCCTGACCACGGCAGTGAACATATGTGCCATCCATGGCACCTACGACACCAGGAATACCCGCCTCATTACGAAACTCACGCTCAAAGACTTGACACATTTCAAAGTCAGGCCAGATGACCCACTTCTCCAGTAAGACTCTGTTGACGAAGTCAACAAACTGCGTGAACAGTTTCTGGGCGTGAGAGTAGGAATACCCGAACTGCAGACCGAGATGACGAAATGGAAGTCCATGTCCAAGTCGGTTAAGTCCCAACGCCACAAATATGAAATCGTGGACGGGATGCTTTCGCGTTGAGGAGCTGCGGAGCTGGTGCTGACGCACAAGGTAAATGAATACACGCCTGTCCACGCGCATGTACTCGTAAAATGTAGACTCGGGCAGCAGGGTAATCAGGTTGAACCACCGCACGCGGGCATCGAGGCGATCCCCACGGACGAACACACGGGTCTGTCGCAGACTGAATGCGGCGACGAGCGAAGGGATGGCTGCACCAATGGCGGAGAGAGCAGGTAGCAGGAAACATCGCATGTAACCTTGAAGCACAATTCCGAGAAAGCGCACAAGTTGAATCAGAGTCATTGTGTGATGCTGAGTTGGAGACCTGGCCGAGCACTCCGATATTTGTATCGTGAGCAACTGTCCCTTGAGCAATGTCGAGGTGGAGGTCTAGCGTTAATTTTGTTTAGGGGCGATTCGTTGACGTGTCGCGCTGTCAATAGAAGAATACCGGGTAACCTACGCACCCTATAGGCGGCTCGGTCCCCCCCCTGTAAGCTCGAACCTGCAAATTCGCACTTTCGTGTGTGATTGTGAATCTACAAGCATTGTCACCTGCGGTTCGAACATTGCCAATGCTCAAAGTCGAGTCATGTTCAAATGCTTAAATCGAGTAAAAAACATAAACTTATGGCAAAATCCAAAATCACACGCGCCCTTAGAGCAGGGTCGACTCAGTAAGAGCCGCTGCACAACTATACATAGAATATGGTAATGCTTTCATTACACCAACTTGTTCATGTATGCATGCCCAAATCAGAAAAGGCAACTCAAAGTTGCACACCGAAGGCAACAAAGTATGCACACAGAACAGAGCCAATGATTAGATGGTCCAGCAATCCATCCGAGTCGTGACTAGTAAGACGTGGTGCCATACATTTATCATTACTCTGATTTTTTATCGCGCCCACTGTCCCCTTTATCCACTGCAAACCTCACCTTTCCTTCACCCTTGTCCCCTTTTTCGCCTTTCTCCTCCTCCCCCTTTGCCTTCTCCGTACCACTGCTCCTCCCGCTCGCAGCCACACTCCCACTCCCAGCAGCAGCAATGGCCAAAGCGGCAGCAGCAGCAGCTGTGCCATTAAGAGCACTATTAGCTCTTAACTCCTGCGCTTTGTTAAGCACCGCTGCCATGCGCCTGTTCCTAACCGCTTTAAAAACATCCTCTACAGAGAGACCGAGTTTTCGTCTCAAGTACCGGCGGAACGCCAGCTGGATCGTGCGGGCAGCGTGCGTTCGTCTGTTGTAGCAGATTTGGCTGGTGGTGGGGCGAGGATGCAGGGACAGAGAAGGGCGGAGGCAGGTAAAGGCGTGAAATTCATGACTAGAAGAAGGCCAGTAACTTGGTAATTTTACAAATATAGGGCTTGATGAAAAGACAGCAGCAGAATGGACTGTGGGGAGTGAGGAGGGAAGTTCATACATATTTTTGTGTACACTTGCAACTAACAAAAATCAACCAGCCAGCCAAACAAACAAACAAACAAAAAGAAGAAGCTCACTTGAGGGCGCGCTGAACGGTGTTGGTGCAGAGCATGCGTGCAAACTGCTTGCACACAATCGCCACGTCAGCAGCCTCCAGCGAGTACCCCTCGACCGGCCCCAGGCAGCGCACCGAGCGCTGCGCCGTGGGCAAAACATCCACTGATGGCTGCGCCTGGGAGAGGTTGGCAGAGCTGGTGAGCGATGGCGTGACTGAGATGGCTGGAAGGAGGGGAGTGGGGGGATTGTGGATATGAAAAGGCGGTCATTACACGACATTCCAGGGAGATTTCCTCCGGGAAAGCACCCCTCCCTCCAGCGAGTACCCTTCCACGGGCCCCAGGCAGCGCACCGACTGCTGCGCCGTTGGCAAAACATCCACTGATGGTTGGGAAAGGTTGGCAGACCTGGCGTGGTTGAGATGGCTTGGGGGAGGACAGGAGGGTGTTGGGAAGATGAGAGACGGAACTAAAACCCTCTCTCATAACCCTTCCCTTCATCAAATTCTCACATCTTCTCATACCCTTCCATTCAAATCGAAACTCACATCTCTTGAGAGTCAAGGATCGGCCTGAGCCCTGCCCACTGGCAGCAGAGAGCCTCTCTAGACACTCCACCAGAAGCTCCTCTCGCAGGAAGTCCCCCTTGCCCAGCACCACCGTGTAGCTAGCCCTCCACCCCCCTCCTTTCGGCCCAAACAAACCCAAACAAACCAAAACAAACCTAAACAACCCTGAACTCACATCTCCTCATGGTAAGCGATCGACCCGACCCCTGCCCACTGGCAGCAGAGAGCCTCTCCAAGCAGTCAACCAGCAGCTCCTCCCCCAGAAAGTCCCCCTTGCCCAGCACCACCATATCCGGCATCCCCGTGTGGCCCCCGAACGTGGAGAAGCTCTCGAGCTCGCCTCTTAGAACAAAGAAGATGCGCGAGACGGGGTAGCCTTCTCGTATGATCATAGAGCCCGCCGTGTAGATCTGCTGCTGCAGCCGCGCACAGAAGGCGTCAAGAACTGGCGGCTCCATCGCACAGAAGAGCACGGACTGCAGGGGGAGGGGAGGGGGGGAAGGAGGAGTGGGGAGGGAGAGGGGAGGAGAGGGAGTGAGGATGACGGGAGAATGGGGAGGCGCCGAACGAGGAGAAGCTCTCAAGAGCTCGCCTCTCAGGCACAAAGCAATCGAGCGAGGTCTCGAGCTCCCCTCTGAGCATGAAGAAGATGCGCGAGACGGGGTAGCCCTCTCGTATGTATAATCATAGAGCCAGCTGTACCACCACACTGTACTGTACAGTTTCTTACCTGACACAGCAGTACACTGGGAGGACTCATGCATTGTAGTAATTCGAGGCACAGTGAGCGGCGGAGGTCAATTTGAATGGAGTCCGAGAAGCTGTCCAGCAGCTCTGCCTCACACCCTACCATATCATACCATACTGCACCGCACTACACCAGGACTCACGCATTGCAACAGCTCGAGGCACAGCGAGCGGCGGAGGTCAATTTGAATGGAGTCCGAGAAGCTGTCCAGCAGCTCTGCCTCGTCCACGCCCCTTGTTGCCGCCCACTGCAGCCGCAATTGAGCCTGCACCTGCCTGCAGTCAAACAAGTCAACAGAAGTCAACAGGGTAAATAGGGCATGAAATGAGAGGAGTGGTTTTGAGACGTCTCAAAACTACACTTTTATCACGTGAAATGAGAGGAGTGGTGCAAGTGACTCTGGCTGCCGAGCAGCTCTGCCTCGTCCACACTCCTGGTTGCCGCCCACTGCAACCTCAGCTGCGCCTGCACCTGCCTGTTTCGGGGGGGGGGAGGGGGGGGGGGGGGATTCGATGGGGTCAACAGGGTCAACAAGGTCAACAGAGGTCAACAGGGACAGCAGGGTCCACAGAGTAAAAAACATAAAATAAAAAATCAAACAGAGTAAAAAAGGTAAATCAGAGTCAAACAAAGTCAACAGGTCGGAATGTGAATAGCGCTTGGCTTAAGTCGGCTACATCGTAGTTGAAAATAGTAAATACCGGAAGGTATTTCAACCCTAGTCAACGCCCCTCCAGTCAAAGCGCTGAAAAGCACCGGAAGGTTCTGGGAAGCTTACTTCTGGAGGTCGACGGGAAGATTCCTGCGCTGCATCCACGCGTCGATGTCGTGGCGCTGCAACTGATACTCAAAGGACCTGTTGGGGGGGGGAGGAGGGGGAGAGGAGAGAGAGAGAGAGGAGGTCGAGAGGAGGGCCAATATGAGGAGATGCTGACAATGAGGAGAGCCAGCAGCAGCAGACCGATGATGGTGACGACTTACTTGTGTGGTAACCACATTGGTAACCATTAACCCGTTCACGTCCCCCATGTTACTCACCTTCTGTTGAGCGACTGCAGGTATTTGGAGATGTTGCCAATGAGGAGGGCGAGCAGCAGCAGCAGCAGGCCGATCATACGACTCACCTTTCTGTTGAGGAATTGTAGGTAGTTGGAGATGACTTTTGAGGCGCCTCAAAAGTTGGAGATGATGCCGATGAGGAGCGCGAGCAGCAACAGGCCGATGATGGTTGGCCATTCACTTGAGTGATAACTGCTTACCGAACATTCCTGGTAACCCAGTGCCTACTTGTGTTAGCTCTACCATCCCACCTACCTTCTGTTGAGCGACTGCAGGTAGTTGGAGATGTTGCCAATGAGGAGAGCGAGCAGCAACAGACCGATGATGGTGACGACGATGACAAACAGCAACTCCACGTCCCACCGCGACGGCACGAGGTTGCCACACAGCGTGCTCACTTGCTGTGAGGGATTGAGTGGGGAGAAGGGAGGAGAGAAGGAGGGGGGAAGAGGGGGGTTGGGTGGTGACGATGACAAAGAGCGCCTCCACATCCCACCGCGACGGCACCAGGTTGCCACACAGCGTGCTCACTTGCTGTGGTGATTGGCAGGGGGGGAGGGGAGGAGGGAAGGGAGGTAAAGGGAAGGGGAGAGAAAGGAGGGAGGGGGTGGTGATGACAGATAGCACCTCCACATCCCACCGCGACGGCACGAGGTGATGACAGATAGCACCTCCACATCCCACCGCGACGGCACGAGGTGATGACAGATAGCACCTCCAGATGTGGAGGTTGCCACACAGTGTGCTCACTTGCTGCAGTGGGGGCAGGGGAGACGAGGAGAGGAGAGGAGAGGAGAGGAGAGGAGAGGAGAGGAGAGGAGAGGAGAGGAGGGGAGGAGAGGAGGGGAGTAAGGGAGAAGGGTGGGTTGGGTGGCTGACAACGATGACGAATAGCATCTCCACGTCCCACCGTGACATCACCAGGGTGCCACACAGGGTGCCACACAGGTTGCCGTGAGACAGACCCAGCAAGGACTGAGCGGCTCACCTGTAGCCCCCAGAAGAAGGAGTAGAGGTAGCTTGACACCACTTCCGGGCTTGATGTCAAGGGGATTGCATTCACAAACAACCCATACGGGACGGGCGACTGTGTCGTGCCTTCCCCCCCAGGGGAGTACAGGCATGTCGTGACGACTTTTGAGACGTCTCAAATGTGGTGACGTTCATGCCGGTGTGTGCTGCTTCACGGCTTATGTGTCTCGCCGGTGTGAACTAACGCTTATGTGTCTCGCTGGTGTGTGATCGGCTCACCTGCAGGCCCCAGAAGAAGGAGTAGAGGTAGTTCGACACCACGTCTGGGCTTGCCGTGAGGGGGATGGCATTTGCAAACACGCCGTACGGGATGGGCGAATCCGTTTTGCCGTCATCCCCAGGGGTGTACAGGCATGTGGTGACGTTCTTCCCGGTGTACTGCGGTGAAAAGAGGTCCGCAGAGGCGACGGTGGTGACTGGGCCGTTGGTGTTGCCACAGTAAAGGTAGGTGGGGTTGCAGCCTTGGGTGTTGCTGCACACGTGTTGCAAGCACTCACTGAATCGCTGGTGGGATGTGAGGAGGGGAACGGAGTGTGGGGAGAGTGGGCAAGAAGGGAAGAAGGAGGCATTGGTTTTGGAGCAGTAGAGGAAGGTGGGGTTGCAGCCTTTGGTGTTGGTGCACACGTGTTGCAAGCACTCACTGAATCGCTGGTGGGGGTGGGGATGGGGGGAAGGCCCGAAGGAAAAGGGGGAGAGGGGGAGCAGAGAGAGGAGAGACGGACAGCAGGAGAGAGGGTAAGACGGGGGCATTGGTGTTCCAGATGTGTTGCAAGCACACGCTGAAAGGCTGGTGGGGAGGAAGAAGTGTTTTGAGACGTCTCAAAACACTTCTTCAATCACGTGGCATTGGTGTTCCAGATGTGTTGCACGCACTCGCTGAAAGGCTGGTGGGGAGGAGAGGGAGGAGAGGAGAGGGGGGACAGTGGCGTTGGAGTTTGCTGCAGTAGAGGTAGGATGAGGGGCAGTGGGAGGAAGTTGGAGAAGTGGAGTGGAGGTAGGAGGGGTTGCAGCCTTGAGTGTTGGAACAAACAAACAGGTGGAGGGGTTGCAGCCTTGAGTGTTGGAACAAACAAACATACTGCAAGCACTCACTCAAACAATGATGGGCGGGAGAGGAGCCAAGGACCGAGAGAGAGCAAGTAAGACAGGTGGAGGGGTTGCATTTAGGGACGTTTGGAACTGACGTATTCCATGAAGGCAGGAAGAGGAAGGCAGCACTCCCGTCAAGGACTTTTGAGGCGCCTCAAAAGAGGAAGGCAGCACTCCCGTCAAGGACGAGCATGTAAACAAGGAGGGCAGCACTCACATCTACTGCCAGGATGTACCACACCCCTCCCACGAAGTTGAGAGGCCATGAGGTAAAAGAGGAGGTTGAGAAAACAGGCAGGAAGGCAGGCAGGCAGGAGGGAAGGCAAGCAGGCAGGCAGGCAGGCAGGCAGGCAGGAAACAAGGAGGGCAGCAATCACCTATGTTGGAAAAAACGTGTGTGGCGTACGGTACGCGCAAAAACGTTATCGTACATACGCGATGCACTATTTTCCAGCGTACGAAAAAACCTGAAATACGGTGTGTCGGGCAGGTTAAAAAACCACTCGGGCAGGGGAAAAACATTTCATTGGAGGTAGAATGCTTAGGAGGGGAAAAACTTTAGCAATACTTGATGCGGATAACTCCCTCCCGTGGAGTTTTCGCCATTAGGAAAATAGAAATATTTAAGAAATCGCTGGCTAGAATCGTCCTGACATTGCGGTTGCGAAGATCTGCAAGTGATGCAACGTTTAAGAAATCGTTGGCTTTAAGCAATCGCAGTTGCTTGTGGCATAGCGGTCGACATAGCTGTTTGAAACTTGAGTAAACTAGGCGTGAGACAAATGAGATTCGTAAGGTCTGCTTTTGGTGGAAGGGAAGGGTTGGTTTTGGAAGGTGGTGTGAGGTGATGTGCGGTGGAGGGGAGGGGAAGGGGGGGCATTCGAGTTTCGAATCTCCAATTTAGGCTTCGCGGAATTGCAGATCGCGGAATCAGCGGCAACATATATTTTCTTCTTTTTTTTCCGGCTGCACGACGAAACGAATCCCGTATTACGGTACGTATAACGTTTTCCCGTATATACGTTATCGCATTAACGTGATACGCGTAGAAGCCCCAGCGTTTTTTCCAACTTAGGCACTCACATCAACAGCCAGGATGTACCACACTCCGCCGACGAAGTTGAGAGGCCATGAGGTAAGAGGGAGAACTCATACTTGCATGGACAGCTCGGCAGCATGGGAAGGAAGGGGACTCACGTCAACAGCCAGGATGTACCACACCCCGCCGACGAAATTCGACGCCATGAGGTAGAACACGAGGTTGAGGAGGAAGTTGGCCCAGGCGGTCTCAAACACAAAGCCCGTCACATGCGACGCCGTGCCCGCTAGCAGCGGGAAGAAGCGCGCAGCACGGGGGATGTTCTGGATGCAGAGTGCGAGGAGCGTGAGGACGGCGATCCACGTGTTGGCTGCTGTGCTGACGGTCCTGCCGAGAGCTGGGACGATTCCCAGAATAAAGATCTGATTGGGTGGGGGTAGGGACGGCAAGGGGAGGGAAAGGGAAGACAAGGGAAGGGAGACACTGAGGGACGGGGCGGGCAGTACAAGGGGGACGGTCTGGATGCAGAGGGCGAGGCGAGGAGCGTGAGGACGGCTATCCACGTGTTGGCTGCTGTGCTGACGGTCCTGCCGAGAGCTGGGACGATTCCCAGAATAAAGATCTGATTGGGTGGGGGTAGGGACGGCAAGGGGAGGGAAAGGGAAGACAAGGGAAGGGAGACACTGAGGGACGGGGCGGGCAGTACAAGGGGGACGGTCTGGATGCAGAGGGCGAGGCGAGGAGCGTGAGGACGGCTATCCACGTGTTGGCTGCTGTGCTGACGGTCCTGCCGAGTGCCGGGACTATGCCCAGTATGAATATCTGTGGGGTGGGGGAGGGAGTGGGGGGGATGTGGAGAGAGAAAGCACACCACAGGAAGTGCAGGGAAGGGGCTGCTGTGTTGTGCAGAGTCCACGTGTTGGCTGCTGTGGCGACTCTGAGGCCTCAGAGGCCCAGTGCTGGGCCGACCCCTAGGATGAATATCTGTTGGGGAGAGGGGTGCGGGGAAGAGGAGGTGAGGGGTTGGGGGGGGGGGAAGGGGGGGGGAGGGAGAAGTTGTTGAAAATGGAAGGCATAAACAGGACTTCACTCACTTCTCAAAACTTGTCAAAAGGGAATACCTCACCAGGGGGAATATGGGGGTAGTGAGTCGAGTTTTGAGTCGACTCAAAACTCGACTCACTACAAGGGGGGGGGAGGGAGAAGTTGTTGAGCATGGAAGGCATAAACAGGACTTTACCTCACTCACTTCTCAAAACTTCTCAAAACTTATCAAAACTTCTCAAAAGGGAATACCTCACCAGGGGGAATACGGGGCAGGGCAAAAGGAATTGCTGCGAGAGGGGGGGTGGGTGGGGGGAGATGGTTGCAACAGGGCCAACAGGGCTAAGAGCCTTACGTGGGGGATGGGGAAGGAGGATACGAGGCCCACGAGGAACCAGGACTTGAGGTATCGGATGGCGATGACCCTCGTGTCCATCACCATGTCGCCCGGTGCCGGGCTGGCAAGGGCTCAAAGGCCTTCCACCTTGTGAATACCTGTAAGCACCTCACTCACTTGGGGGATGGGGAATGTCGACACGAGGTCCACGAGGAACCAGGACTTGAGTTATCGGATGGCGATGACCCTCGTGTCCGTCTCCATGTCCCCCGGGGGCAGCTCTGAGGGCTCGGCATACCACCAGACTTACCTAGACGAGCACTCACCTGGGTGAGCTGAGAGCCTTACCTGGGGGATGGGGAAGGTGGATACGAGGTCCACGAGGAACCAGGACTTGAGGTATCGAATGGCGATGACCCTCGTGTCCGTCTCCATGTCTCCTGGTTCCAGCTCAGAGGGCTCGGCGTACCACCAGCGCAGGCAGCGCCATCTATAGGAGCGGTTGCTGGGCGCCGGGACGAAATAGGCTATGCGGAACTGGTGTAAGGGGGGAAGGGGGATGAGGGAGGGAGGACGTGGGTGGGGTGCGTGTGCGTGCATGTGTATCAGTCGCCATGTCCCCCCGGACGAGCTCAGAGGTCTCCGCGTACCACCACCGCAGGCAGCTCCACCTATAGGAGCGATTGCTGGGCGCTGGGACAAAGTAGGCTATGCGGAACTGGTATGGGGGTAGAGGGGGATGGGGCGAGTGTGGGAGGGAATGAAGGGGTGTTGGGAGGGCGAGGTGGGAGAGTGAGCTGGGAGGGCCAGCAGAGAGGGCTCGGCGTATCACCAGCGCAGGCAGCTCCACCTATAGGAGCGGTTGCTGGGCGCCGGGACGAAGTAGCCTATGCGGAACTGATGGTGGGGGAAGGGGCGTGGGGCGTGTGTGAGTGGGAGAGAATGAAGGGGTGTTTGGAGGGCCAGCTCTGAAGGCTCAGCGTACCACCAGCGCAGGCAGCTCCACCTGTAGGAGCGGTTGCTGGGCGCTGGGACAAAGTAGGCCATGCGGAACTGGTATGGGGGTAGAGTGGGGTTGGGGTTGGGAGTGTGCGAGGGCCAGCTGGGAGGGCCAGCAGGGAGGGCCAGCTGGGAGGGCCAGCTGGGAGGGCAAGCTGGGAGGGCCAGCTGGGAGGGCTCGGTGTACCACCAGCGCAGGCAGCTCCACCTGTAGGAGCGGTGGGGAGGGGGGGAAGTGGGGAAAAGGGAGGTGGTGAGTTCAGGGTCAGCTCAGCGTACCACCAGCGCAGGCAGCTCCACCTGTAGGAGCGGTTGCTGGGCGCCGGGACAAAGTAGGCTATGCGGAACTGGTGGGGAGGAAGGAGGAGAGAGGGGGGCATGGCAGAGAGAAACTTTTGAAAGTTTTTTTCGATGAAGGAAACTTGCGAGGGGACAGGAGAGAGATGCGAAAGAGGTGGGGCGTGTTAAAAGGGCAATGATGAAGAGCAGGGAGCACGCAGGAAATTTTAAGCCGCCTCGAAACTTGTGTTTGGAGGGCACCGACGCAGATTCGGCAGGAAGGATAAGCGATGTGTGCTAGGGAGGGGAGAAGGGAAAGTAAGTAATATTTCATCAACTTAATGGTATATGAACGAGGATTATAGTTTAAACAGTATGATATGCTGGTAGGTAGGTGTTAGGCGTACTTTTTTTCATGAACACGAAAATGATTTAAAACGAGCTGTACGGACCTGTATAAATATGTTGATCAGGTACATGAGATCAGCACAGTGGAACACCTTAAATTCACCTCTTTGAGTGTCACACGCACCTGTATAAATATGTTGACGAGATACATAAGATCCATGATCGACCGCATGACAGTGAGCGTGACAGCAGCAGGGTAGTAGGGAACACCTTACCTTACATTCACATCTTTACACGTCACATGCTGCGCACCTGTACGAATACATACATGGATGCATGTAGAACGCACCTGTATAAATATGTTGATGAGATACATAAGATCCACGATTGAGCGCATGACAGTGAGCGTGATGGCAGCAGGGTAGTTGATGTCCAAACACAGGGTGACCTGATAAGGTGCGGGAGAGAAGGAGAGGAGTGAGTGAGAAAGGTGGGAGTGAGAAGGGCAGCAGCAATTTAAAAAGGAACGCATGACAGTGAGCGCAATGGCAGCAGGGTAGTTGATGTCCAAACACAGGGTGACCTGGTGGGAGTGAAGGAGGAGTGAGGCAGAACAGGGGGGTTGAGATAGGCAGCATCACTGGGGTTAAATAGAAACGCATGACGGTGAGAGTGATGGCAGTAGTTTGGATGTCTTAATGCAGGGTGACCTGACGGGAGAGAGGTGAAATTGAGAAAGAGGGGAGTGAGAGGGGGGCAGCATCGGAGATATACAGTAAAGCATCACTGTGAGAGTGAGTGTCATTGCAGCAGGGTGATTGATGTCCACACACAGGGTGACCTGACGGGAGTGAACCACGTGCAACTAACCACATGCTGGTAACCACGTGCTGGTAACCACGTACTGGTAACCACATGCTGGTAACCACATGCTGGTAACCACACCACATGTTGGTAACCACATGCTGGTATCCACATGCTGGTAACCACGTGCTGGTAACCACGTGCTGGTAACCACATGCTGGTAACCACGTGCTGGTAACCACGTGCAACCGTACCTTGGAGGGCGAGTACATGGTGAGGAGCGTGAAGAGGAACCAGGGGTCAATACAGAAGCCAAAGATGCACGTGACCATGAACCACTTGTTCCACTGTGCCACGAACCTGGGTGGGGGGAGGCAAGGGGGGAGAGATGGGCATAGGGGGGCGGATGGGCACGGCACAGGGCAGTGATTAGATGCATGTGACCATGAACCGCTTGTTCCACTGCGCCACGAATCTGAGTGGGGGGAGGCAAGGGGGGAGAGATGGGCATAGGGGGCGGATGGGCACGGCACAGGGCAGTGATTAGATGCACGTGACCATAAACCACTTGTTCCACTGCGCCACGAATCTGAGTGGGGGGAGGCAAGGGGGGAGAGATGGGCATAGGGGGCGGATGGGCACGGCACAGGGCAGTGATTAGATGCACGTGACCATAAACCACTTGTTCCACTGCGCCACGAATCTGAGTGGGGGGAGGCAAGGGGGGAGAGATGGGCATAGGGGGGCGGATGGGCACGGCACAGGGCAGTGATTAGATGCACGTGACCATAAACCACTTGTTCCACTGCGCCACGAACCTGGGAGAGGGGGAAGGGAATGGGGGCGGCGCAAGGGGGAACGGATGGAACAAGGACAGGACAGGGGAGACCATGGGTACTCAGATTTACATACACACATGTATACGCTAGACTGGCAGCATGCCTCACGGCCCCACCTGGAGTGCGGGTTGAGGATGCCACTGGTTGCACTAGCCCCTCCATGGGCCAGGGATGGCGTACTTTGAAAAAAGGCATAGAAACCGCACGCATGCCCATAGGCCCCAGCAACAGCATGCCATGCCCCAAGGCCCCACCTGGAGTGCGGGTTGAGAATGCCCACGGGTTGCACGAGCCCCTCCACGAATCGGAAGAACCCAAGCATGGGCGACCGGCGCTTTCCCTGTATCGACGGGGTGCGAGGTAGAGGGGGGGAGTGGTAGGGGAGATATTTGAATTGGTTACGGGGCTTGAACGTTTAGCGGACAAGCATGCGCGACTGGCACTGGGCCGTGCAACAACGGGTTGAGGGTTCTAAAAGCGTGGGAACGAGAGGCTTGTAGGCGGAGGAAAGGAGGAATCGAGAGGGAGGAAGAGAATGGGGGCGGGAGGAAGAGAGAGAGGATGAGGTTGGAAAGGGGAGGATCCGGAACGAACCCGGCTGGTGAAGACAAAGCACAGCAGGCCGCAGCAGCAAATGATGGTCCTCTTCCCGCCCGTCCCCTCAACATACTCGTAATCAAACTCGTCAAAATCATTCTCAAAATCGGAGCGAGAGAGGGCGAGGTTTGAAAGGAGGCGAGGTTCGAAGGGAGGGGGGGGGTAGGTAGGAACGAACCCGGCTGGTGAAGACAAAGCATGGCAGGCCGCAGCAGCGAATGATGGTCCTCTTCCCGCCCGTCTCCTCATCATACTCGTCGAAATCAAACTCGTCATAATCATACTCACTTTTGAGGCGCCTCAAAAGTACTCGTCATGCTCCTCGTCATCCACCAAATCAAACTCGTCGAAATCAAACTCAAATTGGGAGAGAGAGAGAGAGCGAGGTTCGAAGGGAGGGGGGGGTAGGTAGGAACGAACCCGGCTGGTGAAGACAAAGCATGGCAAGCCGCAGCAACGAATGATGGTCCTCTTCCCGCCCGTCTCCTCATCATAATCCTCATCATCCTCGAAATCAAACTCGTCGAAATCATACTCAAAATCGTCCATTCCTCCTCCGCCTCTTCCCCCGTCCCCTCCCCCGTCCGCCCCGTCGCTTCCCCGCTTCCCACCTCCGCGCCCGTCTCGCGACGCCAGCGGCTGCGGGAACTCGTCAATCGCCGCCGACATAAGCTTCCGGTTCCGAAGCGCGTGCATCTCGGGGGGACACTTGTTACACGTCGGATCCATGCACATGATCATAGATTTCTGCACTATATTCGATTTCGGTATGCTTGGCGTGTTCGGCGCCGTTCCCCCCCACGACCCCGACTGGGGGATCGCCGACGGCGGCGGAAACATTCCCGACTGCCCGATCAGTCCCGACTGGCCAATCATGCCCGACTTTCCCATGCCCGGGCCGGGAAACTGCCCGGACATCGGCCCGCCGGGCCGCCTCCCGCCGCAGAGAATCCCGCTGTCGCCCGGGCGGTAGCTGGGGAAGGCGGATTCCGGCATGCGCCCGCGCTGGAGGTGCTGCGACGGGGACCACAGCCGCGCGTCTCCGCTCAAGTCGCTGCCCATTCCGCGGTGCGCCGCGCCATCGCCGGGGGAAGCTATTGGGTGGGGGCGGGGGTAGATGGCGGAAGATGCCGGGCGGGTCCTCCGCCGAGGGGGGGGCTCCGGCATTTCCATGGACAGATTCCGCCTGTCGCGCTCGGGATCCCGCGGCTGGAAACCCGGAAAGCCTTGCTGAAACCCTAACGGAGTGGGCGGGTTAGAGGACGTGAAACTGACGTCTAACGGTGCCGTCAGCGGGCCGCTAGGAGTGGTTGGATCCGAACTAGGCACGGCTGCTGCGGCGGCTGCTGCGGCGGCGGCAGACGCGGAGGCTGACGCAGCGGCTGTTGCGGCGGCAGCCGCGGAGGCCATGGCGGAAGGGGGTACGGGCGCTCCCGCCGCCCCGCGTGCCCATCTGGGGGTGTAAAGGGAAGTGCTGCCGGTGCGCTCGACAACTCCTCCCGATGAGCCGGAGCCGCGCTCGAAAATCCCGGAAGTGCTCGGGGCTCGCTCCGCCGATGCGAAGGAGGCAGGAGTCGTCCCAACGTCGACCCTTGGGGAGGTTAAGGCGGCGGCGGCGTCGACCGTTGGGGGCTCTGGTGGGATGCCGTGCTCGGGGAGACGTCTGTCTCGCTCCATTGCCGAAGCGACTTCGCAGGGTCTTTCCTTTTGCGAGCTTGAATTCAGAGTTGAATGAGCGAAAACGATACGCGCTGGAAACGCGACGGGGTCGAGATGATTGAATGGTACGTTCAACTTGGAGGGAACCGAGGGCTTTTGAGACGTCGGAAGTGATAACTTAGGTTAACTTAGCTGGACCAAGGTCAATGCGAAAGGTTGTCCGGAGGGTACCAAGAAAATGAAGGGCCAGGAGTAACGTGAACAGAGCAGCACTGAATTTGCCTTTTGACTTCTTAGAGGCGACTGTATTAGAGTTGCTTTTGAATCTTCTCAAAAGCTACTCGGTTTCGGACGTTATCGCTTCTCTAAGTCTACGCTGAGGATTAGGCTGGAACGGTCGAACGCTGCGGCGGTAGTGAGTCACGAATGTCGACAAGCCAGCTATGCTTGGCTTTCTGGAATGCGATTGATTCTTGTGCAGAAACGGGATGGAGACGATGCATAACGCTGGCTCTTACGAATCTAACGCGGATGAACCTATCACAAGCGCGACAGCAATCGCGGGGAATGGGCCTACCGCGCTTCCATAACGCGTTCCTATAATTGCTCGGGACATGGCTGATAGAGAGGGGAAAGGGCGGCCATGGATGAGGAAATGGATGGAATACGGGAATTATTGGATGGGGTGAGTCGAGGACTCCAAGGTTCAGTTTAGAAGACAGGCTATTATTCGGTCAAGGAAACAGATGGCTGGTGGTGGTGATACGAGCAGGAAAAGTTCCTGGAACTTCCTGCCCAAAAACGTGACCGAGAACTCTCCTTTCCCGCTGGCACGGATCGCCACTGGCTGGCTGGATAATGGAGGGAAACCGTTATTTCGCGGCTGCCCGGAGTAGGTGTGTCAGGTCAGGTTGTCCTTGGGGATGTCGTGTCGTGTGGCGTGTCCAGCAAGGCCCTGGTTGGAGTTCTGTTGCGGTGCGGCTCGATAATCTCGAGGCAAGTACAGTGCTGGGGTCCGATAATTCCCCGGGATTCCCACGAAGTCAGGTTGCGGGATAGAGCAGCGGGAGTGGGGGTGGGGGGTTGGGGGGAACGCGATGTTGGTTGGTTTGGGTATTCCAACCTCGATCCGACACCTCACCACTCACAAACCACCCACTTCACCAAACCTCCCCCTCCCCCCAACCTTCACCCCTCTTCCCTACCACACACCCCCCCCCCCCCCCCCAGCATGAACGAATACACAAAACACGGGCTGTTCTCGTTCCGAACCAACCGCTGACTGGCTCCGCCTCTCCAAGCCAGGCCCACATGGGTTCGCCAGTTTCCTCCCGAACTCATCTTTAGCTCGGGGAAATTCGCTTTACAATATGATAACTCGCTAAACTGTTCATATTGCGTGTACCCCAAAGCTGGGTGTATGTCATTCACCCAGCTCTGGGCTCCCCTAACAGGGTCCGTGCAATCACTCGATCGACTGCGCTTCAGTACGTTCCGTTGCGGTTTGAGGGTAGAACGGGAAGAACCCAGGGACTCTCCCCCCTCGGGATTTGAGGCAGCATAGGCTTTCCCGTGTGAGCATCTCCCTCGGCCAGACGCATACTAGAAGGTCCAGGCTTTTCAGACTGCCGTATTTGCGCGCATCTGGACTTGCGTGCAGGTTGCTGGTAGTTACTTGTTGATCAGAGAGAAAGTGCTTGCAGCTTGAATTTTGTGGTTTCGCAGATTTTTCTGCTTAGTGTCTGTACGAGTAAGCTAGCATTTGCTCCTCCGGGTAGCTACTCGCGAAGCAGTCTCTGCAAAGGGCCGCGATTGCTGTATTTCCATCCAGCATCTACCTGCATTGCTTCCAGACGGTTCAGCGTTTTGCATCCCGCTTTCCACAACGAGAGCGAGACCCGTCGTTGAGTTTTGTCCTGCGATCTCACGGCAAGGCGACTTTTGAGTCGACTCAAAAGTGTCCTGCGATCTCACGGCATCTCAAAATGGCTTCTGAACTACTACGGCCGCAGGTTAGCCCTTCCTAATGTTGTCAACCATGAATCTTCTCTCGCGCTTCAGGTGTATAAGAGTCACAGAAGTATACCGGGCGCTAAATCATTGCTATTATTCAAGCAACTAGAGAAAATCCTGTCAGAAGCGTGTGGTGTTATGGGCTAAGATGCACATTTCCAGCTGAATTCAAAAATGGCGCTGGTATGCTAGCAGGATGGATGCATCTTACCCGCTAAATCGCGACGTTTATACAATAGGATGATTTCGTTTCGAACAATCTCACCATGCCTTTCCTATCCGACCCATCTCGCGGTAAGGAGACGAGTCCGTGCACCAGGAAAGACGTCTCAATTGTCAATCTCACAAATTCCTTGTAACTTTATAAAATTCGCGGCAGGGGGGCGAGTCGATGAACCAGGAAGACACGTCACAAGGGTCCGACGGCGATCAAACCCAGAAGCGTATCAAATGCCATTCTCACAAATCCATTCTGATTTTAACCATTTCGCGGCAGGGGGATGAGACGATGACGCAGGAGGACGCGTCACAAGGGGCAGACGGCGTGCAAATACCCAAGGAGGGCACGCTGACGTACGACGGCCGCTACAGGCGCTACAGCTTTTACGGAATCATCTTCGAGGTCCCCGTGCGCTACGTGCCGCTCGTCCCCATTGGCCGAGGAGCCTACGGCATCGTCTGGTGAGCTATGGGTAGTAGGATGATGTGTGAGGCCAGCAAGATTATGAGAGCCAATGAAATGTTGAAGTTAACGGTATGACTAGAATGTGAGCTATGGAAAAGCGCTAGTGTACCCATTACGGACTGGCATCTGGATCACATTTCTGATCCGTTAATGCTTCGTCCTTGCTCAAACCTGGGTAGTGATCACATCAATACTCCCAGTTTTTTTTTTATTCTCACTTCCCGCTTTAAGCTTGTAGTGAGCGTATTTCGTATGTCTGCATGGACTCTTCACATTTCTCACTTTTGAGGAAAGGGGCCTCTTCATTTCCTATGTTCGTTTTGCTTAATCTTATTTTCGTCGTCTCACCTTTTCTCTTTTGTCAGCTCTGCAAGAGACGAGACGACGGGCGAGGAGGTGGCGATCAAGAAGATCGGCAAGGCCTTCAATGACCGCACAGACGCCAAGCGGACTCTCCGCGAGATCGTGCTCCTGCGCAACATGAACCACCCCAATGTGAGCCCACTCAATCAGGCATACATTAAAGGTAGGCATACTCTTGGGTTAGGCACACTCTTGGGTTAGGCACACTCTTGGGTTAAGCACACTCTTGGGTTAAGCACACTCTTGGGTTAAGCACACTCTTGGGTTGGTCACCACACTCTTGGTCTAGGTGCAAGTCAGCCCCTTGCCTCTTACTTGCCCACAGAAACCCCTTCTTCCCCCTTCCCTCTCCCCACAGTCCACCTCTGCTTCCACTCCCCCCTCTCTCTCCCACTCTTTACTCCCCTATCTCCCTCTGCTGCTACCCTCTCCCCACTCCCCCTCCCCCCAGGTGATCGCCATCAAGGACATCATTCTCCCGCCCAACCCTAAGAGCTTCCAGGACGTGTACATTCGAGCTCATGCTCACTAACTCTCCCCCACTCCCTTGCCTTCTCCATTTTCCCATCATCACCCTCATCCTTCCCCCCCTTTATTCTCCCCTTCCCCCAAGGTGATCGCCATCAAGGACATCATACGCCCGCCCAACCCTCACAGCTTCCAGGACGTCTATATCGTGTACGAGCTCATGCCTATGTTCTCCTCCCGCTCCCCTCCCACTCCCTCTCCCCTCTCCCCCTCCCTCCAAGTGATCGCCATCAAGGACATTATGCTCCCGCCCAGTCCACAGAGCTTTCCGGACGTGTGCATTGTCTACGAGCTCCCATCCTCCCCCCTCCTCTTCCACTCCCCTCTCTTCCCCATGCCCCTCTCTCGCTCCCCCTATCTTCCCCCCAGGTGATCGCCATCAAGGACATCTTTCGCCCGCCCAAACCTCAGAGCTTCCAGGACGTGTATATCGTGTACGAGCTCATGCATCCGTTGCCTTTCCACTCCCCCTCTACTCCCCTCCCCCTGTTCTCCCCCTCCCCCCAGGTGATCGCCATCAAGGACATCACTCGCCCGCCCAACCCGCACAGCTTCCAGGACGTGCACATTGTCTACGAGCTCATGCCTCCACTGCCCTCCCACTCCCCTCTCTGTGGCCCACTGCCCTCTGCCCCCCACTCCCCCCTCCTCTCCCTCCTGTTCCTTTCCCCCCAGGTGATCGCCATCAAGGACATCATTCGTCCGCCCAACCCCCAGAGCTTCCAGGACGTGTACATTGTCTACGAGCTCATGCCCACGGACCTGCACGAGGTCATCCGGTCAGGGCAAGCCATGGACGAACGGCACTACAAGGTGCGTTGCGCTGCAATGTGGGTGGGTGGGAGGCGGTACAAGCCCACAGGTATTGACAGTCAGTGAGGACGTCTATATCGTGTACGAGCTCATGCCCACAGACCTGCACGAAGTCATTCGGTCGGGGCAAGCCATGGACGAATGGCACTACAAGGTGGGTGGGTGTGTGGCACTGCAACCCATGGAACAACATGGTATTGACATACAGTTGACAGTGGGCTGTGAGTGTGAGTGTGAGTGTGAGTGTGAGTGTGCGAGTGTGAGTGTGAGTGTGCGGGTGTGAGGTTGCTATGCTATCGTCTACAATCTTTTGCCCACAGACCTGCACGAAGTCATTCAACCGGGACAGGTCATGGAGGAGGTTGCGCTGCAGCATCAAGATCACTGATGATCTTAACCACCCACCTCTGCCCCTCTCCTTCCCTCCTTCCCCTCCCCTTTCCCCTTCCCATTCCCCTGCTGATGTATTCCCTTTTCTTATCCTCCTTTTTCCCAAATGTCCCCTCTCCCTCCCCACTTTCCTTTCCCCAGTTCATCCTGTTCCAGCTACTGCGGGGCACAAAGTACATCCACTCGCCCAACATCCTGCACCGCTCCTCACCTTATATACCCTAACATCGCATTCAGCCTTCCCTCTATCCTCCCCCTTCTTCCCCCAGTTCATTCTCTTCCAGCTGCTCCGCGGAACAAAGTACATTCACTGGGCCAACATCCTGCACCGCTCCACACCTTGTACCCTGACATCGCTCTCCCCTTCCCTCCATCCTCCCCCCTTGTCTCCAGTTCATTCTCTTCCAGCTGCTGCGGGGAACCAAATACATCCACTCGGCCAACATCCTGCACCGCTCCACATCTTATTGCCTGACATCTCTGTTCGCCTTCTTTCTATCCTCCCTCCCCCTTCCTCCTCTCCCCAGTTTATCCTGTTCCAGCTGATGCGAGGAACAAAGTACATCCACTTGGCCAACATCCCTCCTTCCCCTAACCCTTCTCCTTTCCCTGCTCACTTAGTCCCTCTTTCTACCCCTTCCCTTCCCTTTCCACCCTCCCTTCCTTCCCCCAGTTCATTCTCTTCCACCTGCTCCGAGGCACAAAGTACATCCACTCGGCCAACCTCCCCCCACAGCTCCACATCTTATACCCTCACATCGCTTTTCCCCTTCCCTCCATCCTCCCCCCTTGTCTCCAGTTCATTCTCTTCCAGCTGCTCTGAGGAACAAAGTACATCCACTCGGCCAACATCCTCCACCCTGACCTGACATCACGTTTCTCCTGCCTTCTATCCTCTCCCCTTCCCCCCTTTCCTCTCCCCCAGTTCATTCTCTTCCAGCTCCTCCGGGGAACAAAGTACATCCACTCGGCCAACATCCTCCACCGCGACTTAAAGCCCCCCAACATCCTGATCGACGCGCGCTGCAACATCAAGATCACCGACTTCGGCCTCGCGCGAACCCGCGTGGAAACCACCGACCACCTCACCGAATACGTGGTTACCAGATACTACCGCGCGCCCGAGCTGCTGGTGAACAACCAGCAGTACAGCGCTTCCATCGACGTGTGGTCGGCGGCGCTGATATATCTGGAGCTCGTGCTGGGGCACATTGTGCTCAAAGGGGATAACTACGTGGACCAGCTTCGCAAGACCTGCGAGGTGCGTCCGTAGCTAGGGGGAAGGAGAGGGAGAGCAGGGGAGGGAGAGCAGGGAGGAGGTGGAAACCACTGATCACCTGACGGAATACGTGGTGACCAGATACTACCGCGCGCCGGAACTCCTGGTGAACAACCAGCAGTACAGTGCGTCCATTGACGTGTGGTCGGCGGCTCTGATCTATTTGGAGCTGGTGCTGGGGCACATTGTGCTCAAAAGGGATAACTGCGTGGACCAGCTCCGCAAGACCTGTGAGGTGCGTCTGGGAAGTGGGGGGGGAGCAGAGGGGGAAATGGTAGGGGTGAGATTGAGCAGGGGCTGCTGGTGGCGCTGATCTATCTGGAGCTCGTGCTGGGGCACATTATGCTCAAAGGGGATAACTACGTGGACCAGCTGCGCAAGACATGCGAGGTGCGTCTGTAGCAAGACCTGCGAGGTGCGTCTGTAGCAAGACCTGCGAGGTGCGGCTGGGAATGGGGGGGAGCAGAGGGGGATAGCGTAGGGGTGAGAGTGAGCAGGGCTGCTGGTGGCGCTGATTTACCTGGAGCTGGTGCTGGGGCACATTGTGCTCACAGGGGATAACTATGTTGACCAGCTCCGCAAGACATCCGAGGTGTGGCTCAATGGCAGCGAGGGTGGGGAGAGAGTGGGGAAGGGGACGAGAGGGCAGGGGAGGGAGAAATTAGGGCTGCTGTTAGCGTACCAAATCTCCGACCACGCTCTCTTTGGTTTGTTCCCAGCCACAGATTCCTTTGTTTCTGACCAATCCCCTCCCCCTCCCCCCCCCCGCTGTGTTACTCTCACCACACCAGCTGCTCGGGTCCCCCTCTGCAAAGGACGCGTCCTTCCTCTTCATAGTCAACGAGGCCGCTCGCACCTTCCTGCTCTCAGAGCTGCAGGGCTTCCCTTACCTTTCCCACTCTTGTGCTTCCTTTCCCCGTCCCAACGCTCTCAGAGCTGCAGGGCTTCCCCTCCATCCCCAGCTCTTGTGCCTCATTCCCCCTTTTACCTTCTTGTTTCTCGCCTCCCCTCTCTTGTGCCTCGTCTCCCCACGTTCGTTCATCTGGCAGCTGATCGGATCCCCCTCTGCCGAAGACGCCTCCTTCATAGTCAACGAGGCCGCCCGCACCTTTCTGCTCTCAGAGCTACAGGGATTCCCGGCGAGGAGCATCAGGGACGTGTTTCCCAAGCTGTCAGAACCCGCGGCTGACTTGGTGCAGCGCATGCTCGTGTTCGACCCGAGAAAGCGAATCACAGGTGCGCTGCTCTCCCAAATCAAAATGCCTCATCGTGTGTCCCAAGAGTAATTCCAAGACTCTCATGCATAGAATGCCTCAGGCAGGGTTTCCCAAGGAGCATCAGAGAGGTGTTCCCAAAGCTGTTGGAACTCGGGGCCGATTTGGTGTCCCCTACTTGGCACACTACCACAAGGCCAACCATGACCTTCCCCATCCCCATTTCCCCCTGTCACCGCCCTTCATCCCCTCACCCTTTCTCAATTCTTACATTGGACGAGGCATTGGCGCACCCCTTCCTGACGCACTACCACAGGGCCAACCAGGACCCTCCTCGTCCCTCATTCCCGCATTCCCCCCCGCATGCCTGTGCCTCTTCCCCTCTCTTACATTGGACGAGGCATTGGCGCACCCCTACCTGGCGCACTACCACAAGGCCAACCAGGACCTTCCTCACAACCCCCAATCCCTCAACTTCCCCCTGTTTGCCTGTTTCTCTCCTCCCTGCAGTGGACGAGGCATTGGCGCACCCCTACCTGGCGCACTACCACAAGGCCAACCAGGATCCGCCGCACCCAAACCCCTTCCAGTACGACCTGAGCTTTGAGCAGGAGGAGTACGACATCCCCCGCATCCGCCAGCTCATCTACGAGCAAGCCTGCGCCTTCAACCCCCTATAAACCCCGCGATTACCCCTCGGTACACCACGATTCGGGAAACCTGGGTGGCAGTGTCGGTCGGGGAGGAGAGGGGAGTAGTGTGTGCCATACTAATCAATTTGCGTGTGGCGTACTGTATGTGCTTCCGCGTGGCAACATGTTAGGGAGAATTCAATTTGGCACACATGTTCCTTCTGTCCTCGGCCCACATGAATGATGTGTGTGATTATCAGGTATAGGTAGTACCTCCCACCTGTATTGCAGCTATGTATTGTCTCGTAGTCACAAGACCGTGTGGAATGTAGAATGTGTGTGCGCATATGTATTTATCTTTAGCTGTAGGTGTGTACAACTGGCATACCTAATCAACTTTCCAAACTCTGCACGTACCGTACATATCCACTGATGGAAGTGAGGCTGGACGCTACCGTATGAATGAATGTCTTTCAGCAGCCATGCACGTAAGAGTTTAATTATCTATCAATCTCCATGTGTTGCACACACAGTAATTACATGCATTATTCAGCTACAAATGGGATTTGTCTGTTTTTACAGAAACGGGTATTATGTCGTCCTGGGACGTAGACATCATTACCACATCGCGTCAGCTGACGTCGAGGTTTTACAAATTCGCTGGTTCATGCAGCAGCAATTTCGAACGAGTCCTTGCTTGCTGTGACCATCAACAAGGTCTCTCGGCTTGTTGTCTGGTTTTCCCTGTGATTCTGCATTTCAGCAGGTAACGTCGACTTCCTGCCAGTCCAAGTTGCGGATTCTTGCGCTTGCATATCCTACACGCAAGGAGATGCCTGGTTCGATGCTGGCTTGTCTTACGCGTGTGGGATGATGCAACTTCTATCCGTGTTATTCTGATGGCTTTCAAAGCAGTCATGAAGCCTCATCACTTCACGCATCATAAAGACTTCGTAAGGATTTCGTGAGCTCATTTCTCAAACAATGATTTCTTTACAGATGACGACCTGCGTTGTTTCCGACAAAGCCCTGATAGCCTCAGCTATTTCTCGTCCGACGGTTGAAAGCCATTCCTTTCTGAAGGTCATGCAGCCATGCGAAGTTTTCAAAACTCCAGCGCGCCTGCATCGGGAGGTTGCTTATCGTGCCTGTGAATTCATGAAAAAGAAGCACAGCATGGCTGCTGTTGAAGGACGAGCGACATTGACGAAATGTCACGCTTCTGACAACAATCCTGGGAGCGTTATTGTGGAAAACGAAGCAACGAAGACCTCAACCAGTGATACTGAAGGTCTTCCTATGATTTATGACCGTGCTGGTGATCGTGAGCTCTTCCCCGTGGAAGGGTATCCTGGTGTAACTCTTAAGTTTCTCCGTCCTACAACGGCGTTTTTCAAGTTCAAAGCGGGTTTCATAGAGCCAGCTCACCATCACATCCTGACCCACGACGTATACCTGATTTCAGGTCGCCAGATTGTTCAGAATGTGACTAAAGGAACCACTCTGGAAGTAAACGCAGGAGATTTTCTGTCCACGCCTGGAGGAGACGTTCACCGTGTGCTGTACCTCTCAGATGCGGAGCTTTTTGCCAAGTTTGATGGAACAGATGCCATGGCTCTTCCTGAGAATAACAAGATGGAGATTATTGAGACTGTCGAAGAGGCTCGAGAAGCCTTTGGTGACTATATTCACCGCGTTGGTGAGAAATGAGACTGGTTGGGCACCAACGTGTTGAAGCTTCCATGTATTTAAGAGAGTATTCCTACACCTCGTATTTAAGAGAACCTCATTCAGGCTCACACTGAAAATTCCCTAAACCCGAAACCTCTCGCTAGTTTTACCAGGCAAAAAGTACAATCTTGATACGAGGTGGCCTGATATGAGGCCGTAGGAATGCGCCCTAACTTATTCCTTCTTGCAGGTGTACATGGTGTTATGCTAATGCTAGAGGATGAAGTAAATGAGGATGAAGATGACACGAATGTGCAGCTCCAATCAAATACCGTAAATGAGGGCTATAACAGAATGGCTGACAATACAAAGTCCTTTGGTGCAAGGGAAGATGTGAATGTATCTAAGCTTGAGGTGCCTCCCAGAAGCAGGTACGGTATGTTGAGACTGGCTCAAACTCCTATCTCCTGACAGAATGCGTTGGATGCAGGTGAATGATCAATTGAAGGGATGAATTCCATGTCATACATTCAGCTACTGACTGAATCAAAGGCCCTGGTGCAGAGGCTTTGCTTGACTGGAGAATTTTCAATTTTCATATGGAAATGAAATGGGCTTTGCATTGAGTCACTGTTCACTTTCAGCCGGGGCAAAATCATAAGCGGAGCAGTCACTCGTGTACAATTTGAATTCTTGATGAGGGCATTCCCCCGTTTGGGGGTTTGCGCCTTTCGGCTCCAAAAATTGCGGGTTGGCGCAAAGTAGGCGCCCGCCCGACCAATGAGTGCTCATTGATGGGATGTCAGCACGATTCGCCGTCCCATTCGGTCATTGGCGAATCATCTCAATCCCTCGACAAGGACAGTAACCTTGTTCACTATCGCTGAGGGAGTTTGGGCTGCTAAAGTTGGTTGTGTTGAAGTGCGCCGTGGGTTCGTTAAAGCCCGAGTCTAGAATGGTAAGAGTTCAAGTTCAAGATTCTTGAAGTAGAAATCGCCAAAAACCAGGTAACCCGGTTTGGGACTTCCATACCCTCGCGACCCACAGAGTTGGGTTCCAATGGAGAGTTTCTGATTGGTTGAAATCAACTGTGGCAAAATGATCAACACTTTCGCCACAAACGGGTCACTGTTCACACTTCCGGAAACTTGAAGCCAAAACTCACCATAATAGACTCGATACCTAGGAGGCTTCGTAGCGTAGAATATCGTAGTTCCCTCCCAGCACACTCAATCCCGCCCGTCCATCCCGAAACTTCAGTCATTCCCGTCCTTCCCGTCATAAGATTCATTCCCTTTGTAGTCAGGAAATCTGTCATTTCCTCCCCTTCACGACCGCCTTTTTACTCAGAATAGGTTCTCTAGCCCGTGATTATTTACGGATCACCCAAGTAGACTTAGTCTTCATTAGTGATGTTATTACGAGTCCGTCGCGGTAGCAATTACGCAGCCACCCGTTCCATTCATTCAGACTCTCTCGTCCCCGTCATACAATGCCCTCCCCCTCCCTCCCGTCACACACGTGACTCCTCACCATCGCTAACGTCCCTATGGTCTCTCTCGTCGCCCTGGTCTCTCTCGTCGCCCTGGTCTCTCTCGTCGCCCTGGTCTCTCTCGTCGCCCTGGTCTCTCTCGTCGCCCTGGTCTCTCTCGTCGCCCTGGTCTCTCTTGTCGCCCTTGTCTCTCTCGTCGCCCTTGTCTCTCTCGTCGCCCTTGTCTCTCTCGTCGCCCTTGTCTCTCTCGTCGCCCTTGTCTCTCTCGTCGCCCTTATCGCTCTCGCCGCTGTGGCCCTCGCATCATAAGATTGTCACGGCGCGAGCAACTCACTCACGCCCGTCGTTCATTTCACGCCCGTCAATCACTCGCTCTTCGCTCACTCACGCTGGTTCGCCCTTCCTCCCTTCGTTCGCGCTTCCTCCCTTTGCTCCGCGCTGCTTCCTCCCGTCACTCCCGCTCCTCTCGTCCCTCCCGTCCCTCGTCCCGTCGGCTCCCGCCCGTCCCTCTTCCCGTCGCTCCCGTCCCTCTTGTCCCTCCACACGCTTCCGTCCCTCCCGTGGCCCACGTCGCTCCCGTCGCTCTCTTCCCTTCCCTTCCCTTCCCTAGGCACAGTTACCCCCCTTCCCTACGCGCAGTTACCCCCCTTCCCTACGCGCAGTTACCCCCCTTCCCTACGCGCAGTTACCCCCCTTCCCTACGCGCAGTTACCCCCCTTCCCTACGCGCAGTTACCCCCCTTCCCTACGCGCAGTTACCCCCCTTCCCTACGCGCAGTTACCCCCCTTCCCTACGCGCAGGTTCCCCCCTTTCCTTCGCGCAGTTTCCCCCCTTCCCTACGCGCAGGTTCCCCCCTTTCCTTCGAGCAGTTTCCCCCCTTCCCTACGCGCAGGTTCCCCCCTTTCCTTCGAGCAGTTTCCCCCCTTCCCTACGCGCAGGTTCCCCCCTTTCCTTCGCGCAGTTTCCCCCCTTCCCTACGCGCAGGTTCCCCCCTTTCCTTCGAGCAGTTTCCCCCCTTCCCTACGCGCAGGTTCCCCCCTTTCCTTCGAGCAGTTTCCCCCCTTCCCTACGCGCAGGTTCCCCCCTCTCCTTCGAGCAGTTTCCCCTTCATATTGCTCACTCACACCCATCGGTCTCTCACACCCTCTATGCCTCACTTCCCCCTTGAGTCTCCCATTCCCTTCCCACGCCATCCGTCCCTCTTCCCTCACTCTCAGCCCCAAGCCTTCCTTCCTTCACCGCGCCACTCCTCCCGTCCCACTCCCGTGCCTCCCTTCCCTCTCTCACTTCCCTTTTATTCCCATCGGTTCTCCCTCCCGCTCCTCCCTTGCATCTCGTCTCCCTTCCTCTCTTCTCCCTCTGAATCTACCCTCTTGTCGCATCAAGTGCTGAATTTTCCCTGTCCTTTCTGCCTTTCTCCTCCCTTCCTTCTCCTTTTCTTATCTCCTTGCCTCTCCTCCTTTTCCTCTCAGCCCCTCTCCTCCTTTCCCTCTCAGCCCCTCTCCTCCTTTCCCTCTCAACCCCTCTCTTCCTTTCCTCTCTACCCCTCTCCTCCTTTCCTCTCAGCCCCTCTCCTCACCCTGCTCACTCACACACCCTGCTCACTCACACACCCTGCTCACTCACACACCCTGCTCACTCACACACCCTGCTCACTCACACACCCTGCTCACTCACACACCCTGCTCACTCACACACCCTGCTCACTCACACACCCTGCTCATCACACACCCTGCTCACTCACACACCCTGCTCACTCACACACCCTGCTCACTCACACACCCTGCTCACTCACACACCCTGCTCACTCACACACCCTGCTCACTCTATACTCGCTCACTCTGTCCTCTGCTTAGGGTTTAGGCAGTGCTGGTTGGTGCAGTGTTGGTGAGTGCGGTGTTGGTGGGTGCAGTGCTGGTGGGTGCAGTGCTGGTGGGTGCGGTGCTGGTGGGTGCAGTGCTGGTGGGTGCAGTGCTGGTGGGTGCAGTGCTGGTGGGTGCAGTGCTGGTGGGTGTTGTCCTGTTCCTCTCTTCTGCTGTTCCTCCATTCAACTGTTCCTTGTGGTTTGTGTCTGTGTTTCTACAGGTCTGCTATGCATCTGGTTGTGGTGTGGTGAGGTGTTGGCTGACAGTTTGATAGTACTACGGTATAATGACTAGCCATGTTTGTATGTTGGATGCTTTGTAATACGGTAATACAACTGAGCTGTGGAGCAGCCATGCACATGACCACTACAAAAAAGTGCAACAAAGTTCACAGCTGTTTATCGACTCGACACGATGAACACAGCTAGGAAATGTAATGCTTTTTCCCCATTCTTGTCTGCTACACTGCATGCAACCTTGGCCTGTGGTGCTGGGAGCCTGGACCTGTACACTGCGTTGTTGGAAATGGGGGTGAGTGAAAGGGGGAACAGATTGAGCAGCGGAAAAGAGAGTGAACAGGAAGAAACAGAGCGAGCAGTGGGGAAGAGAGTGAGCATGGACAATATGGAAATGTGAACGGAATGAATGGGGAGGTGAAAGGGAGTTAGTTAGCCTGAGAGGCTAGTAGGGAGGGAGGAAGGAAGGAAATGTTATTTTTTTGCATGGGAGGATGTGGGTACAGGTGAAGCGTACAGTGGGAGGATTGGAGGAGGCGGTAACGACGGGCAACAGGAGGGGTAGAGGGGGCGGCTGGGCGGGAAACGACAGCCCCTGCGGGCGATGGGAGGGGGATGAGAGGGGGAAGGGAGGGAGATGGGAGGGGGATGGGAGGGGGATGGGAGGGGGATGGGAGGGGGATGGGAGGGGGATGGGAGGGGGATGGGAGGGGGATGGGAGGGGGATGGGAGGGGGATGGGAGGGGGATGGGAGGGGGATGGGAGGGGGATGGGAGGGGGATGGGAGGGGGATGGGAGGGGGATGGGAGGGGGATGGGAGGGGGATGGGAGGGGGATGGGAGGGGGATGGGAGGGGGATGGGAGGGGGATGGGAGGGGGATGGGAGGGGGATGGGAGGGGGATGGGAGGGGGATGGGAGGGGGATGGGAGGGGGATGGGAGGGGGATGGGAGGGGGATGGGAGGGGGATGGGAGGGCGATGGGAGGGGGATGGGAGGGGGATGGGCGGGAGATGGGCGGGGGATGGAAGGGGGATGGGATGGCGATAGGAGGGGGATGGGAGGGGGATGGGAGGGGGATGGGAGGGGGATGGGAGGGGGATGGGAGGGGGATGGGAGGGGGATGGGAGGGGGATGGGAGGGGGATGGAGGGGGATGGGCGGGGGATGGGAGGGGGATGGAAGGGCGATGGGAGGGGGATGGGAGGGGGAAGGGAGGGCGATGAGAGGGGGAAGGGAGGGAGATGGGAGGGGGATGGGAGGGGGATGGGAGGGGGATGGGAGGGGGATGGGAGGGGGATGGGAGGGGGATGGGAGGGGGATGGGAGGGGGATGGGAGGGGGATGGGAGGGGGATGGGAGGGGGATGGGAGGGGGATGGGAGGGGGATGGGCGGGGGATGGGAGGGGGATGGGAGGGGGATGGGAGGGGGATGGGAGGGCGATGGGAGGGGGATGGGAGGGGGATGGGAGGGAGATGGGCGGGGGATGGAAGGGGGATGGGATGGCGATAGGAGGGGGATGGGAGGGGGATGGGAGGGGGGTGGGAGGGGGATGGAAGGGGAAGGGAGGGGGATGGGGGGTGGGAGGGGGATGGGAGGGGGAAGGGAGGGGGATGGAAGGGCGATGGGAGGGGGATGGGAGGGGGAAGGGAGGGCGATGAGAGGGGGAAGGGAGGGAGATGGGAGGGGGATGGGAGGGGGATGGGAGGGGGATGGGAGGGGGATGGGAGGGGGATGGGAGGGGGATGGGAGGGGGATGGGAGGGGGATGGGAGGGGGATGGGAGGGGGATGGGAGGGGGATGGGAGGGGGATGGGAGGGGGATGGGCGGGGGATGGGAGGGGGATGGGAGGGGGATGGGAGGGGGATGGGAGGGCGATGGGAGGGGGATGGGAGGGGGATGGGAGGGAGATGGGCGGGGGATGGAAGGGGGATGGGATGGCGATAGGAGGGGGATGGGAGGGGGATGGGAGGGAGATGAGAGGGCGATGGGAGGGGGATGGGAGGGGGGTGGGAGGGGGATGGAAGGGGGAAGGGAGGGGGATGGGAGGGGGGTGGGAGGGGGATGGGAGGGGGATGGGAGGGGGATGGGAGGGGGATGGGAGGGGGAAGGGAGGGCGATGAGAGGGGGAAGGGAGGGAGATGGGAGGGGGGTGGGAGGGGGATGGGAGGGGGATGGGAGGGGGAAGCGAGGGCGATAGGCGGGGGACGCGAGGGCGATGGGAGGGGGAAGCGAGGGCGATGGGCGGGGGAAGCGAGGGCGATGGGAGGGGGAAGCGAGGGCGATGGGCGGGGGAAGCGAGGGCGATGGGCGGGGGAAGCGAGGGCGATGGGCGGGGGAAGCGAGGGCGATGGGCGGGGGAAGCGAGGGCGACGGAAGGGGGAAGCGAGGGCGACGGAAGGGGGAAGCGAGGGCGACAGAAGGGGGAAGCGAGGGCGATGGAAGGGGGAATCGAGGGCGCCGGACGGTAGATGCTAAGTCGACGGACCGGGGGAAGCTGTGATTTCTCATCGCGTGCCGCACATTATCTCCGTGCTTCACACTCGCATTCGCACCACATTCCCTCCCTCGGTCCTACCTCTCGATTCCAGACTATACGTTTATATTCTGACATGTTATACCTAGCTATTTTAGTCTGGATACTTAGTTTCCTAACACTGATGTTCTAACTATCTTGTACGAAACGCACGCTTTTCTCAAACTGATCCAAGAGTGCGCTTATGGACTTGAGGGAAAATCTGGGTTGTGAGCTGTGTGAGTGGTTGGGTTTGGTTTTGTCGATAGTGTTTGTTCAAGTTTCTTGAAGTTGAAGTTGAAGTTGCGATACACTGTGGAGCATTCCGCCTTCGCCACCTCCCTCGAGCGAATTCTTCTCTCGTGAACCTTCGCACAACCCTTTTCAAGTTCAGTATTTATGAACCCTTGCCATTCTAGACTCGGGCTTTAAGCTGGAATGTGTGCAGGTGGCCCGCGCGATTTTATAGCAGAGGCATATGAACGAGATCATAGCAAGAGCCACAGCAGTTGTGTACAGCTGGTTCACGCCTTCTCAGTTTTGCTTCTGCTATCGGCTTCCGTCACCCACGCACTCGCAAGAAGCCGTAGCCAGTTAAGCTGAATCAAAAAGCGCTACTTTTCTTTGAAGACGTTCCCACTGGTTCCCGCAGACCTAAGGCTACGCGACGAATTTTTTGTAGTGTCAGTGCAAGCGCAAAATCTCAATGTTATCAAGTTCGCCGTCGACCTACTGCACGTGGCTACAGCAAAGGAGGTCGTAGTAGGCTTAGCTGCAACTCCTAAAGCAGTTTCGCCACAGACACCACTTCACTGCACTTGCAACTAGCTTCGTTGATGCAAGAAGTCCTTTTCTTCCTCTTAACCGACACTCCCACTGATTTCCGTTGACCTAATTTACTCAGCGAATATCTCGCTAAGTGTCAGTGCCAGCGCACGCAGTTTCGCCAGTCACCGCCAGTTGACGAAACATGCAAGGGGCGGGAGCGGAGGGTCCTCCGGTAGAGCGCGGTGGAGGGGGAGGGGGAAGGGGAGGGCGTGGCGGGGGTTGGGGCAGAGGCGGAGAGGGCATGTCAAAGCGGAAGAAACGACTGGTTGACCTCACGCCCGAGGAGGTCCGTGGTGAGACGATTTTCGAGGTGGTATGAAAAACCGCATCAAATAATGAGGCGCCTCAAAGGTGGACCTCACGCCCGAGGAGGTGCATGCTGGAATCTGTTTCTTGATGGGAGGCATGGCGTGTGAACGCAGCTCTGGCTCACGTTGTGATGGGAAATCTGTTAGGTGTTGCTATTTTCTGCCTCTCCTGTCCGACATCTGCCACATTGAAGGCAGGGAAACGCTCTTCCTTCCGTCCCTTTATCTGTCCCTGCCTTCATCAAGTCACGTTCTCCCCCACCCGCCCCCCTCCGCCCCCACCTCTTCCCCTTTCCTCTGTTCCTATCCTTCAGATCAACGAGATAGTGGCATTGAGAGGGAAGCTACCACAAGCGGTGGTGGGAGAACAATTCGCCTTGCCCCTTCCCCTCCCTTCCTATCCTACAGATCAACGAAATAGTGGCATTAAGGGGGAAGCTACCGCAAGCGGTGGTGGGGAAGCGGTTTGGGATAGAGCAGACGGATGTGAGCCAGATCCAGAGACAGCAGAAGGGGAAGCTCATGAGAGCTGATGATAAGCCGGTAAGGGAAGAAGGTAAGATATTTGATACTATGCGAACTAGCTGTCTGGATTCAAGCAGACGGACGTGAGCCAGATCCAGAGACAGCAAAAGGGGAAGCTCATGCGAGTTGATGATAAGCCGGTAAGAAGTCAACATCGCTTATGCACCATCACCTTCTATCTAGCTGTTTGGGATAGAACAGACGGATGTGAGCCAGATCCAGAGACAGCAGAAGGGAAAGCTCATGCGAGCAGATAAGCCGGTAAGGGAAATTGAAGATATGTTATATGATAATGGCTATAACAGAGCACACGGGCATCAAACAATTTCAGAGATTGCTGAAGGGGCAACTTATAAGGTGTGACGATAAACGGGTGATTCAATAAGATCATATTCTTTAAGATAGAGCACTGTGAGCCGTTTGAGATAGAGGTACGCTTGTGCGTGCGCCTTAGACATGCGAAGGTTCACCTTTCTATTTTGTTCCAGTTTTCTTGCATCCATCTTCTCATACTCCCTACTTCTTCTCCCTCAATGGTACAACATTCTTCCATGTTCTCAGTCGGCTCAAATCACACGATCACTTTCATAACCCCTGTTTGCTCTCTTCTTTCCTCCCCTCGTGTCCCTTCTTGTAGAGAGCCCGGGATGTGGAGGTGGTGCTACCTATTGTGTTCGGCAGCTGTGCCTTTTGGCTGGGGAAGAAGGCCGATGAGTAAGTTTCCACCTTATCTGCGAGATTCGCTCGGCAAGCAATACCTGCGCATGTGCAGGGGAACTCAATTAGTTTTTCACCCAATTTACCTGGGCGTTTTTCAACTTTGACAGCATTTCTTAGTTGGAATCACCAAGATTCCGCATGCTTTCATTGTTCCCCTTCTGTAGTATGCTTCTCTTCTCTGGTTTGTTTGATTTGAATGAATCCACCACCATCACCACCACCACCACCACCACATAGCCTCTCTCCCAGTTGGCCTGACGCTCTGTTGTATGGCAATGCAATGAGCTTGTTGATTGGGTGAAGAAACCCTTGCTTTGCTTTCTCCTCCACTTTTCGTACCACAATTGTTCTAAGAAGCTTGAGTCAAGAATCATTTACTGATTCTTTCTACCATCACCACCCTGACTTTCTGGGTTCCCTCCACCACCCCAATAAACAGGAATGCCACACACAAGTGGACGGTGTATGTGCGGGCAGCTGATAACGGTGACCTGGGTAGTGTGGTGAAGAAGGTAGGTTGGTTCCAGAGAGGGTTGTGGGAAAGACGATATCTATTATTGAATAGTGAGAAATGTGGGTCGTGGGAAGTCGATTTTTGAGTCGACTCAAAAATCGTATCTATTATTGAATAGCGAGAAATGTGGGTCGTGGGAAGGTGAGATCTATGAATATCTGCTGTAACTGAAGACAAATTTGAGAAATGAGGGTTGTGCAAGGCACTGGTCTCAGTCACTTTATAGCCCTTCAGCCTGCCTCCCTGCAAAGCAACCCCACCCAATTTCCTTCGCCCCGAATGTTTCTCAATTGATATATATAGCTCCTTCGAGTGATTAGGCGGTGTTTCAGCTCCGTATTTACAGTGGTCAAACGCACATTGTGTAGTGACTGGCTTTTCTGCTCCCGGGTAGTTGCTGTGGGAAGTTTGAGATCTAATTTGCCCCTTTCTGCCTTCTCTGTACCCACCTTCCCCTAACCTCCCTCTTCTTATGCCGCGTCTTCTAAATTGACCTCCCCAAAGCTATCTTCTTATTCGCCTTCCTTTTATATACCTCCCCCAATATATCTCCCTTTTCCCACACACACCCCATCCCCCCAACAATCAGGTGGTGTTTCAGCTGCACCCAAGCTTCTCCAATCCGACCCGCATTGTGGAGCGGCCGCCCTTCATGCTGTCGGAGAGCGGCTGGGGCGAGTTTGAGATTCACACATTTCCCCTGTTTTCGCCTGTCATAAACTCATGCCTTTTCAACCTCCCTCTCCGTCTGCTGCTTTTCATAAACAAACATCCCACTATCTTTACCCCCCACACCCTCCCCCAACAAAAACCCCAATGACCAGGTGGTGTTTCAGCTGCATCCGAGCTTTTCCAATCCGACCCGCATAGTGGAGCGGCTGCCCTTCATGCTGTTGGAGAGCGGCTGGGGCGAGTTTGTGATTCACACAGTTCCCCTTCAACCCTCCCCATCCCCCCAATGACCAGGTGGTGTTTCAGCTGCATCCGAGCTTTTCCAATCCGACCCGCATAGTGGAGCGGCCGCCCTTCATGCCTTCGGAGAGCGGCTGGGGCGAGTTTGTGATTGACACAGTTCCCCTTCATCCCTCCCCATCCCCCCAACAACCAGGTGGTGTTTCAGCTGCATCCGAGCTTCTCCAATCCGACCCGCATTTTGGAACGGCCGCCCTTCGTGCTGTCGGAGAGCGGCTGGGGCGAGTTTGAGATCCACACCTTTCCCCTCTTTTCGCCTGTCATAAACTCATGCCTCTTCAACCTCCCTCTCCTTCTGCTGTCTTTCCGAAACACACCTCCTTCTATCTTTGCCCTTCACACCCTCCCCCAACAAATGCCCCAATGACCAGGTGGTGTTTCAGCTGCATCCGAGCTTCTCCAATCCGACCCGCATTGTGGAACGGCCGCCCTTCATGCTGTCGGAGAGTGGCTGGGGCGAGTTTGAGATCGCCATGACCATCGTGTTCCACGCCGATGCCTCCGAAATGCCAGCTGAACTGTGAGTTCATTTGGGCCAGGATTTGGTCACAGTTCTGTTTGTAACAAAATCCCTCTAATTCGCCCTTCATGCTGTCGGAGAGCGGCTGGGGCGAGTTTGAGATCGCCATGACCATTGTTTTCCACACCGATGCCTCCAAAATGCCAGCTGAAATGTGAGCCGATTCTCACCGGGATATGTGCAACAAGTTCGGTTGTAACGATTTCTGATTGTAACAATTCCATTTACTTCTTTCACATCTTGCAAGTATCCTGCACTGACTTGAAAAAATCGGTCCTCTGTCACCATGCACGTCCACTTATCCCTTCCAGCACACAATCTACGCATAAAACAGCCCTTCCTCCCAATCAGTGTGTCAACATCCAGTCTAGGGAACTTCCCAGCTTTCTCCTCATCCTTTCCCCCATCCCCTCTGTCTCTACTCCCCCAATCCCCCTTCCCTCCCTACCCCACCCCATCTCCCTCCCCCCTCCGCGCCCAGCACCCATCACCTTCGGCTGTACCCAGAAGGCAGCGCCCCCAACCAGCCTCTCAGCACCAAGCGGCCTGTTGTGGCTGAGCAATACGATGAGCTAGTTTTCTGTGAGCCACAGGTACGGGTTAACTTCTGGGGTTCTAAAAGGCAGGCAAGTGGTTTTTGAACCATGGGTACAGTGGTGGGCTGCAGGTCTTGTTCACCTGTTTTTCATCCAGTCATTTCATGTGCCGTTCCTTTTATCATTGTGGTTCACAAATTGTGTTTCTGGCAACAACTTTAGTTTGAATTCATGGTTTTTTTTTTCTAAGCTCCTCAAGGTTAATATCTTGTCACTGTGGTTCACAATTTGTATCTGACAACCACTTTATGCCTGTTCCCAGATTGCGTTCTTCCATCACATCCGATCCAACCCCATGGTTTGCATTCATGCCATCAATGAAGGCGCCTGAAAAGTCATATCTTGTAATTGTGGTTCACAATTTGTATATCGGGCAACCACTTTATGCCTGCTTCCAGATTGCGTTCTTCCATCGCATCCGCTCCAACCCCATGGTACGCATTCACGGCAGTGAGGAGGCCATCACCGCCGCTGGTAACCACGCAGCAATACCACAAGGTAGAGATCACAATCTCAAATGCTTACACAACTAACTAATGTCCACGAAGAAATCCTTTTTGGATGTTTGATGCTTGAGCCCTTTTCTTTTCAGTAGATTTCTAAACCTCTGGAGGTTGTGGCTTATGACAGAATCTTATACTTTCCCTGCGTTAATTCATAATCTACTTTTTTCTGTGCATCTTTGTGCAGATGGCTCCAGTTCGACCCCTGCAGATGCACGCAACTTGGAATCGGATTTGCGAGGAGAGAATCGAGGGGACACGCTAGACCATCCCTTGTCGCAGTGGTTTCTGCAATTCTCAGACGAACAAGAACTGACTGCCATAGCTGCTGCAAGGAAGCAGGTAATGCTCTCTGGAGCACCTCAAAAAACTATTCCCTGTCCCGGGAGTTTCTGCAATGATCAATTTTGTCAATAGATAGCTGCAACATGCTGCTGCCCTGAAGCAAATACTGGTAAATTGCACGGACTTTGGGGACAGCTCAAAAGTAACCTTGTTACAATCCCACATACCATCACGTAGAATTCATTTAATTCAGCTCATTTGTTCTGCAGTTCAATCGAATATATAGTTTTTCCCCGTTGCATCTCCCTGTGTGTGTGGTGTGGGCAGGTTGCCACACTGACGGCCAAGTTAGAAGCTGAATATTCTTCCCTTGAATCTGAGTGTCAAGAACTCAAGCAAGGCTCTAGTTAACCAGGCTGACATGATCATTTGTGCCTGGCAGACACTCATGCCCACTCGAATCACATGTTGCATGCAAGTTTTGTTTAGTATATCCACTGGAGAGGATTCCTGATCCAGGAAATTGTTGCTGTGTGTGTGTGTGTGTTTTTTTTTTTTTTTTTTTTTTTTTTTTTTTTTTTTTTTTTTTTTTTTTTTTTTTTTTTTTTTTTTTTTTTTTTTTTTTTTTTTTTTTTTTTTTTTTTTTTTTTTTTTTATGTGTCCAAAAGCCAGTACAATTTGTAAGGTGAGAATCATGAATTTTTAGAATCGCTCATCTATCTGTTCGAAAGAGTTCTGAGATTGTTTTAAAGCGACGGGCAACTTTTGGCAGTGTTGGGTTCAGAAGTTTTTTTTTTTAACCAGGCTTGCCAGCGCGAAAGTGCTGGCTGGCGAAAACCAGGATTTCGTGCGGACACTTTCCATCCGCAGTAACAGTTCGCCAGGGTTCTGGGTTTTGGGTGGCAAATGTGCACCGTCGCTTTAAGTCCGCGGGAGATTCGCCAATTTCAGTGGGATCTGCCACACAAACCGAGGGCACCAGGTTTCCCCTCGGTTTTTGCACATCCTGCGCGCATCTTTCCCAGCCTTTGTGCGCTGGCGCTGGTGCCCTCGAGGTTGGCGGGTTTGACCACGCGGACATCCCAATGGTTCATTGCACACCCCAACGCTAGGAGTAGCCGTTGGATGCGATGACTTCACCCGGCCAATCCCAAGATACGGTGTGAGCTGCATTCCCTGACACCCAGATGTTTCAGGCGACTGGCCGAAGTTTAGGCGGAGGAAGGAGGTTGGCAGGAAATCCATTCATCTAATTTTGCTTCCTCCACAGATTCGTGAAGTCCTCAGTGGTTTGTGTGTTCTAGGGTGGCTCAGAGGCTTTGCTATGGCTTGGTCTCGTCAGGCTCCTTAGATTCTTCATCATTCGGCTCTATGCTTAATCGGCACACTGCTCTCGTGCTGTCGCGGATCTCGTTCATTAACCTAATATCATTCTCGTTTTCAGATCAGTTGCTATCAGGCATCACGATTCCCGCCGACCTCGTGTTTCTGTCACATTGCTAGGTGTATATCCGTTCCCCTCTCGCCTGGTTCCGTGACTCCTCGCGTTGTACCACATGGCGACGCCACAGCCACCGCAGACTGAACCCGGTCGGCTGGCCAAGCTAGTGGTCCCCACGCTAGAGAAAATCATCAAGAACGCATCGTGGCGGAAACACCAGAGGCTCGTACAAGACTGCAAGGGCCTGATAGAATGGTTCGCTAAGAATCCCAATCCAGGCGTGGAATGGCAGCCTCCGGCTCAAGACCCTCCTGGTTATGTCAATCCCTTTGACGAATCTGCTTCAAAGGGGGGATCTTCTGGCGGAGCGTTTCCGGCTGGATTGTTCGACGATGGTAACCGAGTGGTGAAGATTAAGGATGCGGAGTTTATTATGGCTCCGCTTCACACGGCGTGCGAGACGCTCGCGGCGAAGGTGGTCGAGCCGACGCTGGATTGCCTTCAGAAGATGGTTGCGCATCAGCATTTGAGGGGAGAGATGGACGTTGGAGGGACCACGCGTGAAAGCAAGCTGCTGACACGGGTATGTTGCTTCTTCAGGAGGTAGGAAGTAGAGGGGACGTGAGCAGCTGGGTAAGATTCCTTGCAAGGTAACTTACGATAGGGTAATGTAATGATGGATGAAAGCCGATCGCAGATCGAGAGCGAGTATTGTCAGTAGACGAATGACATATTCACCTCAAATTACTTCGGACATCTGTGATGGCAGTAAATTTGGTGAGATCACACAAGCTTCATTGCGGATTCCCCTGTCTGTGGCTTCTGAATGCTTACCTTCATGGATGCGTGGATATGTTGTACGCAGGTCATGGAATCCGTGTGCAAGTGCTATGACATAGCAGACGAAGCAGTGGAGCTACTAGTCTTGAAGACTATGCTATCGGCCGTCACATCCACCTCGCTCCACGTTCACGGCGAGTGCGTACTCAAGGCTGTCCGCACTTGCTACAATATTTACCTCGGTAGTAAGGTCCCCGTTAATCAGACCACAGCCAAGGCGTCCCTCACGCAGATGCTCGTTATCGTGTTTCGGAGGATGGAAGCGGATTCGTCGACAGTTCCGGTTCAGCCAATCGTGGTCGCGGATTTAATGGAGCCATCGGATAGGCTAGCCTCGGACCAGAATGTAACGCAGTTCGTTCAGTCGTTCATTACGAAGGTAGTGCAGGATATCGAGGTAGCTTTTAACCCGGCGCATACTCAATCTCTCGACGATGGCGCGTTTGACCTGGCAGTAGCACCCATAAACTCGGCAGCCACCGACGGAAGCCTAGTCGAGGATAAGGATATGCTAGACGTTAAGTACTGGGACGTAAACATGCTTGCAGGCTCAGTTGCCGACCCAGCCAAGACCTTAGGCGGAGACGGAAAAGTAGTAACCGTGAAAGCCGGCGCGACTGCCGCTATAGGGCTTCCTTCAGCCGCCGTAACCACTGTTCCCGCGGGTTCTAGCGCAAATGGCGGCGGAAATCCCGCGGGAGCCATGGCGGGAGGCGGAGTGATCATTCCTGACGTGGATCCGGAAAAGGAAGGGGAATCGGAGGTGAAGATAACGAACAAGCTGCGGCGCGATGCGTTCCTGGTGTTCCGCGCGCTGTGCAAGCTGTCCATGAAGGCTCCCCCTGCGGAGGGGGTGGTGGATCCGTTCGCCGTGCGCGGCAAGGTGGTCTCGCTCGAGCTGCTGAAAATCTGTCTCGAAAACTCCGGCGCTGTCTTTCGCACCAATGAGAGGTGAGCCATATTGGGTTTTGGAACAAAGGGAGGCTCGTACTTTCCCCAAAGCCGTTTATCGCACCAACGAGAGATAAGTTCTCTGTGGCGTTCGAATGAGAGTTCAGATAGGGGTGGCATTGAAAAAGAGAATGAATTCTATTTGAGTTCTTGCCTTCGCACAACCTTGGCCTTCCTGAATATCCGTTCATCCCTTCTCACCTCCCCCTCCCACACGACCCCCCCGTCATCTTTGTCCCCCGCTATCACACCTTTGCGACAAGTCTGAAGGGGCAGTGAGGAAGTGCCCGTGGCATGCATGTTATGATCGTGGGAAAGGGGAGCGGATTTCCTCCTGGGTTCACCTAGAAGCCCAAAAAAGAAAAGAAAAAAAAGAGCATGTTATGATGCAACTGAACACCCCCCGCCCAACCCCACTGTTCAAGTTCCTTATGCGTTTCACGTGCTCTTGCCCCTCAACCCTCCCCCTCAACTCCCTCATTCACGCTCCGCTCCTGCTTTCAATCCCTCCCTTCCACCAGGTTCGTGGGCGCAGTGAAGCAGTACCTGTGCCTGTCGCTGCTCAAGAACTGCACCTCCTCCCTCATGTCCGTCTTCCAGCTCTCCTGCTCCATCTTCTTCTCCCTCCTCACGCGCTTCCGCTCCGTCCTCAAGGCTGAAATCGGCGTCTTCTTCCCCATGATCGTGCTGCGCGTGCTGGAAAACGTGGCGCATGCCAACTTCCAGCAGAAAATGATCGTGCTCAGGTTCCTGGAGAGGCTCTGCGTGGACCCGCAGATTCTGGTGGATATCTTTGCCAACTACGACTGCGACGTGGAGTCGACTGTCAGCATCTTCGAACGGTGAGCCAAGTTGACTTTTGAGGCACCTCAAAAGAGGTTCCTGGAGAGGCTCTGCATGGACCCGCAGATTCTGGTGGATATCTTTGCCAACTACGACTGCGATGTGGAGTCGACTGTCAGCATCTTCGAACGGTGAGCTGGGTAGAATCAGATTGAATGTAGAATCAAAGGCGCTTAGTCCCCATCCTCCGTTCCCTCCTCCCACGCTACATTCCCCATACTCACCCATCTCCGTTCTGTCAGCCATTATCCTCACCCATTTCCTATACTCCAGCTTTCATCACCTATTCCGTTCTTTTTCATCATCATCTCCCCACCCTTCGTCCCTCTCCCCTCCCCATCACTCCTCCCGTATGGTTCAACCTTCTCCCAGAATGGTGAGCGGGCTGCTCAAGACAGCGCAGGGAGTGCCGCCCGGGGCGGACTCAACGCTGAACGCGGCCCAGGACCAACAGCTGCGCCTGGCCGCCATCAAGTGCATGGTGGGCGTGCTGCGCTCCATGGGCTCCTGGACCAACCGCCAGCTTTGCGTCACCGCAGGCCCCAAGGTGGCCGCGGAAATCGGCGCTGCTGCTGCAGCGGCGGCCGCGTCGGCGGCAGCAACAGCAGCGGCGGCTGCGGCGGCAGCGGCAGGGGAAGGGCCGGCTCCTGTGGCTGTTCCGGATCTTCTGTCTGGGGATTTGCTTCCGGATTTTGTGAATCCCAGGACTGGGGTCTTGCCTGTTGCGAAATCAGAAGAGGCTTTGGAGGAGGAGGCGCTTGGGGGGATGCCTGCGGCTGGGGTGAGCAGTGGAAATGAGATTTCGGAGGCCTCGATCCTGGAGCAGAGGCGGGCGTATAAGCTGGAGCTGCAGGAGGGGATAAACCTGTTCAACAAGAAGCCGAAAAAGGGGATAGATTTTCTGATCAAGGCGAAGAAACTGGGGGACGGTGCGGAGGAGATTGTTGCGTTTCTGCGCAAAACAGAGGGGTTGGATAAGACGATGATTGGAGATTTTCTAGGGGACAGAGACGACATGAGCATCAAGATCATGCATGCCTACATGGACTCGTACAACCTCTCTGTAAGTGATCAAGACGAGGATTTTTTTCAGTCAGTAGGTTGCATTCTGCAAGTAAGGGTGTGGGATGCATATTGGTTTTATGCAGGTGGTCAATACGTGCAGCTTGGTGATATGTAATCTCCCCTCTCTCTCTCCCCTGTCCCCTCTCTCGTCTCCCCTCTCCCCTCTCCCCTCTCCCCTCTACCCTCTCCCCCCCCCCCCTCTCTCTTCTCCCCTCTTCCCTCTCCCCACCTTGCCTTCATTTTCTCCGTCAGGGAATGGACTTTGACGAGGCCATTCGGGCGGTGCTGCTGGGGTTCAGACTACCAGGCGAGGCACAGAAGATTGATTGAATCATGGAGAAGTTTGCCGAGCGCTACTGCCCTCTCCCTTTCACCTCTCACCTCTCCCAACTCCCCCCTCCCCTCTCCCCTCAACCCTCTCCCCTCTCCCCTCTCCCCAACCTACCTTCACCTCTTCTACAGGGAATGGACTTTGACGAGGCCATTCGGGCGGTGCTGCTGGGGTTCAGGCTGCCAGGCGAGGCACAGAAGATCGATCGCATCATGGAGAAGTTTGCCGAGCGCTACTGCCGCTGCAACCCCAAGGCGTTCACGAGCGCCGATACTGCCTACGTGCTCGCTTACTCTGTCATTATGCTCAACACGGATGCGCATAACCCAGGCGTGAAGACCAAGGTGAGTGTGTGTAATGGTACGAATAGTGTTTAGCCTCAAAAGGTGTGCACGAGTGCCGGTACTGCCTGTGTGCTCGAATGGTACTCTGTCATTATGCTTAACACGGACGCTCATAACCCAGGCGTCAAGACTAAGGTGAGTGTATGTGATGATACGATTAATGTGGCGCCTCAAAAAGCTGTCATAGAGGCGGATGCAGCATTCCTGCTTGCTTACTCACTCGTACTCAAGCTTCATGCCCAACACAGACGCACACAACACAACCCAGGCGCCCTTCCCTTCCACGCTCCCTCCCCTTCCAGGCCCCCTCCCCTTCCACGCCCCCTCCCCTTCCACACCTCCTCCCCTTCCACACCCCCTTCCCTTCCATTCCCCCTTCCCACCCATGCCCCGTGCTTCCTCTCTTGTCAGATGAGCAAAGCCGACTTCCTGAAGAACAACCGCGGAATCGACGACGGGAAGGACATACCAGAGGAGTTTCTGGGCGGGCTGTACGACCGCATCACACGGAACGAGATCAAGATGAAGCCGGAGATCCTGGGGCCAGGAGGAGTAGCGTCGAAGGCTGCAGTGAGCAGTGCGGCCGGCAACGCGCTGCTGGGGCTGGAGAGCATTCTGAACCTCATGTCTGGGCGCACGAGGGCGACCACAGAGCTGGAGACGAGTGACGAGGTGGTGAGGCACATGCAGGAGCAGTTCCGTGCCAAGGCGGGCAAGTCAGGGTGAGTAGCAAGGGCGGGCAAGTCAGGGTGAGTAGCAAGGGCGGGCAAGTCAGGGTGAGTAGCAAGGGCGGGCAAGTCAGGGTGAGTAGCAAGGGCGGGCAAGTCAGGGTGAGCAGCAATGGGGGGAGGTCAACGTGGGTGAACGTTGGCTCTTACCCATGCTGGTTGCTTACTGGTTTTCTTCTTCGACCCACTCCGTCTCTCCATCCCCTCTCTCTTCATGCCTTCTTATTTCCATGGTCTCAGATCCGTGTTCTATGCAGCATCAGACGTGCAGATCATCCGGCCCATGGTGGACGTGGTGTGGGCGCCCATGCTAGCCGCGTTCTCTGTGCCCCTGGAGACCACAGAGGAGGATGCTGTCACGGAGCAGTGCCTGGAGGGGTTCCGATACGCCGTGCACGTCACTGCTGTTATCGGCATGCAGGTGAGGGGCTGTTGAGCGTCATGTGAGGGGCTGTTGAGCGTCATGTGAGGGGCTGTTGAGCGTCATGTGAGGGGCTGTTGAGCGTCATGTGAGGGCCTGTTGAGCGTCATGTGAGGGGTGGTGTGTGAGGCTGGGGCGTGTGAGGGCCAGTGGACTTGTGAGGGTGTGGCAATGCACGGCTTACCTTGTGCCTGTGAGGGAAGGAAGGATACAGGGGGGGAGGGGGATTTCAGTGCGGGGCATGCCCCTGAGAGGCATGTTTCTTTTTGAAAGAACGTCGTTCCCCATCTGCTCCTCATCACCCTCCTCTCCTGTCTCCACCAACTCGCTGCCCAACCCACCAAATGCAAAGCATTGTGACGTGTGAGTCAACTCAAAGGTCCTCTATCTGCTTCTCATCAACCTCCTCTCCTTTTTTCCACCGTCTTGCTCCCCGACCCACCAGATGCAACGCGATGCGTTTGTGACATCTCTGGCCAAGTTCACGTCGCTGCACTCCGCAGCAGACATCAAGCAGAAGAACGTGGACGCCATCAAGGTGCGTGGTGGCTTTGTCCAGGTGTTCATGAGTGGGTGAGGTGGGGGTGGCCTTGTGTGGCTCAAGATGAGCGGACTCGGTAGCAGCAGACCTCAAGCAGTGAGGTGTATTTTGAGGCGCCTTGAAATACACGTCAAGATGAGCGGACTCGGTAGCAGCAGACATCAAACAGAAGAACATGGACGCCATGAAGGTGGGTGATGGGTGGGTGTGTCAGGTGGGTGGGTGAGGTGGGTGGGTGGGTGGACGGGTGGGTGGGCAGGTGGGTGGGCTTGGGCAGGTGTAATATGAGTGGACCTGCGTTGTACAATTGCAAATTTCAGCAGACCTCAAGCTGAAGAATTTGGACGCCATCAAGGTGGGGGTGGATGGGTGGGTGTGTCACCTCCAACCACCACACTCACCTCCCGCTTTCCGCCGCATCTTTCCCCCCTCGCCCTTCCCCCTTTGCGCTCCTCCCCCGACCCATTCCCCTACATCCAGTCGCTCCTGCTGGTAGCAGAGGACGATGGCAACTATCTGCAGGACGCATGGGAGCACGTGCTCACGTGCTACTGTGTCCCCCTTCCCTTTTCTGTGTCCGCCCCCCAACCCCCATTCCCCTTCTTCCAGTCGCTCCTGCTGGTAGCAGAGGACGATGGCAACTACCTGCAGGACTCGTGGGAGCACGTGCTCACGTGTGTGTCGCGCTACGAGCACCTCCACCTCATCGGCGAGGGCGCCCCCACCGACAGCCACTTCTTCTCCGCCGCCCCGCAGCTCCCCCCGCTCACCCAGCAGCAGCGCCCGCAGCCGCTGGATCCTCAGGGGAAGAGGGGCGGGGGGAGGGGGGTGGCGGCGTCGGTGTATGGGGGCGGGGGGGGGCATGGGGTGGGGGGAGGTGGGCAGAGGGAGATGGGTGCGGGGGCGCAGAGGGGGAGTGCGGCGGACGCTGGGACGCCGCGGGGGCAGGCGAAGAGGTTTGGCGAGGGAGGCGAGGCTCCCGCCTGGAAGAATGTGAGTTTGATTGAAGTGTTGTGAATTGCAAAGTGTGCTGCTGTTTTTTTGGTAGTGCGATTCAGTGATGTTACAAGTAATAAGTCTAATAATAATCGAGCTCCCTTACTCCCCTCATCCCGTCTCTCCCCTCCCCTCCCCCCAGCTTCCTGGGAAGCTCAACCAGGCGAACAAGCTGGTGGGACGAGGGTCATAAAACTCTTAACGCATCTCAATCTTCCTGTCTTTCCCCCCTCCCTGCCCTCTCCCCCCCGCAGCTACCGGGTAGCTTTGTGAGTCGGTGAAGCAGGTTCGACGGGTTGATAAATCCAATGATGCTACGGATAGTAAGACTTTAACTGCCTTCCCCTCTCTCCACCCTCCCGTCTCCACCCAGGTATCCGGGAAGCTGAACCAGGTGGAGAAGCTGGTGCGGCGAGGATCTTACTGGATGACTCAACATTCCTTCTCGTGTTTTCACCCCCCTCTGCCTGCTGGCCTCCTCCCTCCCTGCCCTCCCCAACACCCAGATGTCCGGAAAGATGAACCAGGTGGAGAAGCTGGTGCGGCGAGGGTCATACGACTCATAGACGTTGTCTCCCCCCGCTCCCTGCCTGCCTGCCTTCTCCCTCCCTCCTCTCCTTTCTAATCCCCCCAGGTGTCCGGAAAGATGAACCAGGTGGAGAAGCTGGTGCGGCGAGGCTCATACGACCCGCAGGGAGTGATCACCGGAGGACCCACAGGGGTGGGCGTGGGCGTGTCCCTCTCGCACCTCTCCCCCGACCAGGTCAGTCCCATTTGAAAGAAGCCAGATGGTACTAACCTGTATGAGATGTAGGTAGCAGCCACAAGGGTGGGAAGGTGGGAACAGATGAGTCACTGTTTCATATCACCCCTCCGATCAGTGCAGTCCTGTGTGTTGTGAGATAGCAGGGCTAGCTTATGTGAGATGCTATATATCCCCCTTGCGACCGCCATTCCCCTTCTCTCTGTATTGAATTACAAGTGCATTGGGGGGTGGCTAACCTGGGTATGTAGGAGCAGGTGGGTTGGACGAGGTCTTTCTAACCATATGTTCCTTTCCCCAACAGCGTTCCCCCTTCCCTCCTTCGTTTCTACCCCTTTCATCACGTGCACACCTACTGGTGCAGCTGCTGGTGGCTAACTTCAGTCTGCTCGAGCAGGTGGGGTCAGACGAGGTCTCTCTGTCCAACCATGTGTCCCTTTTCCCAACCCCGCTCCCTTCCCCCTCCCTCGTTTCTGCCCCTTTCATCACGTGCACACCTTCAGGTGCAGCTGCTGGTGGCTAACCTGGGTATGCTGGAGCAGGTGGGATCGGACGAGGTCTTTCTATCTAATCATGTCTCCCCTTTTCCAAATCCTCTCCCTTGCCCCGTTTCATTACGTGCACAACCACAGGTACAGCTGCTGGTGGCGAACCTCGGTCTGCTGGAGCAGGAGGGGTCGGGCGAGGTCTCTCTGGCTATACATGCCTCTCTTAACACCACTCCTCCTTCCCACACTTCTTCTCTCTGCCTGCTTTTTGAATCACAGGTACAGCTGCTGGTGGCGAACCTCGGTCTGCTGGAGCAGGTGGGATCGGACGAGGTCTCGCGCCTCTTCTCCCGCAGTGAGCGCCTCAACGGGCAGGCGATCGTGGAGTTCGTGAAAGCCCTCTGCAAGGTTTCTCTTGAGGAGCTGCGCTCGCCCACGGAACCCAGGGTCTTCTCTCTGACCAAGATCGTCGAGATCGCGTAAGCTTTCCCCCCCCCTTGAATGCACCTTAGATGAGACAATGCCTCAATGGGCAGGCGATAGTGGAGTTCGTGAAAGCCCTCTGCAAGGTGTCTCTCGAGGAGCTGCGCTCGCCCACGGAACCCAGAGTGTTTTCCTTGACCAAGATTGTCGAGATTGCGCAAGTTTTCCCCCTTGAGATAGCACCTTAGAGGCAAAGGCTCGAAGGACAGGGGTTAGTGGAGCTCAGCAAAGCCCCTGCAAAGTCGAATTCCCTTCAGAAGCACCTTGAAGGCGAGCGCCTCAACGGGCAGGCGATAGTGGAGTTTGTGCGCCTCTGGAGGAGCCGCACTCGCCCACAGAACCCTTTTCTCACTGTCCTTCAATCCCGTTTTCTCCTGCAACCACCCACCATCCCCCACCTCCCTCCCAATCCCCCCCTTTCCCCCCTCCCCTCCCTGCCAGCCACTTCAACATGAGCCGCATTCGGCTGGTGTGGTCGCGAATCTGGGCGGTCCTGGCAGACTATTTCGTGAGGGTGGGATGCATGCCGAACCTCTCAGTGGCCATGTATGCCATTGACAGCCTGCGCCAGCTCGCCATGAAGTTACTCGAGCGCGAGGAGCTGAGCAACTGCAACTTCCAGAACGAGTTCCCTTAACCCCCACCCCACCCCACCCCACCCCACCCCACCCCCACCCCCACCCCCACCCCCACCTCCCTCCCAATTTCTGCCTCTTCGCTTCCCCGATGCAGCCATTTCAACATGAGCCGCATTCGGCTCGTCTGGTCGCGGATCTGGGCCGTTCTTGCCGATTACTTCGTGACGGTGGGATGCATGCCGAACCTCTCAGTGGCCATGTATGCCATCGACAGCCTGCGCCAGCTGGCGATGAAGTTCCTGGAGCGCGAGGAGCTGAGCAACTACAACTTCCAGAACGAGTTCCTGAAGCCGTTTGTGGTGGTCATGCGGCGGACAGCCAGCGTGGAGATCCGGGAGTTGATTATTCGTTGCGTGTCGCAGATGGTGTTTGCGCGCGTGGGGAATGTGAAATCCGGGTGGAAAATCATGTTCATGGTGAGTCAGGGAATGGATGGAACCCGGGGAAAGGGGGGAACAGGGGAACGGGGGCCGGAAGGGGGCAGGAGGAGCTGAGCAACTACAACTTCCAGAACGAGTTCCTCAAGCCGTTTGTGGTGGTCATGCGGCGCACTGCGAGTGTGGAGTTCCGGGAGTTGATTATCCGCTGCGTGTCGCAGGTGGTGTTTGCCCACGTGGGGAATGTGAAATCCGGATGGAAAATCATGTTCATGGTGAGTCGGAAGGGGGGTGGATAGGGGGAACAGGAAAGAAGCCAAGTTTTGAGTTGCTCAGATGGTGTTTGCGCGCGTGGGGAACGTGAAGTCGGGGTGGAGAATCATGTTCATGGTGAGTCAAGGGGGAAGGGAACAGAGGAGAGGAGTATCAACGGTGACTTTTGATTGGACATGAAGCCGTTCGTGGTGGTGATGCGACGGACAGCCAGCATGAGGATCCGCGAAAGGGGCAGGGAAAGGGATTCAGCAGCACGTATGGGTGCTGGATGTGGTGGGGCGGGTTGGGGTTGGGGGGGCAGGGGTGAGGGTTGAGGGTTGATTGTGAAGCTTTGGTGGAAATTCAGGTTTAGGGTGATGAAAGGGGCAGCGGCTCCTTGAGATGTTTCACGGCTTTATTACCTTGTCCCTTCCTCGTGCTCCTCTTCCCTCCTTTCAGGTGTTCACCACAGCTGCCACCGATGACAACAAGAATATCACCCTCCTCTCATTTGAGACAATCGAGAAGGTCGCACGAGAATATTTCCCCTACGTCACGTTTTCAGACGTCTTCAAACTCTGCTGCCTCCCCTCCTCATCCCCGTCTGTCTCTCCACACAGGTGTTCACCACAGCAGCCACTGACGACAACAAGAACATCGTCCTTCTCGCCTTCGAGACAATCGAGAAAGTCGTGCGAGAATACTTCCCCTACATCACGGAAACCGAAACCACCACCTTCACAGACTGCGTCAACTGCCTCATCGCCTTCACCAACTCGCGCTTCAATAAAGACGTCTCCCTTAACGCTATAGCGTTCCTGCGCTTCTGCGCGCTAAAACTCGCCGAGGGGGATTTGGGGGCGACGGCACTGGAGAGGGAGAAAGGGCTGAGCCCCACTAAGGTGTCGCACCTCCCAGGGCATCCGGATGGGGAGGTGTTTACGGATAAGGACGACCACCTGTACTTCTGGTTCCCACTCCTTGCTGGTGAGTGCTTACCTATTGAGTGTACTTATAATGCTTCGTGTGTAGCTTTGTAAGGAGATGAGTTTATAGTCGACTCAAAAACGTACCTGCCGTGCCGGGGCATCCGGATGGGGAGGTGTTTACGGATAAGGACGACCACCTTTACTTCTGGTTCCCACTCCTTGCTGGTGAGTGATAAAAGTGTAGTTCTGAGACGTCTCAAAACTACAGATAAGGACAACCACCTTTACTTCTGGTTCCCACTCCTTGCTGGTGAGTACCTGTTGAGTGGATTGGGACACTGTTGAGTGGATTGGGACACTGTTGAGTGGATTGGGACACTGTTGAGTGGATTGGGACACTGTTGAGTGGATTGGGACACTGTTGAGTGGATTGGGACACTGTTGAGTGGATTGGGACACTGTTGAGTGGATTGGGACACTGTTGAGTGGATTGGGACACTGTTGAGTGGATTGGGACACTGTTGAGTGGATTGGGACACTGTTGAGTGGATTGGGACACTGTTGAGTGGATTGGGACACTGTTGAGTGGATTGGGACGCTGTTGAGTGGATTGGGACACTGTTGAGTGGATTGGGACACTGTTGAGTGTACCTTGGTGCGGAGATGACTTTTGAGTCAACTCCAAACGTACTTGATGGGGTATCCTGGGAGCGACTGCAGTGGAGAGGGAGAAGGGGCTGAGCCCCTCTAAGGTGTCGCACCTGCCGGGGCATCCCGATGGGGAGGTGTTTACAGACTAAGATGATCACCTCTACTTCTGGTTCCCACTCCTTGCTGGTGAGTGCTTACCGATTGAGTGGTTTCGGAATGTGTTGTGTGCCTTAGGTGGGAGATTACTTTTGAGTCGATTCGAAAATCACCTGCCGGGACACCCAGATGGGGAGGGTGTTTACCGACAGGGACGATCACCTCAACTTCTGGTTCCCACTCCTTGCTGGTGAGTGCCTGTTGGGTTCGTTTTAGGTCCAATAAATAGACTCAAAAAGCGTAGGGTGTCCTTGTAAGAAAGAAGCGTAGAAGATCCACTCCAAGGAAGACTCAAAAAGCGTAGATGTGAAGCGGGTTGAGCACCTCTTCTTCTGGGGTCCACTCCATCTCTTCCTCGCTCCGTTGTTTCCACCCACCCCCACCCCGTCCCCACCAAGCCTGTCCAAGCTCACCTTTGACCCTCAACCCGACATCCAAAAGAGTGCACTGGAGGTGCTCTTTGACAGGCCTCTAGAGAAACCTGATCACCTCCCTCCCTTCACCCTCACCTCCTCCCTCCTCCCAACCAGGTCTTTCCGAACTCACCTTTGACCTGCGGCCAGACATCCAAAAGAGCGCCTTAGAGGTCCTCTTCGACAGGCGTCAAGAGAAAACTTATGCCTGCCTTCCCTCGCTCCCTCTCTTCCTTCACAACTCCCATCCACACCAGGCCTGTCCGAGCTCACCTTCGACCCCCGGCCAGACATCCGAAAGAGGTCCTCGTCGACAGGCCTCACCACCCTTCAACCCCACCCCTCCTCCTATCCATCCACACCAGGTCTGTCGGAGCTCACCTTTGACCCGCAGCCAGACATCCGAAAGAGTGTACTGGAGGTTCTCTTCGACACACCTCTAGAGAAACCCCACCTCCACGCACTTGCCTCCCTGTCCCCCTTCCTCTACTCCCCCTGGCCCCCTATCCCAACCAGGTCTGTCGGAGCTCACCTTTGATCCGCGGCCAGACATCCGAAAGAGCGCATCTTTGACACTCTGCGCTTCCACGGCCACATGTTCTCCGCCGTCCTCTGGGAGCGCGTCTTCGAGTCCGTCCTCTTCCCCATCTTTGATTACGCTCGCCGCGCATCCGAACCCCAGCACGGCGAGCCCGGCTTGTGATCCTCTGTTCAGAGGCCTTAGAATTCGCTTTTTCCTCCCATCTCTCCTTCCGTCTCCCCTTCCTCCCCCCTCAACCACACCAGGCCTCTCTGAGTTGACCTTTGATCCCCGGCCGGACATCCGAAAGAGCGCACTGGAGGTCCTCTTTGACACGCTGCACTTCCACGGCCACATGTTCTCCTCGCCCCCTCTCTTCCTTGTCCCTTCCCTCCCCTGTAACCCCCATCCCCATCAGGTCTGTCAGAGCTGACCTTTGATCCCCGGCCAGACATCCGAAAGAGTGCACTGGAGGTTCTCTTCGACACTCTCCACTTCCACGGCCACATGTTCTCTGCTGCCCTCTGGGAGCGCGTCTCGAGTCCGTCCTCTTCCCAATCTTCGATTACGTTCGCCGCGCCTTCAAGCCTGGGTGTCTGGGGTCCTAAAAACTCACTCCCTCCCTCTCTCGCTCCCTCGCTCCCTTGTTCCCTTTTCTCCTCCCCATCCCTATCCACACCAGGCCTGTCGGAGCTCACCTTTGATCCCCGGCCAGACATCCGAAAGAGTGCATTGGAGGTTCTCTTCGACACTCTCCACTTCCTCCCTGCCTTCTGCCCCCTATCCACACCAGGTCTGTCGGAGCTCACCTTTGACCCGCGGCCAGACATCCGCAAGAGCGCCTTAGAGGTCCTCTTCGACACTCCTCAAGAAAAGTCCCATTCCCACTTCCACGCACCTATCTCCCTGCCTCCGGTCCCCTACTCCCCCCGGGCCCCATCCACACCAGGCCTGTCCGAGCTCACCTTTGATCCCCGGCCAGACATCCGAAAGAGTGCACTGGAGGTTCTCTTCGACACGCTGCGCTTCCACGGCCACATGTTCTCCGCCGCCCTCTGGGAGCGCGTCTTCGAGTCCGTCCTCTTCCCCATCTTTGACTACGTTCGCCGCGCCTCAGAACCCCAGCACGGCGAGACTGGTGGGATGATGCTCGGAGCCAAGAGAGGCGGCGGCGGCGGAGGAGGAGGAAGGGAGCGAGGAGGGAAAGCAGGGAAGGGAGAGGCGGGAGGGGTTGGCGGAGGAGGGAAAGGGGCAGAGGGGGCAGGAGCAGATGGTGTGCCCATTCACAAGCATTCACACCACAAGGGGGCGCCGCTTTCCCGCCACCCGTCCACGTCAGAAGACGAGCGGCTCCGGGCAGCACGAAGCGGCAGTCCCGATCCCGTATCTGAGCTGGAAATGGATGCCTGGCTGTATGAAACCTGCACTCTAGCGCTACAGCTAGTAGTGGATCTCTTTGTGAAGTTTTACAGTAAAGTGAGTCCGCTTCTAGGGAAGATTCTCGCGCTGCTGACGTCGTTCATCCGCCGGCCACACCAGAGCCTAGCAGCGATTGGCGTGGCGGCATTTGTGCGGCTCATGAGCAACGCAGGGGGACTGTTTTCCGAGGAGAAGTGGGATGAGGTGCTGACAGCGCTTAAGGAAACGACTGGGACGACCCTCCCTGACCTGGCTGGGGTGGTTAAGGCTGCGGATTTGGAGGATGAGGAGGAGAGGGAGATAGAGAGGCAGCAGCAGATTAAGGAGGCCAGGAGGTTCGATTTTACACGGGATGAGGATGAGGAGGAGAAGAAGCAGCAGCATGACCAGCTGGCTGCTGCGGTTGCAGAGGCGGTTGGTGCTGCTGCAGGTGGTGGTGGTGGTGCGGATGGTGGGGGGGATGGGGATGGAGGAGAGGAGGGGGGAGTGGAAGCGAAGAGGCCTATGACTCTGGCAGAAGCGGTGGCAGATGTGCGGTGCAAGATAGCAGTGCAGCTGCTGCTGGTGCAGGTAAGCCTTCTGATAGCAGTGCAGCTGCTGTTGGTCCAGGTAAGCCCTCTTATCAGTCGACTCAAAAGTCACATCGTTGGCAGAAGCGATATCACCGAGTCGGCACGCACGCCCACGCCATCAACTCCGATCGCCTGCTGCGCTCCTCTTCTCCCTGCCAGCCCCTTGTGTGCAGCTCTCAAAACCACAACAACAACAACAACAACCCTTCCCTCCTGATCCCGTTCTCCCAACTCCCCTCCCATCCAGGCAATGACTGAGATATTCAGCATGCACGGAGCGGCCCTCTCCGCCCCGCACACGCTCATCCTCCTCGACTCGCTCCACCGAGTCGGCACGCACGCCCACGCCATCAACTCAGACCGCCTGCTCCGCTCGCGCTTACAAGCCCTCCACCTGGCGACTCAGATGCCCGATCCGCCGCTGCTGAGGCTGGAGAGTGAGGCGCTGCACGCGTACCTCAGCCTGCTGCAGCGCCTGCCACGGGAGAAAGCTCAACTCGCTAAGGAAGTCGATGTGGAGCTCCGACTCGTGATCCTCTGTGAAGAGGTTCTCCGGGTGCGTGCTTCTCTCTCTCTCTCCTTCGCTTCTTTCTTTGCCCGACGTGGGTCTTTCTGTGCGTGGGAAGTAGGTAGGGTGTGGGTCAGGGAGAGGGGCACGGGCTAGCTGCGCCTGCAAGCCCTCCACCTGGCGACTCAGATGCCCGACCCGCCGCTGCTGAGGCTAGAGAGTGAGGCGCTGCACGCGTACCTCAGCCTGCTGCAGCGCCTGCCACGGGAGAAGGCTCGGCTGGCTAAGGAGGTGGATGTGGAGCTCCGACTGGTGATCCTCTGTGAAGAAGTGCGTCAGGTACGTGCTTCCTTCTTTCTTTGTCCTAAGGGGTGGTTTTGTGCAGGGAAGGTAGGCTAGAGAGTGAGTGGAACCCACTTCCCTCCCTCAAACCTCCCTTCTTCGTTCAACCCTTCCCCTCTCCGTCTGTTTCACCCTCGTTCCCTCCACTCTCCAGGTGTATGTGGGAACGTCTCAGGGCAAGCTCGCACTCATGACCGAAGACCCAAGAGGAGCAGACGCCCTGCCCCTCCCTCCCATTCCTCTTGCCGTACCTCTCGGCTCGGCTCGACGCCGGGAGCTGGTGGCTCGGGCGCCGCTGGTGGTGGCTACACTGCAGGCAGTTACCGCGTTGAAGGATGCAGCGTTCAAGAAGCACCTGGCGAGGTTCTTCCCTTTGCTAGCGGATTTGGTGAGCAGCGAGCATGGATCGCCGGAAATTCAGGTTGCTTTGAGCAATATGTTCTCGTCAAGGATTGGCCCTATTGTATTCTCTGTAGCTGAGTGAATTGTCTGAATATACGGCAGGGCCTCAGATATCAGGAAAAAAACCCTGAAATTCCTGATTTTGGCAGTCCTTTTTTTACCTACCCTGAAAAGTCAGTGTTGAGATTTTTGAGGGACTGAAATTTCAGACTTCTTTTGTTAGGCCACACTGAAATTTCAGACCTTTTTCCCCTAGGACACTGATGCCACAACGTTGTAACGAAAGCAACACTGAAGCGATTCTTACCCGTGCCATGTGGATTTGACCGCAATTACAGGGAATCTCAGATTCCCGAGGTGTAAGCACCCCGTGGCGAGGCCAACCTGTGAAATTCTGCCTCTGGTTCACGTTCAGAGGTATTTTGTTGGCGCGGCGCCTCACACCGTTGGGCCGTTTCGCTGCAGCAGTCAGTCTTGGCCAATCCGAACGTGGCCACCATGTGGTGCTGGAGGACTGCCAAGGATCCTGCCCCGTTGCCATCACATGCGACGCGTTAGTGACAGCCTTTTTACTAGTGCTACACTGATGCATCAGACTTTTTACAAACACAACACTGACATTTCAGGCTTTTTTTTTTTGGAACACTGTCAATCAGAGTTTACACACAGGGGACCCTGATGGGTTGACAACCCTAAAAGTGAATCCGAGGGCCTCGTGTTAGCACTGCATCTGGTCTGGTCTGAATATTATGTCACTGGATATTGGTTGACATGTGAGATAACCATCACATATCGGACTTGAGGTGACAGATACTGCCCATGTTTGGCTAAGTACCAACCAACAAGGATGCCAGTAAAGGAGATTGCCAAGTGCCATATCAGTTTACCTGTGCTTATTGAAACTTAGTGTTAAAAAAGATTCATGGTGTGTACCTACGCCTCATATCAGGCTCACACTGAAAACTCAACTAACATTAGAGGACGTGGAACTCTGATATATGAGGTTGTCTGATATGCGGCATAGGAACACACCCTTAATTCTCTGTTTCAACAATACACATGATTTAGATTCCCATACTACGTATTGACAACATTTGTACAGGTCAGCTCCACAAAAACGGTGTATATCCAATTCTGCTAAACAGCCCCAGAACTGGTACCGTAGCAGCCCAGAACCATTTTCTTCTAGAAGAAACCCAACCTAGAATGACGCTACTGCAGCTCCCACCTTCACACATGTGATCAAATCTCAGACACAGTTGAAGCAGAATCCCCGGTTCCGCCACACGCCCCATCCTTTAGGCCCCTTCCTGAACTGCCCCCTTGCCGCGCCATCCGCATACGCGGCAGTCTTAACGAGCCCATAGTACGACCCGGGCGAGTCCAGAAGGTTTTGCATGGCCACTAAGTACGTGTCGCCCTGGTCATTAGTGCGCGACGACGCGTCGCGAATCACGCCCCTATAGTAGTACGAGGACAAGTTGCCGAGGGAGTTGTCTTTGCCGCGGCCGCCCCACCCCCAGCCGTTGCCCTTGCGGCCATAACGAGGGCCCGCCACGGCTTTCCCGGTAGTATCCGTCCATGTGATATCACTTGTGAAGTCCATGACCACATTTCCGTTAGTTCCTTCGGCTCCTTCGTTGACGGTGACGGACGTCGGCTCGCCGGAATCCGTCAGCGCGATGCCGACTTGGAAGTACAGGTCGTAGACGGTGTCGTTCCTGTAACGAGAGGGACACAAACCGGGGGATTTAAACAAGGGTCAGAACGACAAGCATTCGTCGAACGATGCGCGAAAGCGACGAAAAGAGAGAATTTGCCCCTCCCCTCCCCCCATCTCCACCCCACCTGGGAACGTAGAAAGCCCCTGTCCAGCGCACAGGGGTATTTTTTTACCAGAGGAGCACGAGATAAATGATTACTCCTTTCCCCTTCCCCACCGTAGAACGTTCATAGTAATAATAATAATAATAATAATAATAATAATACTAACAACAACAACAACAACAACAACAATAATAATAATAATAATAATAATAATAATAATAATAATAATAATAATAATAATCAGGCGCGCAGGAGTAATTCTTACTTGATGAGCACGAGATCGATGACCCCTGTGGCGTCCTTATCGCCAATCGAGTTCCCGCTAGCATCCACCACCTGCTCTCCGCGTAGCGTCGCTGACGCCGCTCCCGCGATCTTGCCCTTTCCTTTCCCACCACCCGGAAATTTCGGCCCCTTCCACCCCCCTCCGTTTCCACCCTTCCCGTTGCCGCCGCCATTTTCGCCGCCCTTCCCGCCACCTTTGCCTCCGCCCTTCCCGTTGCCGCCGCCATTACCGTTACCGTTGCCGTTTCCGCCGTCCTTCTTTCCCAGCGCACCTGACACGCGTTCAAGAAAGGAAGAAATATAGCAGCTGAGTTATCTGCTGATCAACACACAAATCGATTCGAGGTGTTTCTTCTACGGTCAGCGAAGTTCTACGACAGAAGGACACCGCAGATGCGAAAACGAAGGTCCTCAACCGGGGAAGCGGAACCACAGCGGAGGGGGCTTACTGGTCGCAAGGAGAAGAGCCAGTAGCAGCGAGACGAGAACCACCCGAGTGATCCTCATTGCGATAATCTCGTGCGTCAATGTCAGAAAACAGAGCGGAGCTTCCAACGAGTCGGTTCCGAAGTCGGCAACGAGTCAGCCCAGCAAGTTCCGAATTACGGTGAAGTTCAGGGCTGTTTTCTGCAGGCAGGATTCGCGTTGTGCGATCTGGAGGTACGCTCGCGACACTACTAGTAGCGGTCGTGTGATAAATTTTGGTTGGAGAGGAACAAGAGAGCATTTTATGCTTGGGTTGGGAGGGAGATTGGGTTTGGCCTTGTGAGGGGCGCAATTGGCGCAAGGGGCGCGAGCGGCGCGAGGTTGGATGTAGTGGGGGTGGTTGCTGTGCGGGAGGAAGTTAGGTGGGTTGGGGGATGGGGGGTTCGGGGGATGGGGCTGGGGGGAAATGGGTGAAGTGAAGAGGGAGGCAGGCAGCGCGGTTCGAACTTCGAAGTGCAGAGAGTGATGCGCGTGGTTGGTCGGAAATTCGAAATGCAGTGGTGCAGCAGCAATCCTCTGTAGCAATCCTCGTGCCAGCAGCAAAAAGCACTGGCGCATCTCAGCACACTCAGCACATCCCCGCCGTTCCCTGCTGCGCCGTTCCACTGGTGCTGCTGTCATGAGAACCCATGAATTCTGTTCATCACAAGCCCACGACACTGTTCATGGCATGGAATGTCAGGGGGTATGCAGTCAAACTGGGTTTCCCGTTTCGCGAACGCACGCGCACTGCTGACGACGCCGACCCACTTCGTAACGAAGGGTACAAGCGCTGGTGAGCAGAAGATTGGGGGAAGATGTGGCAAACGACCGTGACCTGCGACACGCATGCAGCCTGTTTGTGCGTTTTGGAATGTTTCGCCGTTCATCTCGCACGGCTTCTGCCGACAAGTGAAAGTCGTTACAGGAAGGCTACAGCACGATACGAGTTTGATCGGCCCTCGCAATGCCAATCTTCGCCAGTGGCAAGACGGTTAGGTCAGCAACAACTCCAACAATCGGTCGGTTCAGTGCGTTTCCGTATGAACTTCTGGCAAAATCACGGGGTGCTGGCCGAAACCGTCAGGTACAGTAAAATGTTGTTGGTACCCCAAAATACGCGATAAAAATCGCGTCGTTCTCGCAATAGCCTGGCCCGAAACTGCATCATCTATCATCCGACGTAATGAAAAACACAACTTTAGCACCTCAACTACCCATATCAACCACAAACCCCTCTGCCAGTCTCCGCCTGCCATCTGACATTTCCAGAATCCCGAAACCCAATCGTCGGGGTGCACACTTGGCGGGAAAATGCCTTCTCAGGGTGACTGATCAAAAGATGATCAGATTCGGAGTTCTCCTTTTTGTTTATCAGGAAAGCCCAAACCTACAAGCATCCTCTTCGTTAGTACTGAGTTTTTTTACGTCCAGCGGTGCTGTTTCCCGGTTCTGATCTCCTGGAGTGCGTCTGTGACTCTGTTGATGATTCTCTGACGTGCGGTGACTGAAATTAGCATCGATCGCACACAGGCGTTTCGTCTATTCTCAGCGATGTCTGGGTACGATTACCAGGGCTACGGCGATGGAGGAGGTGGTGGAGGAGGCGGGTATGGCGGAGGTAAGATCTTAAGCTGCTATCAATTCCTTCGTCGTAAGATAAAATCTCCACACTTCCTAAAACTGTATTCTATGTATTGTAGCGTCGGAAAACACAAGTTCGTTCATTTAGGCACAATAGAACATCTAAGAGGCCTTTATCCCTGAATCCATTATTTTCTATACGTCAGATCTGCACCATTTGTGTCCCCTTGCTTAACTCAACATGGCAATCTTCCTCCGATATTTCCATGGCGTGGATTCCGCGGTCGAATCGCCCAGGCGGGGGTCGTGGAGGGTTCGGCGGACGAGGCGGAGGAGGTCGAGGCGACGGTGATTGGCTGTGCTCGAACCCATCGTACGGACCGCCCTTAGCTTTTTAGTAACCATACCCACCACCTCCTCCAATGCCGGTCGTGGCTCGAATCTGTAACGTGGTGTTCGCATCGGTTGGCGAAAGGTTTTTGGTTGCTTGGACGTTTCCCGGGTGGTCTGCTCGAATTTTCTCAATTTAAATCAGGTAGGCTTTGTCTCGATTTTATTTTCCTCATAGGTTTCGCTCTGATTGACTAGCACTGTAAGTAGTATCGAGGCGTCTTTTAGACGTCGTATACCAGTGGCGAATGCTGCCTGAAAAGGCACGAAAAATAGCAGCTTGCTTCCAGGCGATTTTTTTCCGCCTTATCCTTTTTTCGCGTCATGAATTCGTCATCCTCTCCTTTCAGCTTGTTGAATGCCCTCCCTTCCGCGTATCCCGTGCCTTCAACCTCTCACCCTCGTCTCCGCCGGTGGTGTGTTCGTCGCAGATGTGGTAACAACAACTTCGCACGTCGCTCCGAGTGTAACCGATGCGGCACCGCGCGTCCTGCCGGAGCTGGCGGGGGCGGTGGAGGCGGAGACTTCGGCGGAGGCGGAGGCGGAGGGTTTGGCGGAGGAGGCGGGCGCGGTGCTCCGCCCGCTCGACCCGGCGACTGGGATTGCTCGGGGTGAGTCTCCCTGTGCGGTGACTATGGCGACGGTATAGCCGTGCTATAACGTGGTGATTTTTGAAGGGCTATTTGGTTCTCGAGCACAATTGCTTCTGCATAGGATGGCATCTGCGTGAGCATAGTGACCAATGCGAAGGAAATATTTCAGGTTGGATACATTCGTTGCTAAAACCCTGGGTAGTTAGCGGTAGTCCGCTCGTCTTTAGGAAAATAAGCGCCAGTTCCGTAATTTTTGCCTTTCATATATTCATTTCCCTGTTTCACCTCCTGTTCACTTGTTCCCCGTATTCCCTTTCCCGTTTCCCGTTCCCCGTCCCCCCGTTTTCCGTTCCCCCGTTCCCCATCCCTGTTCCCTCCCGCGGCAGTTGCGGAAACAACAACTTTGCCCGCCGCGCCGAGTGCTTCAAGTGCGGTACTGCGCGCCCCGCCGACGCGGGCGCTGGCGGCGGTGGCGGCGGCGGCCGCGGAGGGCGGGAGGGGGAGGATCGGTATGGTGGCGGAAGAGACGACAGGGGGAGTGATCGCTACGGTGGGGGAAGAGGGGACGATAGGGGCAGGGGGGACGACAGGGGCAGGGGGGACGACAGGGGTAGGGGGGATGACCGCGGGAGAGATGACAGGGGAAGGGGGGACGATAGGCGCGGGGGGGATGACAGGCGCGGCGGGGACTACGGGTCCCGCGGAGGGGGAAGGGGGGAGTACGACCGCGACGGGGGGCGTGGGGATGGGGGGCGGGGCGGCGGAGATATTGGCGGGCGCGTTGGGGGAGATTATGCGCGGGACGACAGGGGCGGTGGCGGCGGGGGAGGGGGAGGGGGCTCCGCAGGCGGGGGAGGGGGATATGGGGAGGACGCTGGGGCGGACAGTGGGGGCGGGGGGGGGAGCGCCGGGGGTGAAGCAGTGCGACGAGAATTGCCCCCCGGATTGCGACAACGCGCGGATTTATATTTCCGGGATGCCCAAGGACGTCACAGTCGACGAGCTGTGCAACCTGTTCGGCGGCATTGGGATGGTGAGTGGTGGTGAGGTGTGATGAGGGATGGTGAGGGATGGTGAGGGGTGTTGAAGGATGGTGAGGGCTGGTGAGGGGTTCAGCAGGGATGAAATATCTGAGAGAGGATTACTGAGGGGTTACGGGAGGGACGGAAGGATTGGTTTTATGAGTCGGATCAGAGTATCACCTACGCGGATGGCCGATAAGAAACGAAGTTTCGAAAATGAAAGAAATAGAGAAGTTGTTTAGGGCTAAACAAGATGCTGAACCCCAAGGGTACAAGGTCCAGTGGCTTGATATCCATTTGGTATCAGTCTAACAGCTGCCGCAGCAAAGTGTTGACTTCAACCCTATCTCCGCCCCACCTTTCCCCCCCTCCCCCCCTCCCCTCCGCGCAGATCGCGCGCATCAAGCAGAAGCGCGGGTACAAGGACCAGTGGCCGTACAACGTGAAGCTGTACACGGACGAGAGAGGGCAGAACAAGGGCGACGGTGTTCTCACCTACGAGGACCCGCAGGCAGCCCACAGTGCTGGTGGCTTCTTTAATGGTGAGATTTCGGGTTTAGGTGGTTGGGGTGGTGCTTGTGGTTGCTCTAAGCGTGCGTGTGGGGTTGAAGGCGCGTGAAGCTGTATACGGACGGACCAGAGGGGGCAGAACAAGGGCGACGGCGTGTTCACCCACGAGGACCCCCGAGCATCTTCAACGGTGAGATGGGGTGTAAGGGGTGTGGTGCTTGTTGTGTGGTTGCTTGAAGCGTGCGTGTGGTTGAGAGGGGGCTCAACAAGGGCGACTGCGTCCTGACCTACGAGGACCTGCAGGCCGCTCACAGCGCTGGTGGCTTCTTTAACGGTGAGATGGGCGCATGGGTGTGATTGCTCCAAGCGCGTGTTTGTGGTTCAAGTCGTTAAGAAGTCTCCCCTCAGCTTCCTCCTCCCCTCCTCCTCTTCCCCACCTCTTCACCTTCCACCGCTCCCCCTCATTATCAACTTGCCAGGCCACCCCCTCTTGCCAGGCCACCCCCTGCGAGACGGCACTGTCAATCAAGGTTGGCATGGCAGATGAATCAGTATTGTTCCCCTTTTGCTCCCTCTTTTTTTGTTCTTTTCCCCCTCTCCAGGTCACACCCTGCGCGGCAGCACCATCAAAGTGGGAATGGTGGAGAAGTCAGCACCGCGGCCGGGAGGAGAGCTTACCTCTGTGTCTCCTCACCCCCCATTCCCCCTTCTTTCCCCCTCGCCTCCCCCTCTCCACCTTCTCCCCCCCAGGTCACACCCTGCGTGGCAGCACTATCAAAGTGGGCATGGCGGAGAAGTCGGCACCGAGGCCAGGAGGAGGAGGCGGACGAGGAGGGTGAGTGGCGGTTTAGGGGTTGAGGGGGGGTATGATTTGGGATTGGAGAGGAGGGTGGGTGGGGTTCTGGGGTGGGCAGCACCACTAAAGTGGGCATGGCGGAGAAGTCGGCACCACGACCAGGAGGAGGAGGTGGACGAGGGGGGTGAGTGGGGCTCTGGGGTTTGGAGGGGGGGAGATTTCGTAGAAGAGGGTGGTTCTGTGATGGGGGGGTAATGCTTGTGTGCGAGTAGATTTGTGTGGGATGTGGGGAGAGGAGGGGTTTGGTGGTGCTTTTATGTGGGGGAATTGGGTTTCATGGCTTTCATGTTGATGTCTGTTGCCAATGTAGTTTCTTCACTCTCCCTTCGCTTCTCTCGCCATCACCATTCCTCCGCCCCTCCTCCCTCCTCCCTCACTTCAGTCTCCTCCCTCGCTCCTTGCACTCCCCTCCACTCCTCTCTCTCTCATCCCTTCCCGTGTGTCCTGTGCACCCGTGTTTGTGTGCTCCCCGTTTTTTTCTGTGCCCGTGTGCTATTGCAGTGGAGGTTTCAGGGGAGGTCGAGGGGGGTTCGGAGGAGGAGGGGGCTTTAGAGGGGGAGGAGGGCCGGACCGCAGGGACTTTGACAGGGGAAGGCCCCGCCCCTACTAATAGGGGATGAGGATGGGTGTGGATGGGTGATGATGGGTGAGGATGAGGAGGGTTCAGAGGGGGAGGGGGGCCGGACCGCAGGGACTTGGACAGGGGAAGGGGAAAGGGGGGGGGCGGGGAGAGGGGGGGGGGAGGGGAGGGGGGCTTGACCGCAGGGACTTCGACAGTGCGAGGCCGTGCTTGTACTGACTGAACGTTGTTGGGGCACGTGACCCTCTCTCCCCCTTGTTCGGGCTGTCTGCTCGAGTTAACACTGCAGCATTGACTCTCTTGCCACAGTGGCTGTGTTCGAGATAGAATATTGACTTGTGATGCTAAAGGCTGTACTGGTTTTGGCATTTTTCTTTAGTGATGTTAGGATAGTGGCATTTGACACTGTTCCTCTGATAGCTGTGGTCACATCACATGTTTGAGTAGTGGTATCCCTAATGTTGCAGGCCCTGGTAGATGGTATCAGGTTCCAAAGGGGCATAGAGACCAGTGTGACATGGAGATGCAGGCTGTATGGAGTTGCAAATGCCATACTGTAGTATGCTAGCAGACAAAAAGTGCAACAGAAATAATGGTAGCGTACTAGTGGCTGGTATGGTGGTGTGCAGGGCCTCAGAAGTCAGCTAAAAAAGGTTGATTAGGGGTAAAAAGGCTGAGTTTTCAGTGCTGGGAAGAAAGTGGGGCTGATTTGTCAGCTTTTTATTTATTGTATGGGCTGATTTTCCAGACTTTTTTTCTTAGTATGGGCTGATATTTCAGAGTTTTTTTAGAGGTGTAAACTGACAGATCCGCGTTGTAACGGGGGTGTGGGTTGAAATCCCACTAGTGGAGATTCGTGTAGTGCCGAAACCCTCTGACGTATCGGATATTTTACCAAAACTTGCCTGACCAATCAAATGGCACGAATGTACAATCTAGTTTCTGTCAAGATGTTACAGTGCTTACTTTGTGTAGGCTATATTTGGGTAGCCCATAAGGGGTACAACCCAATTAGGGTTAGTACTTGTACCAAACTCTTTCATAGTTCATTCATTCTCGTTCTAGATTCTAACATGGTTTCAGAGCAGGTCCTTCCCTAGGACCGAATTTTTTTTAGGGCCCACCACATAGCTGCCCCACTAGCTGCCCTATACCCCTGCCCTAATGGCCTGCCGCCCTGCTAGTCGCTGTGCCGCCCCCAGCAGCCCGTCGCGCCGCCCTTAGCATCCCGCGAACCGCCCCTGCAGCCAGCGCGCCGCCCCTGCAGCCCGCTCGCCGCCATTGCCGCCCGCTTGCGGCCCACGCGCCGCCCTTGCAGCCAGCTCGCCGCCTGCTTGCGGCCCGCTCGCCGCCCTTCGGCCCGCTCGCCCCCTTTACGGCCCGCTCACCGACCCTGCAGCCCGCTCGCCGCTCGCTTGCGGCCCGCGCGCCGCCCTCGCAGCCCGCTAGCCGGCCCGCCTGCGGCCCGCTCGCCGCCCTTCGGCCCGCTCGCCGCCCTTCGGCCCGCTCGCCGCCCTTGCGGCCCGCTAGCCGCCCTTACGGCCCACTCGCCGCCCGCTTGCGGCCCGCTCGCCGCCCCTGCAGCCTGCTCGCCGCCCGCTTGCGGCCCGCTCGCCGCCCCTTGCAGCCAGCGCGCTGCCCTCTTGCAGCCTGCGCGCTGCCCCTTGCAGCCCGCTCGCTGCCCCTTGCAGCCCGCTCGCCGCCCCTTGCAGCCCGCTCGCCGCCCCTTGTGGCCCCCTCGCCACCCCTTGCAGCCCGCTCGCCGCCCTCTGGCAGCCTGCTCGCTCCCGCCCCTTGCAGCCCGCTCGCCGCCATCTGGCAGCCCACTCGCCGCCGTTTTGCTACCTGCTCCGCCCGGCTACTGCCTGCCCCTGCAGCCGCCCCTGATGTGCGCCGCCCCGCTGGCCGCCCTAGCCGTGCACCGCCCTGCCTTGCTCTGCGCGCTGCTCTGCTGGTCGCGCGCCAACCTGCTTTGCCCGCTATGGCTTCTCTCTGTGTACTCACGAGCTTGTCCGCGGACGTATCGCGGACAAAGGCACGAGAACCCCAGACCCAGAACACTGACGCATCGCCAACCTTCCCCGTCCAACGCAGTGTGGGCGAGGTCTCCGGCAAGGAGACACGGGGCCAAAGGTTGAGCTGATGCGCAGCGTACCGGACCGCAAACGGCCACAGAAAATGGGGAGCGGCCGCATGGATCATGGAGGTACGAGCGACCTCCATGACTAAGCCAATGCGGCGCTCAGCAATCCCATTTTGCTGAGGGGAGTCCGGAAGCGTGAACGACTGGAGAATGCCCTCCCCACGACAAAAGTCCCGCAAGAGGTCGGAGGAGAACTCACCACCTCTGTCAGAGTGCAGACGCAGGATAGGAAGGTCCTGGCCGAACCGCTCGCGCAACTGGAGACGGACTGTGCGGATCCAAGGGATCAAGACAGCAGAGACTTCACCCTTGCTGCGCAAGGGGAAGACTGTGGTGTATCGCGTGTAGTCGTCAACTACCAGCAGAAAGTAGCGCTCGCGGCCCTGTCCACTGACGCGGGCTGGGCCCCACACGTCCATGTGGAGGGTCTGCAGAGGAGCAGTCGTCGGGGGAAACGAGGAGGAGTGAGGGGCGGCGCGCTGCCGTCCCTCGACGCAAGGAAGACAGGGCGGGGCAGGCGAGGGCGGCAGGGGAGGCAGAGACCTGGGGAGACCAGAGACAAGGAGACGGGAGTGCATGCCACGAAGGCGTGGCAGGGAGGGGTGACCCAGGCGGTGGTGCCAAAGAAGAGTCTGGTGCGACAGGAGGCGACACGAGCAAGAGGCGGCTACCTGACCCGACGCGGACACCTGAGCAGACGCAGCGACCTGAGGAGGCTCGGTAGCCAGTGTGTACAGACTCGAACCTGGCCGACGAGTGAACGTAGCCAGGTGACGCCCCGTCCGTGTGCACGTGCAGATCGACACACGCTGACCCCCAGGAGTGGTGGTAGTGACCATCGCATCCTGAAGGGCAGCGGTACTCACCAAGTTCGTAGAGAACGAGGGGAGGTGAAGACCTGACAGTGAGCCGAACGGAACCGCCGGACACGGGAGGACAGTGGAGGAACTGGCAACGACCGGGCCCCCAGAGGGGTCAGCCAGTCTGACCAGAACAAGTGCAGGAAGAGGAGTGAGAGTGGTGCTGTCACGAAAGAAACAGCGCGAGGCGCCGGAGTCCAACGTGAAGGTGTGCAGGGCCTCAGCAGGCGCAGTACCAGGGGGAGTACCAGACGCACTAGCACCTAGAGCAGCAGCGGCTATACCTGGGTCAGGCGGCACACACCAGTAACAGTCACCCTCAGCACTAAAAGACAAAGCATACATGGCAGAGATAAAAACATCAAAGTCTAGGTCAAAGATAGCAACTCCCGACCTAAGCAACTCCGCCCAGCGAGGGCGCTCGACGTCATCACCAAACTCAGTACGCCAGGCGTCGTCACGGCGGGCAAAGCAGCGGCGCTCAGTGTGAAACCTCCCGCATGTCCGGCCCGCACGGGCACCCGTGCGAATGACATACGGGCAGGTCTCACTACCCTCACCCGCCCCACGCTGAACCAACCACTCACGGAGCTGCTGGGGCGTCTGAGTCTCGCTCCGACGCTGCTGCTGCTGGCCCCGACCACCACCAGGGCCTCCACGCTGAGGTCCAGACCGACCACCTTTGGTCCCACCGCCTCTACTGCCGCCACTCCCTCCGCTGCCTCCACCGCCGCCACCAGAGCCTCCACCTCCGCCACCGGTCCCACCGCCGCCACCACCTCCACCGCCTCCGCCTCCTCTACCGCTGCCCCCACTACCACTCCCACTGCCACCTCCACCACCACCGCTGCCTCCTCCACTACCCCGGCCACCCTTGCCCTTGCTGTTGCGGCGCTTCGTACTAGTCGAAGCAGCACCGACGTCCTCAGGAACAGAGACGTCTGCAGCAGCAGCAGAGGCGAAGGAGGAGGAAAGGGGGGAGGGGGAGCACCCCTCAAAGAAGGGTGAGCGCGGAGTGCCACGAGCAGCACCTACAGCAACTGCACTAGTCTCAGCTGCGAGGAGATGCTGCTCGAGGAGGTCAACAGTGAGGGAAGTGGGGTCGAGTGTGAGAAAGTGGTCCCTGACAGAGCGAAGGGAGTCAGGGAGGCGAGTGACTATGAAGTAGAGGGTGATGAACATGGGGGGCTGGTTCGTGGGAAGGAACTCAGCAGGGACGGTAGCGCGGTAGCGAGCGTCGCTAGTGCGCAGGTGGGTAACCAGGTCGGCTACTGTGGCAAAAGCCGACAGCTCAGGGAACAGGTAGGGCAGGAGCAGCCTGCCAATAGCAGCAGTGGCAGGGGACGAGTAGCGAGCAACGACAGCGTCGTACAAGGCCTGTGCTGTCCTGTGCTCGCCAAAGTGAGCACATTCGGTTGCGGGCAGGTGGTTGCGAATGGCCAAGCGGGCAGTAGCGTCACGAGACAACCACTGGGAACGAGTCGAAACGTCAGCTGTGGCGGGAGGGGCTGGAGCGGCACCTGACACGTGGTCAAACAGCGAGACACTGTCCCGACTATCGCTCAGTAGGTACAGTTGCAGATCGTCGTGCCACGTGTCAAATGCTACAGGTCTGCCTTCCGGGTCGAACGGGAGAACTCGAAGCGACGCCATAGGGGCCGAGGGGCCAAACAGGGGGCCGGGCGCAGGGCTCTGAGGTGGGGCCGAGGGGGCTAGGGGCCGCGGGGCCAAACAAGGGGCCGGGGGGGCCTAGGGGGGCCGAGGGGCCTAGGGGGCCGAGGGGCCAAACAAGGGGCCGGGGGGCCGGGCGCCGGGCTCTGAGGTGGGGCCGAGGGGCCTAGGGGCCGCGGGGCCAAACAAGGGGCCGGGGGGGCCTAGGGGGGCCGAGGGGCCTAGGGGGCCGAGGGGCCAAACAAGGGGCCAGGGGGCCGGGCGCCGGGCTCTGAGGTGGGGCCGAGGGGCCTAGGGGCCGCGGGGCCGAACAAGGGGCCGGGGGGGCCTAGGGGGGCCGAGGGGCCTAGGGGCCTAGGGGGCCGA